TACCAGCCTGAAAATTTGCTGTTTTTTTAGCGATCGACGAAGCTTCTTTGAGGGATTCACAGCAGTTTCTCGACTGTTATAGGTCTTGTTTAGAATAGTTTGGTTTGAGCGAATTTCCTAGTACGAGGAAATAACAGCATTGAATTGGCCTACGGGCATATGACTGGATCCACAAATGGTCCTGAATCGTTCATAAGTAATGTAAAATGGTCCGTAAATAGTTCGGAATTGTCCATAAATGGACCATAATGTTCTAAAAATAGTCCCAAAAAGTCCATAATGAGCTATAAAAATGGTTCAGAATGATCAATTATAAGTTGTCCAGAAAGGTCCATAATGATCTATAAAATGGTCCAAAAAGGTGCATAAACGGTTTAGAATAATGTCCTAGAATGATCTATAAAAATGGCTCAGAATGATCAATTATAAGTTGTCCAGAAAGGTCCATAATGACCTATAAATTGGTCCAGAAAGGTGCATAAATGGTTTAGAATAATGTCCTAGAATGATCTATAAATGGTCCAGAATGGTCCATAAATGAACTTATCTCCTTCGTTTGTACAAAGCATTCCACTAAATCGTAGCAAATTCGAAATTCTTCCGGACCTTTCCACCAAACGACTAACATTTCATTAAGTACCCAAGCAACCCGGTTACTCCAATCGAACCTGCAAGTAAAATTTACATCTACCACCATAACACATAGCGGGTAGATACGATTCGGGTGCACGAAACGTGCACCTACACAGCCGGGGATTTACCCTCTTAAGACGATCAGACGCGGAGCACATGTGCACCATCTGCTCCCCCGTCTTTCTTTCCATTCCATATATAATTCGGGGGTGGATGAACGTGTGCCCAGTTCCCCCCCACACCCCCCGTTTCCAGTCCTCATCGAGACGCGTGTCGCTTTCGCTACCCTTCGAACGCTACCCATCGGTAAGACACCCGCAGGTGTGCGAGGGCCCCGTCCCTCGCCCCCCTCGCTTTTATCTCTATAAGGGCGGCGAAATTTACTGCCGGTTTTCGGGGAAGTAGGTGGATGACGCGTGGAATGCATCGTTCCTCGAGATGTAGGGGGTGGAGATGCCGATGCGGACCATTAAATAGATTATTTTACCCCGGAAAAATAAGCGTGTATTAAATCGGAATGGGTGCTTACGTGTGGTCTGTTTGAAATTAAATTACAATTAAATTATAAAAGCGGGAACTTTAAGTGATACTTATGCCGATTCGAAAGGGTTTCATGAGCGTACTTATCGCGATTTGTTTACTAACACGGGGCCGAGTAGACACCGCCGAATATTCCGGTAGGTCGAGTAGACACATCCGGAATTCTCTCTAATATAGCGAATTTTTTACTACTAATTATTTTGCGGGAATTCCAGCTACGTAATATTAGAGTGTATCAAAGTGCACCACTGGAATCGCTAGGAATGCAAATCCTCGGTAGCTTTAACGTACAGGAGGCTTAATGGCGACTAAAAATGATAATTTAAAGAGCAAAGCCGATCTATTAATGTCAATTCAAAGCGCTTTTATATTATTATCGAGACCCGCAATTTCACAATGCAACTCTCCCCGACTCCTGACGGCTTTGCTAATTTCATAATTTACCATTTTAGCTCGAGCCGCGCATACGAGGGGCCGTCGATAATTCGCCGGACGAAACTTTCGAATCGATATGAAAAAAAAAATCTCCGCGTATAATAGGCGATAAAAATGCGAAATTTCTTCTGTCTCTCACCCACTTGTCCGCTCTAACAATACATTTACTCGTAGTACTCGCTAGTACTATTTCTACAAGCCATCTAGCGGGCCTTGAACGGCGCCACGGCTCGCTTCGATCTCTAATTGATTTCATAGCCGCATATATACATACAATAAAAAACGGCTTATTGTCTATTAGAATCGATCGTTTCCATCACCTGCCAAGCCGATTTCCATTGCGTCATTTCGTTAATTAATTCCCAACAATTTTTCTTTTTTGTATATATCTACTTAAGTATCTATTGTAGTAATGAAATTTTCGGTAATTAATCGACGGTTAAATCTATTATTGCACCTGCTGACGAATTCGACGATACTTCATGTGTCAAATGTCAACTGCCAAATGTCAAATGTCAAATGTCAAATGTCAAATGTCAAATGTCAAATGTCAAATGTCAAATGTCAAATGTCAAATGTCAAATGTCAAATGTCAAATGTCAAATGTCAAATGTCAAATGTCAAATGTCAAATGTCAAATGTCAAATGTCAGCTGTCGTTGAATAATTGCCGATTGGAATGGTCTGAGATGTAGCAGAAGAGATCTACAGTAAATTTCGGAACGAATATGCGGTGGCCTTTTACCCTGCGGCACTCCTACGCACGTGCTGTTTTTGTGGTAGCGGTTGCACTCATGTAAATATGACCTGGATCGAATGCTGGTATAATGATAAAGTGGCAGTAAAAGATTAGACAATGGGCGATTCGATTCGAAATTCTCCGGGCACTTGTCGTGCACGATTCTTTTCGTAATATCAACTATTCGATTGATTTTAATTAGGGTTTATCGGTTACGCCACTGGCGTAATCTCCCGATCGAAATGTAGCGGTTATGTAATTCGGTTGTGTTGTTATATATTTCTCTAAATGATATTCGGTTGTTTTGTAAATGGTTCCGTGTGTAAAGTGACCTAGTAATTAACGAAATTCTTGCGTTGTTATATATATAAAAAAAAAACAAAGCCCAACCGTGATCCGTGTGTGCCTCTCGGCAGGTACACGAAAAAATTTAATAATATATGCATACAAGAAATCGAAAAAAAATATATATAATAATGTAACAGTTAATAGCTTCTCCTGCAATCAAAATTGTTAGGAAAAAATCCCTAACGTTATTCGTGTAATTCTTCCAAGTATGGTAAACATAACTTCATTTGTATATGCGCTTGCTATTCCTAGCTGAATGATTGATGTGAAGCAACAGAAGAAGAAATTAACTCGTTTTTCCCAGGAAAACGGCCAATACATATAACATTTCTCTTTCGCGTTAATGTTTCTCGCGCTTTTTGTTTGCGCCAAATCGAAAAATAAGAAGCCTACATTATCGCTCGTAAAACGTTAGAAGGTTAATGAAATATTGGCTGAATTACCCAATAAATTGGAGCCAAAGGCCACCGTCTTATGGATGTTATGGAATTTCTACGGTATACACACTCCGCTCGGCGATTTTACTATACCAGGTTCGCGCGATATTTACACATAACTAATTGTCCCGTCTCCCAACTTTCCCTAACTCTACAGTAACATAAATCGATTCTCTTGTGCTATATGTAACGGAAAATTTTTTGGTATATTTATAGAGCTCGCCCTGTAGATGGAATTCATCGGATCGGGTACGTTACCGGTACTGCCTAGTAGTAGGAAAGCCGGAGTGTATGTCTAATGAGCGTAATGAGTAATAATGCGGCGCTAGTGCCTCCGGGGCGCAGCTGATGGTGGAATTCGAACCGAAATGAACGCTCTCCGACTTAATATATCGATAACCATCGATTTTGATCCGGCCTAATGCCTCTCCGGATAATCGTGTGTTTTTTTTTTATTTATTCCATTTGCGCTTTTAACGCCCCGTTTTCGCTCGACGAGTAACTGTTGTTCGTAATTTACCGGGCCGAGTAGACACGTCCTAATAAGGCCGAGTAGCCACTTCCAAATACCGTCAAAAAATGACAGTTTTACATTGTTGTTATGGAGTAACTAAGGAGATACTTTCAATTGACAGATTTAACATTGTTGTTATGGAGTAACTAAGGGAATTGTTTTACATTGTCGTTATGTAGCAACGAACCTTTGTTTGTATATAGAGATGTCATTATAAGATTTTTAGTAACGGAATTGGAATAATAAATAATCTTCAAAGTACAACCCTGAATGCAGCGGCTCGCTTTTAATAAACAACCCATTACGGTATGCGCAACAAAGGTGAGCTCGATTTCGTGCAATTACCCGGCGTTTATTTTTCAAATTACCCGTTTTATAATTAGCACGTCTGGAGCCGTAATTACATGGATTTCGATGGAATTGAATATTTCGCTGACACTCAACGGTGAGGTAATGTCGATCAAGGCGCTTTTGTGTTATCGGTAAAGCCCTCTAATCTTCTAAGTATCTACTCTCGATCAATTCGTAGTGATGTTATTGCAAACTTTCCTTCTACAGAGTGAGTAATCAAACGATTATCGATTCATTGTAACAATCGATTATGTCAAATTGACGTTTCGGAATATGACAGATAAGTAATGTCTGCGGATTTTAGCATTCATTATCCGATTGTTCCGTGCTCGATTATTCACGGTAATTATTTAAATCGTCATCTGTTGGGTTATTGCATTTCGTGCGGCATGTGTAATATGCGCTGGAGAATAACACATGTTGAAGAGGAAAATTCAAAGAGCAGCGTGACGTACATGCCTCATCATCGCAGGTTAATTTAGAAATTGGAATGAATTTTGTGCGTAATTAATGACGAAAAAAGGGGATGAAAGCGCGTCGACTGGCCAACTGGACGGTTTCTGATATTTATCGCTGTAATGGATCTTGATCGTTTATTTGTGTAAATTGGCGGTGAATTACAAGTAGATATTGGAAGTGGTGTTGACTGAATACCTCTAATGGTAAAGGCCAGTTTTTGACGTATGACTTAATAGTAAGAAGAAATTGTTAATTTTATAAAAATTACAAAATATCTTGTTTATATTTGATTAATTATCGTAATTAATGCGTGATTTATCAATTTTTTATTATCGCAATATTTATTTCTGTACGAATGCAATCGCAAGCACGTGTAGAGCGTAAATGACATTTACGTCAAAATCAGTTGGGTTTGTTTTGAATATCCTCCGAATTTGTTTACAAAAAAAGTACTGGATTTTTTATCTCGGCGACAAAGGTCAAACGAAAAAGACGATCCAAACAGAGTAATATCGATTCAGTTTTATCCGCGCGATCGTCCAGCCATGTTCGCAAGCGACAAAATACTGATTTTATTCCCTTTGTTCCTTCTAGCCAGCGCCAAACTCAACCCGGTGATATTCGTACCGGGCGACGGGGGCGCCCAACTCGAAGCCAAACTGAACAAAACCGACGCCGTGCACTACATTTGCGAGAAAACCACCAGCGACTACTTCAACATATGGCTCAACATGGAGCTGCTCGTGCCATTGGTCATAGACTGCTGGATCGACAACATCAAATTGATATACGACAACGTCACGAGAACGACAAGAAACAGCGATGGCGTTGATATAAGAGTGCCCGGTTGGGGCGGAACGGAGACAGTCGAATGGTTAGATCCCAGTCACGCAGCCACCGGATCGTATTTCGTAGACATCGGTAACGCTTTAGTGGGGTTAGGTCACGCCCGAAATATCAGCATCAAAGGAGCCCCGTACGATTTTAGAAAAGCCCCGAGTATGTACTACACCATTTCGCACACCGATCGATACTAATTTGTTCGTTTTACAGACGAAAACTCTGCGTATTTCGACAAACTCAAAGCACTTGTAGAGGAGGCTTATAAAGAGAACAACGACACCCCGGTGATACTCATAGCACACTCGATGGGAGGCCCCATGTCGCTCACGTTCCTCAATCGACAAACCCAAGCTTGGAAAGACAAGTTTATACAGAGTTTGATCAGTTTGAACGGCGTTTGGGGGGGCTCCATGAAAGCCGTAAAAGTCTACGCGATCGGTACTATTACAGCAACAATAAATCGTAAATTTACTATTCGTTTGAATTGTTTTAGGAGACGATTTGGGCTCGTACGTGCTACGAGAGAGCGTCATGCGAAGCGAGCAAATCACATCGCCCAGCCTCGCCTGGCTGTTGCCTTCGAAGCTCTTCTGGAAACCCGACGAAGTCCTCGTACAAACCGACAAGAAAAACTACACCATCAACGATTTGGAAGAATTCTTCAAGTAAACACCATCGAATCAAACGACTATTTATACTAAAACATCATCATTCTAGGGGAATCGGGTACCCGAACGGATGGGAGATGCGAAAAGACACGGAACCCTACCAGCTACAGTTCAAACCACCTGGAGTCGAGGTGCATTGTTTGTACGGTTCTAACGTTCAAACGGTCGAAAAGTAAGTCCAATTCCAACACTTATACACCCTCGAAGGGTACTGGTATGTCCGAAATGCAGGTTGTACTACAAACCGGGGACCTTCCTCGACGGTTACCCGACGTTATTGTACGGAGACGGGGACGGGACGGTGAACAGGCGATCGTTGGAGGGCTGCTTGCAGTGGAGGACGTTGCAGAAGCAAAAGGTCTTTGTGCAGGAGTTGCCCAAAGTCGATCACTTGCAAATATTGCACGATAAAACCATGTTGAAGTATATCACCGATGTGATCAAGAGGTATTCCGTGGCGAAGAGGAAAGAGTCGTTTTGGGATCGATTCTCGATGTTCGGGTGAAGTACTAAACGACCTGGCTGGATGCCAGACGGGTAAGAGGCCAATGTAGCGACTAAGAAGATAATAACTTTGTTTAAAACTAGTTCGGAACAAATTCAGAACTGATATTTGTAGATGTTTGTTTTGGTAATTGCTGTGATTTTTTTTTATTTTACTCTTTTATACTCTTAGATTGAGAGTGTTTTGTGATAGGACAAATTTAATGAATCTGTTGATTAATTATGAACGGAATGTTAGATATAATATATTTTAATCTTTAATGAATTGCACATAATTTATTTCTAGATTTACGCCATTCAAAAATGTACTTTGTACATGAAATTTCTTCTCGAGCGACACAAAGTGTTATACAGCCAATTTGTTTTACAACACCTAAATGCTATTTAATACATTCATTTTTTGGTACATTTAAGGAATGAGTTCGATATTAATACAAAATAAATTTCATCTACCGAAAAGCTCTCATTCTCGAATTACATCTTATCATTTAACTATACAAAGCTAATAAATTATAATATAAACATATATAAATGTATTAATTCCCGCTATACAATATACAAAAAAAAAATAAATTAAAAAATCGTATAAAACCTTTGATGTGTCATATGTCTAATGCTTCCGGGTCCCAGTATTCGTCATGTATTAAACAAACTAAAAAACGAATATAAATTTAATTTTTATTTTTCATGAAACACCAATGCACCGCACTGACCTTTTCAACGGATTCCGACCCTCGGCCATTTTCATATAATAAATGTACCCCAAGAGCACAGTGGCGGCGGCGAACAATAACCCGTACTTCCCGTTGAACACGAACCAAGCCGGTAAGTTCTTGTTAACTTTATGCCAGATACTTTTGTTCCTATTCAATCTGTTCCTCATGTTTTGCTCGTCCCTCTTGCGCTGTTCCAGTCTAAAAAAAAAGAGATTTTTTTAATGTTAGAGGATTTGCAAATGTGTTAGTTAAAGGAGGTTTTTTAAAGCGCTAAAAAGCTTACAGGATAGAGGAAGTTGTAACTAACAAACTAAAAGATGCAATGTTTATTCATTCAAAGAGTAAATTAAGTAAAAAGAAGAACAGGAAAAGCGAAATTTTACTACAAAACTACACTAAAACTACATACGCTTGTGCTCATTACGACGCAACAACACACCAGTAAGCAAAAGAATATTCCAAGGAAAAAGCAACACGTTTCTAAAGAAACCCACGACCTTTTGCAAAACGAATAGTAAATCGAAATGTACATACTCTTTCTGCACGCGCCTCTTCACCAAATCCTCCAGCTTATTCGGCGGGAACTTCTTGTAGTACTCCGAGGCCTTCGACAAAATCCCCTCGAAATCCAAATTGTCCGGTATCTGCGACAGCAGGCAATGCACGCTTGCCATATCGCAGAGCTCCGCAAACACTTCTTGTCGCCGGTGTATCACTAAAGCGGAGGCCACGTAGATGGACATGTTCTCGGGCGAGGCCAGGAAGAAATCGTACAGTCGCACCACGTCCCTGTATTGGTTCAACGAGTGCCCGAACCACGTCAGGTACCAGGGCAACGCGAACATCGTGCCTATTCCGGCTCTAAAACGCGATAAATTAGTGTATGATAGTATTATAAAAAATTCTTGTGTACCTGTCGAGGAAATTGTGTAAATCCACGTCGACTTTGGATAGTAGAGCGTAGATGTAATTTAATCTGTACGAGGTTTTTTCCATGGTGGGTTCCATGCATTCGCGTAGATGGGTCGTGCTGAGTTTCTCCATTATTCTGAAAGCCACGACTTCACCTACGACTAGTAGTATCGTAATGGCTACGTCGTGGTACCCTTGGTAGTATCGTAAATGTGGGTATTTAATAATAACTCTTAATATCAGTACGGTTAGCTGGTCTTGTAGCGCTAATCTTTGTTTGTATGGAATGCCTGCAAACGGAGTGAATCGTTTGTAATATATAATTTGAATAAAGGCGAGTTTTTTTACCTGGAGGAAATCGTTTCAACGATCTATTAACATCTAACACGACTTGTTGGTATTCGCTATGACTAGACAATTCTTCTAAAGAAGGGATTTTTTCGTTTGAACTTGGATCAACTTCGAGCAACAGCGGCCAAACTTTGCATCGCAAATCATCTACAAAACGAATGGTTGTTAATATATTAATTGGATTAAATTAGTTGCATACCTGCTACTAATCCGTAGGGAGTAATAGCGAAATTTCGCCAAGTTTTCACCGTACTAACATCGCCAGTCAAAGCGTCTTCTATCAGCAGTCTCTTGTGGGTTTCCTCTTCGGTTTCCAGTGCTGAAATACACGCTTAAATCCACTCGTTTCGTACATTCGATCGCTATTTACCTCTGTCGAATTTCAATTCCGAGCGCGTATCTTCGATATCATCGTCGAATTCTTCGGATTTTCTTTCCGACGACGAGCCGTTGTTGAACAGAGAAATCGTTTCCTCGTCCATACTGCTAATTTCGTCTTCGATTTGCTCCATTCTTCAACGCTTAAAAACACCGATTTAAATTTAAAACATTATTAAAAATCCCGATAAACAAATTGTTTCCCAGTATGATAACCTCCATAAACTGTCACTGTCACAAACGTCAATGTCATGTATATTTATTTGGTAACTTTTACGTCAAAGACAATTAGCTAATTTTTTAAAGAAAGAAAAAGAAAATGAGAATTATTGCGAACAGTGGGTTTCAGTTAAATGTTTGGTTTCTTTTGTCGTACGAACGATCTATGCTTACAAATTTATATCCATTTATAACATTTGTAGACAAGTAACGTGACATACCAACCAGAAGTTTCCAGACCTTGGTTATGTAAGGCCGTAATTGACATTTGACAGCCATTGAAATTCTTTTTTTTTAGCGAATAAAAAAATCAACAATTTTTTGGAAATTAATTTAGGGGGTTTGCACACGATTATAAGCCCGACGGACCCTTTAGAATTTCAAAGCGTTATTATGTTATAATAGGAGTGTATGTAATAATTTGTGATTTGTAGGTGAATTTGTATCGACTCTTAACGAAATTCAACTTGCAAACCGAGAAGGAATAAAAGGAAAACCATAAAAGGAAAATTTCATGAAGAAGTGCGAAATAAGAAGTGTAAGAATTGAGATCGACACGATGGTTTAAAATTTTACTCCTGTAACGTTTTTGTATTTGTTTTGTAGTTGTATTTGTTTTTATAACGTTTTTGTATTAATATTGTGTTAATATTTCGTCTCTATTTTGTTGCATTTAACGGTAGTGAGTTTATTGTAAGAAAATAAAAATATCGTTGAAAGTGTTTTGTTTTATATATTTTGAAATCGCCATTTAATGCATTTTTTATAAAAAAATCGTTCATACTTAATCATTTCTAATGCATTTCTGGCATCTTAGAGGTATATAATAGATAAATTGGTTGCCTACCTAATAGTATCCGTAAATCGATTTTCGATCAATAAATGTAATTCTGGTTGCCTATCTATTGTATTAGTAAAGCGCGAGTAATAAGTATCAGGAGTAAACCTCTTCACACATTCTGCTCTCCTAATACGAATTCTTAAATTCGCAAATTTTTAACGAGAAATTTTCGAACGATGTACAAAACTATTCTTCCGATTTTTACAAATTGCCTTGAAAAAGTTTTGCGTTTTTTTTTCAATAAACTCGACAAAAGTTTTGCGTTTTTTTTCAATAAATTCGAGAAAAGTTTTGCGTTTTTTTTTTCAATAAATTCGAGAAAAGTTTTGCGTTTTTTTTTCAATAAATTCGAGAAAAGTTTTGCGTTTTTTTTTAATAAATTCGACAAAAGTTTTGCGTTTTTTTTTCAATAAATTCGAGAAAAGTTTTGCGTTTTTTTTTCAATAAATTCGACAAAACTTTTAGCATAAATTTCATCCAGGACTTTCCGTAGAAGTACCTCTCTCCATATAATAAATATCTCCTGTTACTAGACTTCCTTGCATATTCTCCTTGCCTAATATCCGAAATTAATCAATGGAGATCTACGAAAACTTGTGCTCAAATCTCGAAATAAAACGTGAATTTAAAATTTCGTATTAGGAGAACAGAATGTGTGAAGAGGTTTACTCCTGATACTTATTACTCGCGCTTTACTAATACAATAGATAGGCAACCAGAATTACCGAAATTTGATTAACTGGTTGCCTTTAACTGTCACTGTCACAAACGTCAATGTCATGTATATTTATTTGGAGACTTTTACGTCAAAGACAATTAGCTAATTTTTTAAGAACAAGAAAATGACAGTTAACTTAATATGACAGTGACGTTTATTAGTTTAAAGAAATGAATCATTTCTAATTATACGATAGAATTTGTTGAAATTAGTGCATAAAAAACAAATATTCTTCAACGTAAAGATGTTTTCGAGCGGTCCCAATTACCCGAAATTGAAGACGAACCTGAGACTGGCCATGTCGAGGCTGAAATTGCTGCAAAAAAAGAAAACCGAACTCACAGAGAAGGCCAGGAAAGAGATTGCGGATTTTATTGCTGCGGGAAAAACGGAACGGGCCAAAATCAGGGTGGAATACATCATAAGGTGAGCTATCTATCAGCTTTATATCGATAAATTGAATACATTTTATTGTATTTAAGGGAGGATTATATGGTGGAAGCTTTAGAGGTGGTCGAAATGTACTGTGATTTGCTGCTGGCGAGATTCGGGTTGATATCGAACATGAAAGAGCTCGACGAAGGTATATCGGAAGCTATTGCCAGTTTAATATGGGTGGCCCCTCGTCTAATGTCCGATATCCAGGTATGTTTTTATACTCGTGACTCATAATTAGTATCATTAATCGAATGATCTGCAGGAATTGAAAGTTATCGGTGACTTACTGGCAGCGAAGTACGGTCAACAGTACGCTGAAGCCTGTCGTGCAGAAAGTATCGAAGCAATAAGTCCGAAATTGAAGCACAAATTATCCATTCACGCTCCCCCGAAGCTGCTCGTCGAGAAGTACATGATAGAAATCGCCAAGTGCTACAATGTAGCTTACGAACCCGATCCGCAAGTCATGGCTTTAGAAAAAGGTAGTTATTAATACATGGACAAATTGTAATTGTAAAGATGTTTGTGTATTTTAGCCAATGATGCTTTACTGATCGATTTGTCGTCGAATAACTTAGGAGGCGGTGGAATGCCCCAGCCGCCTGGATTTTTCGGCTATCCGGTTCCTCCACCATTACCTACTGCTTCTAATCCGGTGCCGTTCGAATATCCGGTAATTTATGATTTACTATTAAAAATCGGTTGTTTTTAACCCTGTTTTTGTGTAGGTTTTTAAAGGAAAAGAGTTAAATGTCGATCCGAGTGCTCCAGTTCCACCGGCTGCGTTCTCTTACAACATCCCTCCCAACGACGGGAAGGAATCCAATACAGATTCGATGGTAGGGTAGAAAATTCCCTTGCATTTATTTTGTATACGTTTTAGTTTTTGTTTTATTTTGTAGGATAACAATTTGCCTACCTATAAGCACCTATATCCGAATTTTAGCGAAAAGGTAACTTTACGATGTGCTAATACTCTCACTCGTTCTAACACATACAAAAGTTACCACATATTTTTCCTAACTAATATCTCCTGTTAAGATTTGATTAATAATATAATGATTTTTTTTTGTAGCCTCCACATCCAAGTGCTTCGGGTGCCGGACAATCGGAACAGGTAATCTTAATGGGATCTTTTCTCGATTGTATTGCTATCGGTATTTTAACTATGATTGCTCTTTAGTTTCGCATCGTTTTATTGAGTTAGTTAATTGCTTTTAGGAGAAACCTAAAATTTCAAATCTTGACGTTAATATAGACGAGGTATGATTTTTTCCACTAACATTTTCACACTTCATGCATTTTTTTCCATTCGAAACCATTTGAATTTCATGTAGGTGTAAGGTGTACAATTTATAGTATTTATATCGATTTTTGATATTAATAAAGTGTTGTGTTTTCAGGACGATGATAAACCCACGCCGGCGCCAAGATTAAAGATGAACGACAAAGTTTACGATTTACCAGAATTGCCTTCGGTGCCCAATTTGGATATCAAAGATTCCCAGGAATCCAATAAGGACGATGATATCGATTTCGATGATTTAACTAGGAGATTCAACGATTTAAAGAAGAAATATTAAATGAATGTGTAAGTGATAAAATTAAGGAGATAAGGGAAAGCTAATGGCCTTTTGCATTTCGGTAAGATAGTTTAGAATTTTTGCAGATAACCAATAGTAATATAGCATTACAAACAAAATATTGTTAGCCTTATTATAAATTACTCAAATTCTATGAACGAACAATTTTTTTTTTATAATCTATGGCAGTTTAATGCATATACATATACTTTTTATTTTCAAATAATTCTATATATACAAGCTACGGAAGTTCTGTATGCGAATTTATCATTTCGTTAAAATATTTGTTCTACTTCATATGAATAACATTGAATACATATTACATTCTATGCTATTAATAATTGATTGTTATGAGAATTGTAATATGCAGGGTGTCATGGGACACCCTGTATACGATTTGTAAAAACTAGTGACTCACTATATTTCCAAAATAAGTGAGTCACTAATTTTGATAAACAGTTCAGTTAAATGTTAACAAACAATTCGCAAATTTAAATTATCTTTTTCACCATTTTGAGATTAATATGTTAGGAATGTTACCATATAAAACTCAAAATTGTGACTACACATATTACTAATGTTTGTAAAGTAAAATATTTTTATAATATAACGTTTCGACAAATTGCTTATTAACTTATTTAAACAAAAAATAAAAAAACCCTAATTCTTAAGTACTTAGAGCGAAAACAATTACAATTTTCTTTGTAAAAAATATACACGAATGTCTCAAATGTAATTCGAGCGCAACTGATTTAACTGATAAATTAAAAGCTTACATATCCCGAAGCGAATCCTACGATTTTAATTAAATACCTGAGATAGATAATGAAAAGGCAGACATTTCCGCCACATTCAACTTTATATCTACAATACTTCGACTACGAAAAAACTCGAATTCTACCAAAATTTACAAGCCTATAATAAAATAAATAGTCCCAATACGCGTTTCAATTCGTCCTTTCCAAGCACATCTTTCCCTTATCCCTTACAACCAACACTTCGAGTTTATAAAAGAAAAAGTTCATCGAACAAAACCGAACACCCCTTCGATCATATTCCCGCTACCTTCAAAACTCGCCAAACACCGTCTGCTAATGCGCCAACGCGTGATTTATACCCTGCGTCATGATCGGATAGGACACCATCGATTGCGGCTGCGCGTTCGACATCGCTATCGCCTGCGCCTGCGTACTGATCGCGTTCATCTGCGAATTCCTCCGCATCTCCGACGCCAAATTCTGCTGCTGTTGCGCCGCCAACAGCTGTTGATTCGTACTGGCCAATGCCAATTGCTGCGGCACGTTCGTCACCGTCAATTGCTGCGCCTGCGTGTTCAACTGTTGATTCGTACTCGCCAAAGCCAACTACGAAACACACAATAATTAGGTAAAAGTAGTTCGAAATTTAGAGGAAACGAACCTGTTGGGCCTGAGAGGTCAATTGCTGATTGGTGTTGGCGATGGCTTGGAGTTGTTGCGCTTGCGCGTTACTCGCCAACGCCATCTGTTGCGTTTGCGTGGCCAATTGCGGAGCGGCCGCGCTCGCCAGCGCCATCTGTTGGTTCGCCATGTGCTGCGCTTGGGACGTCAATTGTTGCGTGGTCGTGGCCAAGGCGAGTTGTTGCGCTTGCGAAGTGAGCTGCGGCTGCTGCGCCTGCGCCTGCGCCGCCGCCAAATTGGTCGCCAAATTTTGCTGCGCTATGGCCAATTGCGCTTGCGAACTGTTCGCTATCGCCAGTTGCGTCGTCGGATTCGTAGTCACTGCGAATTTAACGACGTTTAGATGGTATATAAAGAGATCTAACGAACTAATATACCTAATATTTGCTGGCTATTGGCTAGAATTTGCGCGGGCGCCATACTAACAGCCGGACAACCGGCTATCGATACCGAATGATTACCAGAACCCGGATTACACGTCGAAACCGTAGCCAACGAAACCGGTACGGTAGCCACGCTCGCTATAACCGTCCGGTTAACCTGCGTAGGCGTGTTGGTTATGCTAACCGCCGGCACGTTGACGGTACCGTTCCGTTTGCCGGTCACTCGAAGGGCGGCGTTCTGGTCCAACAGAAACTCGTTGGTGGCCGTCAGATCGGACACTTGCTTCTTGAGCCGGGCGATCTCCTTGCGCAGCAACTGGTTCTCTTCGTCGAGCAACAGGGAGCGGGCGTCGGCGCGAGTCAGCATCGTCGACGGGGGATTACCGGCGAAGTAGCCTTTGAATAGAGGCCGCGAGGCGGCGCTGTTGTCCATCAGATCGCATATTATTTCGGGTTCTTGTTGGGTTACGAAGCGTCGTTTGATCAACGGCAAACCGTCCTCTTTGTAATCGTCGAAACTCACACCGTTCCTTCGGAATACACCTAAAATAATCACATTTATTAATTACATTACACTAATTTCCAATGTATAAAGGCTGTTCATTTACGTTAGACTAGTGGATATCGGGCCAGCCTGTTGCAACGTTGCCGGGTTGTCATTGATATCCTTGATGTGACAGATATATTCGATTTGAGGTTATGTTTACTTTCGTTGTTTACAAATTTAAAAAACGTCTTAAATAGTTGAATTTAAACATGAAAAAGTAGATCAGGAGGAGATGTGAGCTTGCAAGCATCGATTTAACAGAACATTATGTGATTTTTTTACGATTAGGTCAATTATTCCAATAGTCTTCTTCCTCTAAACCGTCCCGTTCTCTATCAAAATAGGTCGAAAAACAAACCGAAAAACTCTCTAAAACGAACGGAAAACACAAAACCTACTCGTAAGCTTGCACGAATTGCAAGAAAAATGCGAAAAATCGCATAAAAAGTAGCGAAAAACAACAAATTGTAAACATAACCTGTCAACATAAAAGAGCGGAATTTTAAGACTAACGCAAGACAACATCGCTTCGGAAGTTCCAACCGCGCGCCGTAAAATTCCCCAAATCAAATGGTAGAATTAACATTGGCACTAGGAACATTTTGAACTGCGCGGAAATTACTAAAAAAATTACCAAACAGTCTAACGAAAAATGGATATCCTTTACACTAACTTCAATGTACAGTTGTAAGTACCTAACGATTCTAAAGTAACCAATTGAGCCTCCGCCAAGTTGTTGTTGTTGTTATTGTTAAACACGATGGGGTTGTTGGGTTTCTTTTGAGCGGTGTTCTGTACAAATTCCGCGATCTCAACCTCCTCTTGTTCTTTAGTGATGTGCCGGTATTTACAGAACGTCCGGCGACATTGGCCCTTTTTGAATTGATTGCAAATGGGCGGCACGCCGGGCAATTGGTTCTTCCTGGTCGCCTCGGCGATGATTTGGTTCGACATCTGGCCGGTGCGCTTGTACTCGTCCACCTCTTCGGCCGAACAATGGATGAATCTAAAACGATATATCGCTTAGAAAGGAGTATAATAGTTGGGTAAATGTTGTGGGTTACTTGCAAAACGGTCGCGGGCAGACGAAGTTCTGGAAATCGTGGCAGAAATTCAACGGTTTGGCGTCGCTTTCGTGCTTGAATTTGCAGAATTTCCGGTCGCAGAGGCCGCGAGAATAGTCCCTGCAGAGGTTCTCGTCCTTGTCGCCGGTCCTGTCGGATTGCAGGGTTTCTTCGGACGTGTCAGACATCGTTTAGTCGAGCGAAATATTATCGATAATGGGCTGTGAACAAGCAACAAGAAAAAACGAAGGAAATTAGCAACAACACTTAGCGATAAAAGGAATAGCGTGTAGAGTTAAAACGCGACGGGGGTGGCGCGCGTAAAGGGTCAATACACCCTTATACACACCCTAAATAAATACTAGTTTTTGCAATAAATATATAACAAATTAACAACTATACGATTGAAAAGTAGGTTGAAAAAGTGTAATATTTAGGCGTGTAGAATACGAGATATTACACTCAAATTTCTTAAAGTATTAGAAGCGATGAGATGTGGTAGGAGTGGTATTAAAAAGGGTATAAATAGGAGCAAAGCGAACGCGCCCTGTTCAGTCTTCAGTCGACAACGCCTTGCATTAGAAAATGCTGTTTTATGTTGCGATTTTTATAATTTTCAATTTTACACGGATAAATGCTGTCAGCGACATGTCGGACGAAACGTGCGAAACGCTACCGTCGGAAATACATTTAACGAAAGGTAAAACAATCCGCATAAAAAAATAGTAACGAAATATTTGTTTTTTTTTTGTAGAGGAATACGACGAATTGGGCCGCCTGCAGCGCACCTGCAACGGCGAAATAGCGGTCAACAAATGCGAAGGATCCTGCAAAAGTCAAGTACAACCGTCCGTCATCACTCCCACGGGATTTTTAAAGGTACAAACAAAAATAACCGTTATTTCCCTACACCTCTACACCACAAAATCCATTCCCACCTCTATTAATCAACTGTCGCTAAACGTCATACTTGACAGTTACATAACCTCTATTACGCAAACGTCACTAAACGAATTATTTTTGACAGTTAGATACAATCGTGCGCAACTTAAACGCCCACGCTAATTAATTTTTTTCTAATTGTTTCAGGAATGCTACTGTTGCAGAGAGAGCTTCCTGCGCGAGCGCATCGTGACGTTGACGCACTGCTACGATCCCGACGGAGTCCGATTGACGGGCGAAGGGAACAACGCGCTCGACGTCAAACTGCGAGAACCGGCCGAATGTAAATGTTTCAAATGCGGCGATTTCAGCCGATAGAAAAAAAAATTAAAAACACCCCTTTAGAGAATGTTTTGTATCTAGCGTGCGCGTGTAACACAAATTTAGTAGCTTCACAAATAAAAAAAAAAGGTATTTACGATTCGAACTCTACTGGCGTTTTACTACCACCCCCTTATTCGTCCGTGGGCAGCTCGTAACGGAGGTGCAATTCCTTTATGGTGATCCCTTCGACTTCGGCCAAACGTCCTAAAATCGTTTGGGCCAGGTCCTTCGTTTCGTTGTAATCGTGCAAAGCTTCCATTTGCGGTCGCAAATCCCCCGTTACACCGTCCCGTTCCAACGAACCAATCTCCACCTCTAATTCGCCTACTTGTTTTTGCAAACGTTCCACTCTAAAACAAACAACGCACATTAATAAAGATTATAATAAGCTTCGATTACTACACGAATTAATATTTAACGATACCAGAGATATTCTACGATATAGAGTTTCCATCTATACGAGAAGCTGTCTTTATTGCACCCACAGACACTATACACAGTGCAAATTTGTGCAAAATAATTACCTGGATTTGAGTTCGATGTTGGATAGTTTTAGCTTGGAATCGATCCTCTTGAGCGCTTTTCTACCGGAGCTAGAAGCCATAAAGGGACCTGCAACAAATCGAACGATTCTAAATAAACGGGGGGTATTTCGGGGGGACCTCCTGCGATAGGTACATGTGCGAATCCATTAGATCGCCCTAGCGGGGGGGCCGAATCGGGGGGTAACACTCTCCTAGTGCAAGCGAAAAAAATGTAACTTAATGGATTTTTAGATTGTGTAAAAAAACACACACACAACAAAAGCGATCGGTGTTGATAAATAGGGAGTCTGTTTAATAAGAATCGCCAGTAGTGGTGTCGATCGAGCAGGGATGTTTCTCAACATACACTCGATAAGTACTGGTGTTCGATTTCCATCGTACAATCGAATTATACGATTAAATACTCTTTTTGTAGTTTGTAAAAAGTTATGGAATCTTCTGGTCGTGCTGGTTATCATGGAAAACATGTGCGTGGATCCCAGATTGAGGAGCAATCGAGCCGAAGCAGCTAGTTCGACTGACGAATGCCAAGTGACACCGGTGATACATGTGCTTCAATACCCGGGCTGCGTACCGAAGCCCATACCGAGCTTCGCTTGCATTGGACGGTGCTCGTCGTACTTGCAGGTAAGTAAAAGGCCAGTGCAGGTGGATGCGTTTGCGGTGAATCTGGGGAGGCTTGGAAAGTTTTAACGCTTGAAATGTGTTTTTATGTGCTGTAGGTGTCTGGCAGTAAAATATGGCAAATGGAAAGGTCCTGCATGTGCTGTCAGGAGTCCGGTGAAAGGGAGGCTTCGGTGTCGCTGTTTTGCCCGAAAGCGAAGCCAGGAGAACGGAAATTCATAAAGGTTTGTTCGCTGTAGAAATTAGGAATAGACGGAGACGGGAATTAACAATTAACCTTACCTTGGAATCATCGGTGCGAAAACCAACCATTAACTACACCAATTAAACAACAAAATGTCGAAAATCGCGAAAATGAAAGCAATATTTTTCGCAATGTTAAAATTCGATAAATCTTGTCAACTGTCACATGTCATCATTAAGTCAAAAATTTTATTACGATTTTTTTACGTTCGGTTGTATTACTTTCCCTTGTCTTACGCATTTACGAACTGTTTTCTTCTTTTTTTAATAGCAGAAAACTGTAACAAAGCGATTGCAAAGGCGGCTACATTTTGCCTGTTGATTAGAAGATGGCGCTGAATACATAAAATTATTTAAAATTGCTATTTTAAACCAAATTCATATTTCCAGTACACAATAATCAAATTACAAGTTAAATAACTGCACAAACTGTCAAACTTGTCAATAATTGACTTAGAGGTGGGAACGAATTTTCGATAATAGAGATGCCGTAACTTCCGTTACAAATTAACTGTTTTTTCAGGTAACTACAAAGGCGCCATTGGAGTGCATGTGCAGACCTTGCACCGGAGTAGAAGAGAGCGCCGTGATTCCCCAAGAAATCGCCGGTTACTCGGACGAAACGCCGCTCTCCGGGCATTTCCTAAAATCCCACCAGCTCTAAATCGATATAGAAAAAAATCTACCAGATGAATAAAATTGTAATCGACTTGATTAGATGATTTTTTATTGTTTTATTAAAGAATTATTTATATTGGAGAATAACGGTTATTTATTTTATATCAACATCAACCACCCTAAACACCTCGTGTGTAGTATATATACAAAAAAAATACCGTGCGAAATCGATCAATCTTCTGATGGTAAACAAACCGTTTGTACCGAATCCAAAAACACCATCCGATTCGCTCTGAAATTCTCGTAAATCTCGCTATTTTTCTCGTACACCAGCGCCCTCTGTCTGTCATAATCCACCTCCAAATCGCCCCCGTACTCCTTCGGCAACGACTCCTTATCCACGTACCGATACAACGATTCGAAATCGCTGAAATGGAACTTGACCGCCTCTTTGATTTGCTGCGGCAGAAAAGGCCACACGATTTTAATGGCCACGTTGATCAACAGCGAGCTGTTGACGACGTGATAGTGGAACTCCTTGATCGGCATGCTCAGTATCCGTTTCACGGCGATTTTGATGTTGCCCGGCGTCAGCCATTTCATCAGCTTCAGCGAGAAATTCGAGATGTCCACGATCACGCAGAGGCCTTTGTCGATGCTGCCGTCCGATAGGAACAAGGCCTCCACGAAGAAATCGTCCACGGCCACCACGTCTTCGATCAAATCCATCACGGACGGGTCCATGTTGCCTTATTGATAAAAAAAAGAAGAAGAATGATAGTTGGTTATTTTTAAGCTAGTGGTCTTTTACTTAGTAGGTTATTGGTTACCTAATTTTATGATGTATATGGGTCTTCCTTCTTTGTCGGTGCGGTCGATCAGTATGCGGATGTCTTTTTCTATTATGGCCTTTTTATCGGTTGGTCTGAGTTTTGTGAACCAATTTGGGTGAGTGGTTAAAGTGTCGTAAAAATTATGGACCCTATCCAGGGCGGTTTTGGCATCGTAATCGGCGCAATTCAAAAATCTGCTCAAATATCGGTTATCTACTTTCAAATTTTTCAATATTTGGTCGTCTGAAAAGTGCGAAATGTCAATTTGTTGAATTATATACCTGAAATCAAGTTACCTTGCATTAGTTTTCTCAGTTCCATCACGGCCCTCTCTTCGTTGGATTCGTTTTCGTTGTCCAGTTTATCGTCGGTGGCAGTTCCATTGGACATTTTCCGGGTTGAAAATTCCGGAAATTTTTTCTACGTTATCGAAGCGAAATCGATACTGAGGCGATTCGCGAAAAAGCGGGTCTTATCGATAACTGTGATGCAATTTTTCTTATCGAATCGTGTAATTCGAATTTCTCGTCGTACGGCTATTGTTTTTATTTTTTTTTTATTTTTATCGTCGTTAAAGTCTATAAAGATTGTCCTGCAAACGTGATTTCGATACTTACGCGTGAATTATGCGGTTTTTTTTCGAATTTCTGCGCTCGTTCCGGCCGAAAAGTCACTTTGACAGTTGATTGACAACGTGAAAGTCGGTTGTGGAACGCGAAATTCGAAGAAATCCAGAAACTGTCATGAAACGTCATTTATTGAAGCGAACGAAAAAAATTCGCGCTGTATAAAAAATATGTATGACTTTATTATACGAAAATGTGTAATTAGTCAGTCATTAATTGCAGAGTTACAATTAAATAATCGAACGATTAAATCGTTTATTTACAAAACGTGTGCCGGCATGCGCTTCGCGCGAAATTCTTTAGTAATACACAAACAGTTTTACCATAAACTGGCATATAAAATTCCTGCGTAATGCTTTTCTCATGTTAAACAAACATAAAAAATTACAATTGTTTAACAATTAATCAATCTGCTAGTTATCACCAAAGGACAAAAAGTAATTACAGAATTCACCATTAAAAGAATGTACGTTTTTTTTAAGTATATAAAAGAAAACAATAAAGAGGCCATTAAAATGTAACAAGTAATTTATTGACAATTGACATATGACATAAAATCGTTGTCGCAAATGCGCTTCTCAGGAAAAGTTTACTTTTTATCTAAATAATAACCAACAACAAATTAAAAAAAACCTACTTTATTACAAAACAATCAACAACAATTCATTATACATACTACAAACAAATCCCCCAAAATCCCCACCCCCCAAATCATCAACCCCCAATCCCCATCTCGACCTTCCTCCTCGCCACGAACTCCCTCAAACCGTACCCGCACCGCTCCAACTCCCCCATCACCGCCTCGTTCCCCACCACCGCCTCCTTGAACCACCTCTCCAGCGACTCCCCCGCCCCCTCCCCCAGCCCCTTCACGTCCACGCTGTCCCTCAACCCCTCCCAGTCGTTGTGGAAGTGCACCCGCCGCCTCACGAACTCCGATATCAGCACTTTGACCATGGCGAAGGCGGTGTCGAACATCCACGTGGTGTTGACGAAGTGCACCGCCTCCAGGCGAAGCGGGTACGCCGTCTACAAAAACCGTTTAATTTCACCTATATGTAGTTAGAAGGAGGTGGGGGGCGGGTTGGGGTTTTGGGGGCGGTTGCGGTGGAGAGTACCGTGAGGAAGTTGGAGGGATTTGGAATGGGGTTGTGATGGAAGAGGTGAAGCTGCAGAAGGAGATCTTTATGTTGGATTATCTGGTTGGTACTCATTTATTTCAATTGTAACTCAATTCTACCAACAGAGGTACTACTATAAGTACCAGTTGGTGTTTGGTATTGTTAGAGGAATGGTAATATTTGGATTGTCTGGTAGGTACTCATTTATTTCAGTTATAATTCAATTCTACCAACAGAGGTACTACTACGAGTACCAGTTGGTGTTTGGTATTGTTAGAGGAATGGTAATATTTGGATTGTCTGGTAGGTACTCATTTATTTCAGTTATAATTCAATTCTACCAACAGAGGTACTACTACGAGTATCATTTGGTGCTTGGAATTGTTAGAGGAATGGTACCATTTGGTAGCTACTCATTTTTCCACATGAAATCAACACCAAAATCGATACTAGAAAACCTCTTGCCTAAGAATATCAACTCTACAAGAAACAGGTGGTACTATTATGAGTATCATTTGGTGCTTGGTATTGTTAGAGGAATGGTACCATTTGGTAGCTACTCATTTTTTCACATGAAATCAACACCAAAATCGATACTAGAAAACCTCTTGCCTAAGAATATCAACTCTACAAGAAACAGGTGGTACTATTATGAGTATCATTTGGTGCTTGGAATTGTTAGAGGAATGGTACCATTTGGTAGCTACACATTTTTCCACATGAAATCAACACCAAAATCGATACTAGAAAACCTCTTGCCTAAGAATATCAACTCTACAAGAAACAGATGGTACTATTATGATATTACTATTATTTGGTGCTTGGAATTGTTAGAGGATTGGTACCATTTGGTAGCTACACATTTTTCCACATGAAATCAACACCAAAATCGATACTAGAAAACCTCTTGCCTAAGAATATCAACTCTACAAGAAACAGGTGGTACTATTATGAGTATCATTTGGTGCTTGGAATTGTTAGAGGAATGGTACCATTTGGTAGCTACACATTTTTCCACATGAAATAAACACCAAAATCGATACTAGAAAACCTCTTGCCTAAGAATATCAACTCTACAAGAAACAGGTGGTACTATTATGAGTATCATTTGGTGCTTGGAATTGTTAGAGGAATGGTACCATTTGGTAGCTACACATTTTTCCACATGAAATCAACACCAAAATCGATACTAGAAAACCTCTTGTCTAAGAATATCAACTCTACAAGAAACAGGTGGTACTATTACGAGTACCGTTCGGAGCTTACCACAGATAAATTGACCAAATGCTTGGCCAATTTGGGCGTCATGTACCAGACCATTTCCAAGGTGATGCCGCTCACGTCGATGACGAGTACCGCCCCCCTGATCTGAGTTTCGGGTTCCAGCAGGCTGATTTGCGTGAGGAACACGACGAATTGTATGAGTTCCGTGGGCGTGTAGTCCGATGGTACCCATTTACCTGAAATATTACGTCGGGTACTTGAAAGTTCGCCCATCGTACCTCGAGGGTACTCTTGTATCGAGTGCGTTGTAAACGTTTAGAAATTGTGGATTTTTCAGTACTACTTCGCCGAAGTGCATATACGAGGGCGCGTCGATGGGAAGTTTTAGAGGTGGGAACGTTACAATGTAACTGTTATTTTGTAATATATCTCGTTGTGGAATGATTACTTATCGTTCGCGCCTGGTAATAGAAATTTCGTAATTCGAGCAAATCGAAGTAGGTGCTGATTTTTATCAGTAATCTCGATAATTCTCGTGTTATATAGAATACTTTAACGCCTCATTTGTGTTATGAACGAACGGAAATTGTTCGGAAAGATAACAATTAGAAAATGATTTGTCGAGTAGAAATTTTCGATTTTTGTATATCGATCTTATTGGTATAATTTGCCATTAAACACGAATACACTATTAATTTTATCTACTACGAAATATATTAGACGAAAATATTGTTATATAGAAACCTTGATAAACGAGGTTGAACAACGTTTTAATAATAACGTATAAATAAATAATCCTTTAGTATAAATCGTCGTTAAAGTTTAATTAAATCTCGACCGAAGGTATAATTAAATGGTTAATTAATTTTTGGCGCTTACCGAATTTAATCAACAACAATCTCCTTCCCAATTGGTCCCTGTTAGGCGGTACTGTAAATATTCCGGTTTTCGATATATTGTACAATTTATCTAAGGACACGTTATAAAAATAATCCGGGACGTCTTCCTTGAAATGGTGATAATTCACGTACTATAAAAAAAAAATCCAAAATTTATTACATTTAACCGACGGTTTATTTAACCGACGGTTAAACTTACCAATCGATGGGCCTTTTGCACGCAGAAATCCCGCGCCCGCAGGAACCTCAGCAGGAATTCGTCGTCTAGTCGGCTGGGCACGCATTCCCCTTTCTCTATACCAAATCAAACCTGTCAAATACGTCACCTGTCACTTGTCGTACGTCGCTTACCGTATATCCTGTCCTTTAGTTCAGACAGCAAGAGGTCCTTAACGTCGGGATTTTCGTTTATGTGATTCCTGGCCCATTCTAATAACTCCTTAGAGGGTCCTTCGATGTCGACTTTGCATTTGGCGTAGGTTTTTTCGTTTGAATTCGAATTTAAATCGTCGTCGGCCATGCTGCGAATTCGAACTGACAGTTTGACAGTTGATGTATAGAATTTTTTTGTATATACGAGGGGCGGTTAATAATTTAAACGAGTGAAAACGGTATTGTTGTTGTAAATAATGTACTTGTAATGCAATTAGTAGATAAGAGGTTTATGTATGGGCGATTCGAGATGTATTGGAGAGCGCAATAGAAATTAATTGCGGATTTTTTTTAACGTATGAACGCTCGTGAAGCCGGTTTCGTTATTTTTACGTAATACTTCCGCTATAAGAGTAAAAGAATACGTTATATAAGATGCATGCAGATGAAATCTAAAAGTTAATAAAATAATACACATAAAATTCCCCTATATACACCAATATAATTATTAAAAAAAAACTAGAAAGCTCGTGTTGAATAACCATCGTAATAATTATTAATTTTTTTATTACTTATTAATTAAATTAAGCGGTGATTTTATTTTTTTTATTTTTCGAAAACTCACCTCGGAGTAGAATCGATACGTTTCGCGCTTTTAATCGATACTGAGCGAGTCGGGAATCCGATTCGATTATTTATTTACTAATCGAGTATCACCTTCCATGTATTATTCTAATGTAATGCTAAATGTTATTCGTTAATTGCGAATGACGAATGGCGGCCATATTGCATCACCCGGTATGGTTTTCAGGAAGGTCAAGTTCGTAAATTTCAATGAAAATGTTTTATTGAAAACGAGTTTCGTTCTGTATTTGGGGAACCACTGGTTTTGTTTTGATGAAATAATGCAATATGTGGATTTAATTTGAATTAAAAAAAATTGACAAGAGGCGGTAAATTTTCGAATATTTTATTATTTTATTGTAGTACTCATATTGAGGATTTCGAGTACTTTTTGAGTATTTATTTCGACTTAAAAATCAATTAAATTACGCACTTACCTGTATCTTTTCGGATGCAAATAAATAACTAAAAAAAAAATAACAAATCTTCTCCGCTGAAATTGCACCAGTTCAATTCACATTGCTCGATCGAACTAACAAATAAACAACCTTCAAATGATTGTTTACTCGACGATCTGATGTCTTATCTCAACAGCCTTTCTCCAGCATTTTCTCGCTCGTTCCTACCCAAAATATGAATTTATCACAAACTTGTACGAATAACCGAATCGGTTGAGGCCTTCGTATCCAATCAGCAAAGAAGAATGTCAAACGTCAAACTTACCAAACGACATTTTTGACATCCACGACCAACTTTTCTAAATAATAGTAGGGTATAGAAATGAAAGAAAATAACGAATAAAAAAACGAACTAATTATAAAATAATTAAACATTCGGCACATTCGGAGTGGTCCAAACGTAACGAGCTCTTGGAGTAACGGCCAATTTGAATCTATCGATCGTTTCTAACACGTAAACCATCGCAGTAATGTACCCGATAATCTACAAAAAAAATTTTTTTATTATTCTCGTACCACCCCTGTATTAGTTACAATGGCAAAACAAATCGACTCACCCCCGTAACGACGAACATCCTGGTCATCTCCGACAAGGCCACGGAGGCTCCGAGCGCCAGAATTAGAGCCACGGCCGTGCAATTAGAGCACTCTATCCATTCCCAAGGGAACGAGGACTTCCTGAAGATGCACCGGTAGTTGACGATTAGAAAGAAGGCTGTGGTGATTAGAGCGTACACGCAGCCTACCAGGATGATGACGGTTTGGAAACAGAAGCCTGTCGCGCAGCCTGAGATCAGTATCGCCAGGTTTAGAACCTGGAATGCAATTCGATCGCTAGAAGTATCTAGTAGTCGTAAAATATGACGTGCGAAATGTCAAAATTTGTTTGTTGATGGCTTTTTAATTGGCCTACTCGATTTTGGAGTGAAAAATATTGCTAAAAAGTATCTAGTAATCGTAAATTATGACGTGCAAAATGTCAAAATTGTTTTTAATTGGCCTACTCGATTTTGGAGTGAAAAATATTGCTAAAAAGTATCTAATAATCGTAAATTTTGACGGGCGAAATGTCAAAATTGTTTTTAATTGGCCTACTCGATTTTGTAGTGAAAAATATTGCTAAAAAGTATCTAATAATCGTAAATTTTGACGGGCGAAATGTCAAAATGGCTTTTAATTGGCCTACTCGATTTTGGAGTGAAAAATATTGCTAAAAAGTATCTAATAATCGTAAATTTTGACGGGCGAAATGTCAAAATTATTTTTAATTGGCCTACTCGATTTTGTAGTGAAAAATATTGCTAAAAAGTATCTAATAATCGTAAATTTTGACGGGCGAAATGTCAAAATTGTTTTTAATTGGCCTACTCGATTTTGTAGTGAAAAATATTGCTAAAAAGTATCTAATAATCGTAAATTTTGACGGGCGAAATGTCAAAATTGTTTTTAATTGGCCTACTCGATTTTGTAGTGAAAAATATTGCTAAAAAGTATCTAATAATCGTAAATTATGACGTGCGAAATGTCAAAATTGCTTTTAATTGGCCTACTCGATTTTGTAGTGAAAAATATTTGGTACCTGTTCGGTTATTTTCAACAAACCGGGGTAGCTTTTGAGGTACTCGACACCGTGTTTTTGCGCCTAAAAACCGAAATTAATAGATTAATAGATTAATTATTAGTGTAATAAAACGATTAAGGGACTTACGCTCATATCGATGACCTGATTTTGCACCTACATACTTCGCGATTCCGTAAAAATGTAATAAAATCGAACGTTCCACGGCCGACTTCGTTATAATCGTTATCATCGTCGTATCGAAGAGATAACGTTTGAAAAATATATGAAATTCGCTGCGTTGATAAAGCGACGAGTAATTGCCGTATTGCAACATTGTTTTCTAAGGGAATATATTTCTAATTTATTTATTGGGAATGTAAATTTTCAAAAAAAATTGAGCTGTATATAACGATTTAGTAAAACATAAATTGGGACACTCTGTAAATGGTTTTCGGTGTTGATAACCTTTGGTTGTAGATGTCATGTGTAGATTTTTTGTAAAAAAAAGAGAAACTGTGTGCAATTATCTCAATTTTGAAAAATTTGTGATCATTTGCGCCATCTCTTATTAACTACCAGAAGTTGTAGAATTGCTATAAAAGAAACCTGTATTTAAAACTATCAGTTCAAAACAACACCGCTAGATGGCAGACAAAATTAAATAGAAACCTGTAATTTAGAAATTACAAATTTCGAAAAATCATTTCTCGTAAAAAACAGGCGAATAAAACACAACAGAATATAAAAAAACAAACAATTTTATTAGAAATAATAATTATTAGGTACATATTTACAGGAAATATAAACATGGCCAAGTCTTATAATAATATAACAATACTCTTTAATAATAATAATAATAATATATCTAAAAAATTCAACTCGGATAAAGTCAAAATAGGAAGGTAAACACAACAATTAAAAACATACAAAACAGAAGGGATAAACAATACAATATCTATTTTATAAACAAGACATCAAGTCATCGTCAAATATATTGCACTATCCGATTATTTTATGTAATAGAGAATAAACACAGTAAAGTACGTTCAAGTAAACTAAAGCGTGACGTCATCGTCAAAATCTTATATTGAACGCACTATAGATAGAAAATATCAAGCTGTTTGTATGCGATTGGTCGGTTCTTTTATTTTATTATTTAACATCGAATTTTTTGCATATTTAACTGGAGAATTTTCGGCGGAAAATACGCCGAGAACCATTTCGAAAATCCGCTTTGCTCATCGCAAATTTTTGGCAAAGCGATCCGTCCAGGTCACTTCGAAATTCTAAAAATATTGTAACATATTTCGTATTTTTCCGAAAAAATTTCCTGCGGCCTAGAAAAAGCTCGTTAGAAGAAAAAAAAAAACGCTTACACATGTACATTTAGAATATTTTTGCGTGTTGTAAACGAAATATTATACTCCGTTCGAGATCTGGCATCTCCCGATAGCGAACGGAGTATAACGACAAAAATTGTGTTTGTTTTTTTTTTGACACGAAACTATTTACAAAAAATTAAATCATACGCAGTCTATATTCGTTTATTTTTTTAAATATATTTTTCATTGGAATAAATAAATATTGAGCCGTTCGACCGTGACTAGGTTGGTACTAAAAGTACATCATTTCCGGTACTCATTTCATCCAATCCAATTGACTTATTTACAAAAATTTCGTACCATCAAACGTTCGTCATTATTAAAACAAAAAAACACTACACGCGAAACAACAAACCGTCGTTTGGACTACAACATTGTAAAAAAAAAAAACCGTCGTTTGGTACATTACAATACGATACACACCCCCAAAGCGGGGCCCTTCGATAAACACTCCACAAACTCGAAGCTCGATCAATCAAATCAACTCAATCCAACATCACCAAACTTCATCTACCCTTCTTCTTCCGCTCTTTCGCCAATTTCCTCCTCTTCAATATCATCTCGTACAGAACCTCCAAACCCTCGTGCAACCCGTCCCCCGTTATAGCGCAGGCCGGTTGCACGTGCCACAAATGCCCCCCGGGCGCCCCTCCCCCGCCGCCCCCCAACTCGCCCAACCCCAGCAGCTTCTCGAGCTCGCGCGGCTCCCGCGCCCCCGGCAGGTCCTGCTTGTTGGCCAGCACCAGAATGGGCACGCCGAGGTTCTCGGGCGCCTTCACCGTCCGCACCAGCTCCATCTTGGCCTCCTCCATGCGCTCCATGTCGACGCTGTCCAGCACGAACACGATGCCGTCGGTGCACCGGGTGTAGGACTTCCACAGGGGGCGCAGTTTCTCCTGCCCGCCCACGTCCCACACCAGGAAATTCACGCCTGGAATTAGCACCCAATTCGCTATCACATCGAGCTGTTTGCTCTTGGTGTATAAAGGTAGAAGGAGCTAGAGGAGGCTTCTGAATGAGAACCAGGCAGGAAGATGTGGGGAATACACCAAGGGAATTGGACAATTTCGGACAAACAAGCTTCTTGCTGAGAACCAGGCAGGAAGATTTGTACAAACAAGCTTCTAAATGAGAACCAGGCAGGAAGATTTGGACAAACAAGCTTCTAAATGAGAACCAGGCAGGAAGATTTTGACAAACAAGCTTCTAAATGCTAACCAGGCAGGAAGATTTTGACAAACAAGCTTCTAAATGCTAACCAGGCAGGAATATTTGGACAAACAAGCTTCTAAATGCTAACCAGGCAGGAAGATTTTGACAAACAAGCTTCTAAATGCTAACCAGGCAGGAATATTTGGACAAACAAGCTTCTAAATGAGAACCAGTCAGGAAGATTTTGACAAACAAGCTTCTAAATGCTAACCAGGCATGAAGATTTGGATAAACAAGCTTTCTAAATGATAACCAGGTAGGAAGATTTGAACAAACAAGCTTCTGAATGAGAACCAGGCAGGAAGATGTGGAGAATACACTAAGGGAATTGGACAATTTGGACAAACAAGTTTCTAAATGAGGACCAGGTAGGAAGATTTGAACAAACAAGCTTCTGAATGAGAACCAGGCATGAAGATGTTGGGAATACACTAAAGGAATTGGACAATTTGGACAAACAAGCTTCCAAACGAGGACCAAGTGCTGTTTTCGTACAGAGGAAGACGTGCTAAGGGAATTTGGACAAACGAGGTGCGTAAAAGGAGAGGAGATATACTGACCTTTGGCCTTTCCGATGGTGCCCTTGACCTTCTCGCAATTGAAGCCGATGGTGGGGACGGTGTTGAGGTATTGGTCGAATTTGAGGCGATAGAGGGCGGTGGTTTTGCCGGCCGAATCGAGGCCCAGCATGACGACGTGCAGGGTGCTCTGGCCGGACGGCAGGGCGTCCAATAGGGACGCGTTCTTGCCCATATTGGCACCCATTTGGGTGGCTTAATGATCGTTGGGTTCCCACAGCGTCATCGTCACCGTGTTTTGTGCGAGTGTGTTCCACGAATCGGGGATCTTCGGAAAAAAAAGATACAGTTACAAAGTCACAGTTACAAAGTAACAGTTTAGTTTATGACACCTCTATTTCGGTGGGTTTTTTTTTTCTTCTATTTTGCGGGGCCTCGTCTGGTTGGGCGATAAGATATATCGAATTTTTCGTACATATCTTTGCTACTAAATTATTATTATGAATAAAATATGTGTTTGTGTGTCATGTTTAGCCGTTTTGTTGTTGTTTAATCGTTGATCGAGAAGAAAGTGATGATTTTTTTTTTGCGAGAGTCTTTGCGGAGAAATAGAGAGAGAATTAATTTATGATCGTTTTGCGTTCGATATAAGAACTATTTTTAATGTATTCGAGTATTTGGGTCGATTGGTTTATTAGTTGTTTTATTCTATTAGATTTCGCGGAATCCGGACGTTCTTCGAATTGCTCCGGTTGGATTTTGTATTTTCGAAAATTCCCTTGCGGTTTCGACTGTGAATCAGGTAAAAAAAACGCTTCGATTTACCGGGGGAAAACCGCAAATAAATTGCACATAAAAGAAGAATTGTACTTGGCTGTATGCACCAGGAACAAGAGGCCAAATTTAACCACCCTTATTTTAAACAATTTTACAAGAAAAACGAAGTTTTTTTCACTAAAATCTGGTTCCCACGGGGTGCACATCTGCGCCCCATTAAATCCCGTACAGTCATTTCATCCCCTATGCATAAATCTCCTGTAAATCTACGAGGGGAAGTCTATATTTAGCCGGCGTAAATCGTAAGGTGAGATGGAATGTCGCCTTGTCAACGACATCAGTTTATTTTTAATTTATCGCAGCAATAAAATCGAATTTGTTATGCCTACATCATTATTCCTGCAGTATATTTGAATGATAAACTGTTCGGTTTTTTTTTATTAATAAATATCGAACGGGAGATTCTCGAAATTTCATCGAAAATTGTATTGTACAAACGATTTCGTAATAATTAATGTCATAAAAATGCGAAGGAAAAAAATTGGATAATATTAAATTGTATACAAATATGTATTATTATTTTTTTTTTTCAAAGCGGTACAATAACCTCGTAGACGAGAGAGTTTCTAACTAATTAGCGCTAATTTTCATCGAAATTAAAATTAATAACAGTCGCCTCACTGGGAATATCGCCATTTTATTTTTTTATATAATATTATAGTAACACAAACGAGCGTTTCGTTAATTCGAATTCATGACACAGATAAAGCGACATGATTAATTTCAACTCTAACCTTTTTATCGCAATAATTAACACTAATTAATCCACGCATTGGGCCACCCTGTATACGGATTTGTTTTGTAAAGACACTTTACAGTCATATAAAAATAAGCAACTCGCGGTTTCTTAGAAATGTTTCGAATTATCGTGCACTTTTGTGTAACACACACGATTCAATTTCCTTGTAGGAGTTTTTTTTTATAATTCTTTATCTTCGAGTAGGTACAGGTGAAATTTCTAATCGCCCCTCGTATCGTTAGTTTGTAGTTTTAGAAAGAATTCAACCGGAATGTTTTCTAATAAGATTATAACTAATCCTACGATGCAGGTAAAAATTTGTCATAATTAAAACGGTAAAAAAAATCGTATAATTCCGAGATTTCGTTTTCAATAAAACGATCAATTTCGAAAATCCCACGACCACAAATTACGAAATCGAAAAATATACGATTAAACATTATTAAACTGGCTTTTGAGCAACGAATGTACAGTTAAAAAATAACATACGTATACGAGGGGCGAACGATTAATTCCTCTACTCGAAGTATAAAGGGCTGTACGATTAATTCCTCACAAAATCGTTAATTTTTTATTAGTCTGGTTTAATGAATGAATAATTAAACCAAAACTGGGAAAGTTTCTGAAACTTTTCCGAGCCCACTCGTAAAAAATCTCGTTCAAAATCGACGTGGGTGTCCTTTATAAAAACGCCACATTCAATAATTCATTTAATCGATGTCTCGCATCTACAAAACTTATAATTAAGGACTTATAAGGGACAGGTATTTCGATCGAAACGTTTCGTTCCAGCACAAGGCAATTTTTAACCCTTTATAACCCTTCATAAATCAAATACAGCCACTACAAACCTAACAAAATCACAGTTATATCAATCATCAAAATGATGTTGCAACTTCACCCCGTTAATAATCCAGTATATAGTGACCGAATGGCCTAACAAGTGAAGGCCATATTAGGCGTCGTTGCCGGTCAATGTGAAGGTCGCCTTTTTCCTCTCAGGATTATCGCGTAGGCTCTCATCGAAGGAATGCCTAATATAGATAAAGGTGCAATTGATGAGTAGGCGGTCGGGGAATCACCGGAAAAGGTCGTTTTAAGGTTGATGGAAGAAAGCACGAAACACGAGAAAAAAAATTTCAACTTACGACGAGTTTAACGCCCTTCATATGAAAAAAAAATCATAGAAAAATGTAGTAAATTACGTTAGGTGTATCTCAATTCGAATACAATAAAGCTCTGTGTGGCATACACAAGGTTGCGAATTAAATAAAAAATATAGTTGAATTAGCAATGGTGTATAATCAAATGAACCAAGGCCGTTAAATCTTTTTATGTACCTAATTAAACATTTATTCGTTTGGAATATCAGCTACCTTTCGTTAGGATTTATATGCAAACGTTGCCCCACTTTCCCACAAATAACCCATTTTATGTTTCCTACATAATTCTTACCCCACTCTCCGTTCTATAACGACTCGTCTACGAGGCGCGTACGAAAAACTTTCAATCGAATCCGATCCTGCACTCTACGAAACAGTAAGTATAGAAACGCTTAACAAAAAAATAAATATACAGTTTCATTACAAAGAATAGGATGCTGTTTATTGACTATTGCGGTCATTAACGGATCCCATTCGTCACTTTGCGCAATTATTCGACATCGAATCCGCTTAATTTCCAACATTTCCACTTACTATTCCACTTTTCTATATACCGCTTTATACTCGATCGTCTGTTACGCGCCCCACTTACACCAGCAAATTTATATCCTCTAAGGGTTTAGTTCTACTTAAAAAGAAACCATCTCTTATAGATGGTCTAAAATAGACAATTTTTTGATACTTTTTTTTTGTGCAACCCTGTATACACAATTTCCATTAAACCAAGCGAGGTATAAGCAGAGAGAGAGCTTCGTTGGGATAGGTGCCTGTTACCTGTCGCATTATAAAACCCACCCCCGTTCGCAACCACCCCCCGTCCTAGAGTTTACCTAAAATACCCAGCTCTATTTTACCTGCACAACCCCCCCTCGGGGGAGATTTTCCGCTTATTATTCGGTTACCCCCAGAAGGCAGGTGCGCCGTTTTGAAAACAACCCCTAAACTACCTGCTGGAATTTATTTTTATTTCTCGTCGAAAATTGTATTTTTATCAGCGAGGGTTGAACGACACATAGAGCGATAACTGTTACAAAGTAGCTGTTGTTTTTTTGCGTTTATACTCCGTTCGGCATCTGGAGATATTATAGTAAATGAAATCTTGATGTATACAAGCGTCATGATGGCGAACGGAGTATAATTTTCGAGATATATCGTTTTTCCGTTAGCGTCAGCTCGTTTTAAACGAAGTAGCTGTTATTTTTTGCATTAATTATACTCCGTTCGGCATCAGGAGATATTATAGTAAATGAAATCTTAAAGTATACAGGCGTCCTGACGGGCGAACGGAGTATAATTTTCGAGATATATCGTTTTTCCGTTAGCGTCAGCTCGTTTTAAACGAAATAGTTGTTATTTTTTGCATTAATTATACTCCGTTCGGCATCAGGAGATATTATAGTAAATGAAATCTTGAAGTATACAGGCGTCCTGATGGCGAACGGAGTATAATTTTCGAGATATATCGTTTTTCTTTTAGCGTCAGCTCGTTTTAAACGAAGTAGCTGTTATTTTTTGCGTTAATTATACTCCGTTCGGCATCAGGAGATATAATAGTAAATGAAATCTTGAAGTATACAGGCGTCCTGATGGCGAACGGAGTATAATTTTCGAGATATATCGTTTTTCCCTTAGCGTCAGCTCGTTTTAAACGAAATAGTTGTTATTTTTTGCTTTAATTATACTCCGTTCGGCATCGGGAGATATTATAATAAATGAAATCTTGAAGTATACAGGCGTCCTGATGGCGAACGGAGTATAATTTTCGATACATCGTTTTTCCGTTAAGCGTCAGCTCGTTTTAATCTCGTCGCATAATCGAAATACAAACCAAAACATTATTATTGTTTTAAACGCCACAATATTATTCTTGTCGCATCGTGATATCGGGTAGCCCAATTAAAAATGTGAAACATGATGTAATAATAGGTGGTATAACAAAGCGAAAACGCCATGCGAAGCATTTTAATTCTTTCACGTATTGTATATACATTTCTTCTTTTTTCGTGTAGAGAAGAAGAAGAAACAATAATAGTCATTGAACTCTCTTCGATAAATTAACATTCGAAATTAATACTACAACGCGGGACTTTAATGTGCTTAGGGTAATATTTCTAATAGTTCACCAGTAAAGCCTCCGTAACGGTCAGGTTGGTATTAAAATTCCCAACTGTTATTATTTCGTGGATTTCAACGCGGTTGATCGACAATGCGCGAAATTATTTTACCATTTAGAAAAAAAAATAGTATACAAAGAAAGAAGAATAATGGAAGAGGATACGCCGATAGAGTTTCCGCATCGGAAACCGATTGTAATCTTCGTTTACCCCACTCGCCCTGAAATTATTCAATCGATAACTTTTACCCCGCTCGCCCCTAAATATTTACCGCAAGTTTCTATACGGGGCGCGTACGAAATGTTACTTTATTTTTCATCAATCGGGCACTATACCGTACGCTGTAAGTACTCTCTTGTAGAAAGTAAATGAACCAGTTTCATTATTATGTACAGAACAAAATGAAATCTTCGCAAACAAAAAAAAAATCGTGCGTATATTTTCGAAGAGAAATCGATATGGGCGATTTTAAATTATATTCCAGCAATCTCGCGCGTGTATATAAACAAACAATTACTAATATACCTGTTGTATAATGGCGAAGAAGGAAGTATTAAATGTCCCCGTGTATAGCAGTAAATGTTCGTACGAACAAACATCTGTTAATCTATTTAAAAATGCGACCGTAAAATACTGACTATAAACTCGCTTTTTACCAGGCCGGTAATCGAGCAATTTTCCGCGTTTAATTAGAAACGATTTAGAATTTATTTCCCGAGTACGGTCCTGTCACGAATTTACTCGAAGACGGACGGGCGTCGTTCAACACATGTCGAATCGAAAATTAAATAACAACAGTTGAGTTTTTGTTTGTTTATTTTTCATTTATAGGCCATGCACATACACGATGCAGCTGCATATATTATATAGACGATTCGTTTGTACTCTATTTATTTTTATATATTAGGTATACATTTCGTACGGTCCTCGTATTTTTTTTCTTCTCGGTAAATATTCGTGTTATCTGTATTTATACGGCGGATTCTGGTAATAAATTTACCTGTATTGTATAAAGGATTTGTTAAAGTGCGAGTAAACACACAAATTTATCTTCAATCGAATCAAGTAGGTTCTGTGTAAATCCTACAATTTTAGAATCGCCCTCGTATTTTCGCTTAACTACGAGGGAGGTGCGATAAATTCTCACGAATCTAGGCGAATAACAATAAATCGATTCGTTTCGGGATTTTCTAATAAAATAATCGATTCTTGTTTTTGTTCTTTTCTCATCGAGAATCGAATTCGACACGCCTCTGTTCGTTCGAGATAAACTTCATAAAAGTGCGGTTTTTTTTTCTGTAAAGCACGACGTACGTCCTACTTTTTACGGGCCAGACGAGAGAAGAGAAAAGTTTTACAATATTTTACTTCAACGAATATATGCGATAAGACATCTTTTATTATTATTAACCGGTACACCATTTTACATTCGTAGATGAAATCGAATGATTTACGCCTAACACATCTTTATTATTACATGTATTAAAAAAAAATAATAAATTTCTATTTATACAGGGGCGATAATGAAATAATTGACTTATTGTACATCCAAAAAATGCCTATTATCGCGAATTAACGAAAATTTCGCAAATATTACCGATCGTGAGTCAATTTTTTTTTTATAAAAAAAATTCGATTACGAATTGGAAAACAATTATTCGCAAACAATACGAAATTTTTTAACTGCTCGATAAAAGTAACGCAAATAAATTCATTCGTAGCATACAGGGTGATTTTTTTAATGCTACTAAGCAACTGTTTTTAATACAGGGTGTATAACGGAATAGATTTAATCGAATCGATCAATTCCCATCATCGATGATTTAATAAGGGTGCAATTTATTATCGTATTTTCGTGAATCACGACATTCCGATAAGCATCGCGAAACACAATAGAAATAGAAAGGATATTCGTGTGTTGGGCTAATTTATTAGATAATTAATTAACCGTAATTAAATTTCCATGTGACCTAATTTTCAATATCTAAATAGAGTTTAAAATACCTACATCAGCGTAGGTCAAATGAATCGAACAAAAACAAACAAGGACACATCTTTTTTTTTGTGTTCTCTATTATTGCGAAAATTTCGCTCGCACGGCGTTCGACGTGTTGAAAACAAAACGAATCTAATTTCGGCGATATCGCAGGTAGCCGTGACAATATTAAATCGATGCACTCTGTTAAAAATAAACCGAAAAATCGATCGTTTTTAAACAAAATCGCGGCGTTTTAAAGGCCAACACCAGCTGATTTCTTTCCGAATAATAAATGCACACACAAAAATGACTGTATTGATTTTACCGAACTGACCAACATTTACAAAAACAAACCTAACCGACTGGAAATTCACGCTAGAAAAAAAAAATGGATGCTTACCGAATGAATCCCACCCGACAAGAATGCGAAAACGGCTCGCTCGATCACCAAACACACTAAACTCCTAACGTATTACTAAATACAAAATGTCGATTAAAAAATAACACCCGAACGATATTTCGTACAACCTTCCTTCACAAACACATTTTATCAACTGACATAGAATAACCCGAATGTCAACTGAATGACAGTTCTTCTTCTTCTACTTCGTTTGAGGCCTCAGCTACACAGCTATTCGGCCAAACTGAATGACAGATAAATTGACAAGAGACAAGAAGCGGTCGCTTGTAGGTATGCAACATTCATTACAACGAATTATTGCTAAGAACTACAGGATGATATCTACATATCTTCTTTCTTCTGAAATATTAAAGATTTCCGCTCTAATAAACTTCTTGCCAATGTCGATTCCAATGTTTCGGAACGGTTCGGGACAATTTAGCCCCCTTCAGTGGCGGTTTGGAAGTTTTAGAACGGTTCGGAGTCAATTTAAAGTTCTCCTGGACTATTCTGAACGGTGCTGAACAATTTTGAACCCTTCATGATGATTTAGAACGTTTCTAAACGACTCGCCAATATGCGACGTTTTCTTTATCACAATTATACAGGATGTTTAAAAGATTTTTGGTAAAAATTACGCAGTGGCGGAGGAAATACTTTACTTTAGGGGTGTATATTAATTGTTGTAGCGCACGTGGCGGTCTTTGCGATAAAGTGCGTGTGAAAAATCGGCTTATTTTCGATAAAGATTTTTTTATCAGTTAATAATTTCAAAATAAGTTGTTGACAATAGCGGATAAATAATAATAATAGTAATTTAATCGCAAAAAAGCCACTCGCAATTTGCCGCTCGGAGCGTTTATATAATAAATTGAATTGATAGTTTTTTTTATTGCAATTAAAGGAACTCATAAGAGGTAAGTAGGTGCACTTAAGATATAACTCTTTTTTTCCCTCTAATTACCTCAATAAGTGAAGCGGTAATTTTTCTTATTAAATTTCAAGTAAATACTCCGATTTATAAACTTCAATAATGTGTAAGAATATTTTGTTTTATGTATACAGTGTGTCTTTACGAACCAATGCAGAACAGGACCAATGCGGGACACCCTGTATACCTATATTCATTTTTCCGATCGCAGTTCAATTGTTACTGTTTATAGATTTTAAAATGCTTATATCATTAATTCCGAAAGGTTTATCACCTATTTAAACCGTTTTGATAAGACTCCAAAACATAATTTATTTGTAATCGCTCTCCTTCTACAGGGGCACAAAATAATCCAGAGGCGCCACGGACGCCATTTTGTGCAGGTACATTTTGCGAAATATTTATAAAAAAAAAAACTAATCAAACATAACACCTTCCCATTCGCTGCGGTCGCATTTAAATTACATTGTTTGTTCAATTCTTCTAGCGCATATAAATGAAAAATTCTTCGTTATTTCCTCTTCCCCACGACAATTTTTTCGAGTAAAGCAATTACCTTTCGATTACGCATTACGCCACTGTTCGGCGAGATATAAATTCACTTTGTTATTATATCTAAACATATCTATATGAAACGGTTCGAATTTCGAATCGTGAACTTTGATTCCTCCGAACGAAAAGGATAAGACCCCGATAATAAATTCAGCGAAAAGCCGGCATTTCCATCACTCTGTAACATCGCCTCCTCTCGACTTCGAGCCGATTACAAACCGCTAGAAAGGGGTGAGTTTCCGCCACATAGAGGGTGCTTTTTAATTGCTACACCAACGCCGAATTATTCGCAATTTTTTAATAACTTTCTCCCTACTTTTAGTCGAATAAAATCCACCAAAAACACCATAAATAAATCGAAAAATGGCATCCCCGTTTTGCCTGGATTACTCCCCGCCCAACGACGAGTGGCGCTCCGTGGCCGAGCGGGAGCTCCGGGAAACCCCGGAGAACGTGAAAAAGGGCCTCGAAGAGCTCAAGGACCTTCTGCGCAACGACGACGAAATCTACTTCAAGGACGACGACGAGGTCCTCACCATGTTCCTGAGGCCCTGCAAATGGTACGCGAAGAGCGCCCACGAATTGGTGAGTACTGAGTTTTTTCCGTTACATGTAACCGTTATTTGCATCGACGCCCACCTCTAGCCCAACGCGATTTTCCCTATGCACTTCGCGTTATTGGCAGGTATTAGAGGTGGAAGTTTTCATAAGGAACTGTTACGTGTATAATGCGTTAAAATCGGCCTATTCGAGTACTAGCGAGGTACTCGTGATGACAATAAAAAGATTTAAACAAACAACGGGATATCTCGAAATAATGTAAAATTCAATAATCGTTCTTCGACCTTTGCACTTTCGTACGAAAAGATTTATCTAACGAAATTGACAATGAAACTCGTACAAGTCGTGATGATGTATCATCGAAACGCATAGGATGCATGTACGCGAACTTTGTACGATAATAAAAGTCGATAATGAAAACTCTCAATCATCACGTTTATTTTTAAATTCGTAAAACAAATACAGACTTTTGTATTTTACCTGTTTATCTGGTCATTTTTACGCCGTCCGAGGCGGTCGACGTGTTTAAAACGATGTATTTTAAATATTAGCGTGTTTTTCGACGATTTTAAAACAAATATTTGATAAATTGACCGAATTAAATTGTTTTCCTTGCAAGATAACGAATCCGCAAATTGTGGAATTATGTAAATATACAGCGATTGTTTTATTATTACGAAATTTTTCCAATTTACTCTCTAATTGGATACAATAGCATTATTGAACGATGAAAAAAATTCATTCTAGATGACGAGAATAGCCAAATTCAAAGTAGATAACGCCAGATTGGTTGAAAATTTAATGCCTGAAGATGAAAAAATCGCCTTCACAGAACACAATGTCGTCAACGTTCTCACTAACCTAGACCACAAAGGCAGGAGGATACTCTTAGTAAATGCCGGAGGTAAAACCCAACTATTCCTTCTTCATTATACATTAAATCATGCATAAATTGGTGCATTAATGAAGCATTAGTAGGACATTAACGAAGCATTAAATTGTTGCTTTAAATGATGCATTGATTGGTCCAATTAATGAAGCATTAGTAGAGCAATAACGATGCATTAAATTGATGCTTTAAACGCTTCATATGATGCTTCAAATGATGCATTGATTGGTCCAATTAATGAAGCATTAGTAGAGCAATAACGATGCATTAAATTGATGCTTTAAACGCATTATATGATGCTTCAAATGATGCATTGATTGGTCCATTAATGAAGCATTAGTAGAGCATTAACGATGCATTAAATTGTTGCTTTAAATGGTGCATTGATTGGTCCATTAACGAAGCATTAGTAGAGCAATAACGATGCATTAAATTGATGCTTTAAACGCTTTATATGATGCTTCAAATGATGCATTGATTGGTCCAATTAATGAAGCATTAGTAGAGCATTAACGATGCATTAAATTGATGCTTAATACATTTCATATGATGCTTCAAATGATGCATTGATTGGTCCAATTAACGAAGCATTAGTACAGCAATAACGATGCATTAAATTGATGCTTTATACGCTTCATATGATGCTTCAAATGATGCATTGATTGGTCCATTAATGAAGCATTAGTAGAGCAATAACGATGCATTAAATTGATGCTTTAAACGCTTCATATGAAGCTTCAAATGATGCATTAATTGGTCCATTAATGATGCATTAAATGGCAGCCACCTGGGACCCGTCGAAGGTGAATTCCGACCAGATCTTCCGGCTGTTCTACATCATCCACATGCTGGCCCTGCTGGAGGAATCCAGCCAAATCAACGGCGTGGTGGTGATCATGGACTACGAGGGCATGGGTTTCTCGCAAGTGAAAGGTTTGGGCCCCTCGTTCGCGAATTTATTGCTCACGTTCATCCAGCAGGCGATGCCGTTGAGGCTCAAAGAGGTGCACATGGTGAAAGAGCCGATGGTGTTCAACATGGTGTGGACGCTGTTCAAGCCGCTGTTGAAGGACAAGCTGAGGAAGAGGGTGAGGGAATTCGGCCTTTGACTAGGGTGGGATTCCAGCTAACTTTTGTGTTGTTTTAGATCATTTTTCACGGTAAGAAGATGTCTTCGTTGCACAAGTACATTCCGGCTTCGCATTTGCCGAAAAATTACGGCGGGGATTTACCCGAAATCGATTACAGCGGGAAAGATTGGTATCCGGTGATCAGCGACGAAAAGGTCACCGAGCACATGAAGATGATGAACACCTTCGGGAAAAAGAAGAAGAGCGCCTGATGATGGGTTTCTTTACCGGACAATTCGTTCGATTTTTACGTTGATTACTGATGTTTATTTTTGTATAATATATTTAGTTATAATGTATGGCTTTGACGTTACCAATATGTTAAGTATTTGGTTGTATAATTAATGTACCGATAACATTCGCATATATAGTGTATATTCAACAATTCGATTCGTGACGTCAACGCTCGATTAACCCGAGCACATTGTAGGTATAAATACGAACTAAAATTTTGTAGTTTTTTATATTGTTGTAATTTGTAATTGAAAATATTTTATTTAATATACGGACTTTCATTTCCTAATCAGATAACGTGACAACAGATACACAGGCTCGAAATAGGTTTTGTTTTCGTTCCTAATAAGTAAAGGTGAAAGTACATAAGGTGTATAATCGATTCGATTGCGCCATTGAATGACTAATTATCGATCGAAAAATATTGTTGTTAATACGAAACGGTAAACAATCGATCAAAATAGTTGGAAAATTCCATGCTAGGTGCATGTAAAATAATAGGATTGAGGAATAAAAAGATTATCGATTCAAAACTGGCCGAATTTAATCAACCATTTCTGTATTTAATTAAATCCCGCCCAAAAATGTTAATAGACCATTCGATTGACCTTTCGCTTAGCAAGTCATTCAATTTAAGAATATACATAAATTGCACAAAATGTAACAAGCATAAACAGTATATAGGGTAATAAAAATCTACATAGATGTACGAGGTGATCGAAATAATAGTCTAACTACTTTTAATAACCCCCTAAATAAATCAATTAAATATTCGTATCAAAACAAAACCCATTGCATAAATTGACCTGTCAAAGGTGAAAGACTCGTAAAATTGATCTTTAATGTAGATACATTAAGGTGGAACAATAAAAGCGATATTCACTCGCCGATAACCGTTATATTAACGCGAAAATTGCACTAATAGGGTGACCTATCGGTTTAAAGTGATTATTTGAAATCGTAAAAGTGGTAATCAGGTGAGCTAATTATTGCGCAACTATAAGAAATATCTAATTAAAAAATGTAGCATTTTGGTTGGGTACACACGACCGAATTTAGGTTGCATAGACACATCCAAATAATGCAGTAAAAGAAGAGGAAGACTATTCATTTTCTCACTTCCGTTTCACGTCACCTGTCATTAGCTCGATATTTCGATGCAAGGTATCTAGATTCGATCGATCGATCCTGTCAGGCGTCAGAAAATTTCGTATAGCATCTCAACGCAAAATTAAATCGTTCATTCTCCCATTCGAACGACATGGACACCCATTGAATTTACTTTACACAGAATAGGAAAATGCAACACGAAGGAAATACGGTAAAACGAAACTTTTGAATTTTCGAATTTTCGCGCCATTTGCAGGATATTCCAGAGATTCGGAATGAACGTTTAGTATGTGAAAGATTCATCAAACGCTAATTATCGAACGGGAATCGAGAAAATACGGCATATTTTTCGCAAATCAATTCGATAAAAGTGAAAATTTATTTGACAGTTGACAGGTTGAAACTCGCGACGTTGCCGGATTAATTTGCTCGATACAGGGGATGTTTTTGGAGCAAAATAGGTTTTTACTTTTTAATTTATCCCATTCTCTTTGCTCGAAACATCTCCGCAAATCCCCCATTTATCCATAGAGATTCGGAATGAACATTTACTTGCGAAAGATTCATCAAACGCTAATTATCGAAAGGGAATCGAGAAAATACGGCATTTTGTTCGCAAATCAATTCGATAAAAGTGAAAATTTATTTGACAGTTGACAGGTTGAAACTCGCGACGTTGCCGGATTAATTTACTCGATACAGGGGATGTTTTTGGAGCAAAATAGGTTTTTACTTTTTAATTTATCCCATTCTCTTTGCTCGAAACATCTCCGCAAATCCCCCATTTATCCATAGAGATTCGGAATGAACATTTACTTGCGACAGATTCATCAAACGCTAATTATCGAACGGGAATCGAGAAAATACGGCATTTTTTTTCGCAAATCAATTCGATAAAAGTGAAAATTTATTTGACAGTTGACAGGTTGAAACTCGCGGCGTTGCCGGATTAATTTACTCGATACAGGGGATGTTTTTGGAGCAAAATAGGTTTTTACTTTTTAATTTATCCCATTCTCTTTGCTCGAAACATCTCCGTAAATCCCCCATTTATCCATAGAGATTCGGAATGAACATTTACTTGCGACAGATTCATCAAACGCTAATTATCGAACGGGAATCGAGAAAATACGGCATTTTTTTTCGCAAATCAATTCGATAAAAGTGAAAATTTATTTGACAGTTGACAGGTTGAAACTCGCGGCGTTGCCGGATTAATTTACTCGATACAGGGGATGTTTTTGGAGCAAAATAGGTTTTTACTTTTTAATTTATCCCATTCTCTTTGCTCGAAACATCTCCGCAAATCCCCCATTTATCCATAGAGATTCGGAATGAACATTTACTTGCGAAAGATTCATCAAACGCTAATTATCGAACGGGAATCGAGAAAATACGGCATATTTTTCGCAAATCAATTCGATAAAAGTGAAAATTTATTTGACAGTTGACAGGTCGGAACTCGCGACGTTGCCGGATTAATTTACTCGATACAGGGTACGTTTTTTGAACAAATTACATGCAATATCCCATTCACTTTTGCTCGAAACATCTCCGTAAATCCCCCGTTTAGCATCGACCCATTGTTCGGTCTAGCTACAACATAAAATCCAACGAGCAGTAGTCGTTGAACAGTCGGTACTACCGGTACTTTCGCTCGAAGTTTAAGTACCGAATTCTTTTCGCGCCGAGACGAGAAAGTAGGAAGGCGTTTCGGACCAACAACTCCGGCGTTAGGTAAAAGATTTGCGATGTGATAATCGATCGAAATCGCGCTTTGTTCGCAACAGATTTTGCCACTTTAAACGATTTTGTAATAGTATAGTAGTAGAATAATTAATAAGGGACGATATTTTATTGTGCAGGAGCGAAAATCGAGCATGGGGATTCGCATTGAAACCGACCAAGATGGCGTTCCTTTCATACAACTCGGATCGTATTGCCTGCGATTAGACTTGGAGGAATTGAGCGATAGAGACAAGGAAAAGGCTCTAACCGAACTCAACGAAACGCCCGAGAACGTACAATACGCACTAGCCAAACTGCGAGAACTGATATCGAGTAATCTCCACTAAAAACACTCCAATCAAACCACCATTATTAATCGTTGTAATTCGAATTAGACGAGCCGAATTTGCGGGTGCCCGTCGACGTCGACGAATTCCTGGTGAAGTTCCTGCGACCCTGCAAGTTCGCCCCCGAAACGGCCTTCAAAATAATGCGGCGCTACTACAGGTTCAAAACGAAACACCCCAAATACGGCGTTCGCATCACCCCGAACTCGGTCCGGCACGTTTTCGACACCGAAGTGTTCAAAATCCTGCCCACCAGGTCGCCGGACGGCAGCAGGATATTCATCATGAACATCGGCGGTAATTATGGCAAAATATTCGACCGAAGCCGCCGCACTATACGAGCGATTATAGTGCGGGCGCTTCGGGTGGAATTTTCGCGAGAAGCGACCGCACTATGGGAGAGATTATAGTGCGGTCGCTTCGGATGAAATATTCGCAAGAAGCGACCGTACTATGGGAGAGATTATAGTGCGGGCGCTTCGGACGGAATTTTCGCAAGAAGCGACCGCACTATGGGAGAGTTTATAGTGCGGGCGCTTCGGACGGAATTTTCGCGAGAAGCGACCGTACTATGGGAGAGATTATAGTGCGGTCGCTTCGGATGGAATTTTCGCAAGAAGCGACCGTACTATGGGAGAGATTATAGTGCGGGCGCTTCGGACGGAATTTTCGCAAGAAGCGACCGTACTATGGGAGAGATTATAGTGCGGGCGCTTCGGACGGAATTTTGGCAAGAAGCGACCGCACTATGGGAGAGTTTATAGTGCGGGCGCTTCGGACGGAATTTTGGCAAAAGCGCGGTTTTTTTGTAGCGAAATGGGATCCGAAAAAGGTGACGCTGGAAGATATGTTTAAAGCCGTTATGGTGACGATGGAAATCGCCATGCTGGAGCCGAAAACTCAAATGGGCGGGGCGCACGTTGTGTTGAACATGGAAGGATTGTCGATGGTGCATTTTTACCAGTTTAGTCCTTTCACGGCGAAATTGATAGCCGATTGGGTGCAGGAATGCGTGGCGGTTCGATTGAGGGGTATACATATCGTGAATCAACCCTATATATTCAACATGTTGTACGCGATATTTAAGCCGTTTTTGGGCGAGAAATTGCGAAAATTGGTGCGTTAGAATACTCATTAAAAAAAACCCTCTTTTATTCATCGATTTATTTCAGATATTCTTTCACGGAACGAACAGGAAATCGCTTTTAGAACGGATATCCGCCGATTGTCTTCCGGAGAAATTCGGCGGCAACGCCAACATACCGAACTACCCCGGTAGTTTGTTCTCCGACATGCTCTTTTACTACGAACACGATTTCGAAGGTAAATATACATATCGCACGCACCCCGTATTTTAATGAAATTTATACAGCGCCCCCCCTTTAACTTTTGAATGGTAAGAGCTTTTGTCGCGCAATTTGGGGTGTTTATATTGGAGTAAAAATACTATTTTTTGACGTAAAAATGACAGTTGAAACTTTCAAAATGACAGTTAGGCGCCATTTTGAATATTTTTTTCATATGGTAAGGGGGGTCAAGTGACACCTCGTTTTAAAGGTAATTTCATTCTTAAGTCAACCCCCAAATTTGAAAACATTTTAATAACGCGTATTTACGTAAAGACCAATTTAGTATATTGATACATTTAAAAATTAATTCTGAACGTTCTATAAAATGTGTCAATTAATTGTTGTTATGATTTCTTGGCTCTGACATTTATTTGTCAAATTTAAAGTTGATGAAAGCGACAATGGCTCGTCTTTTAAACGAAAAAACTGTCAATTTTTTTGTCAAAAACTGTCAGTGAGGACTTTTGCTCCTCATACTGTACATATCGCACGCACCTCGTATTTTAATGAAATTTATATACGAGGGATTGGTGAAAATTTCGCGTCTGTTTCAGTTTACAATACATACGGATACGCCATAGCGGAGAAACCATCGATAGATTCCAATTCCACATCGAGTTGAATAAGTGATTTTTTTTACCTAATGTAAGACCAGACATTTTGTATTTAATTTTAAGCGAAACCATCTCAATAAAACACCATTTTACATTCACACGAAACGAAACTCTTCGTTAATTAAAAAAAAAATGTTATTAGGCAATTATTTTTGTATACACAAGTGATGTACATTCGGGTATCACAATTTCTCGTATAGGATTAATAATACTTCAACAATAAAACGAAATAACGGTAAAAAAAAATGAAGGCAAAGAAAAACAACAACCACCAACAACGTAATAAATATTTACACCTCCCGCCATCTTCCTCTTCACAGCTCTCCTTTCTTGTTGTAACCGTACGAATTTATAGCTGCAAACAAAGAGGAAACATTAGAAACCAGAAGATGTAAAATTGGCTGTACACCAACACTTGTAAAAGGCCACAAAACTGGTTAACTCACCTTCGTATTCTTTGTCGCACATGACAAGTAATTCGTACCATTGGGGCCCGTCGATGCGCGGCAGGTCCAAGGTGCCCCCGTAGCATTCGGGCAGGCACTTGGGGCTCATGTGCTTGTGCAAGGACTTGCGATCGGTGCCGTGGAAGATGATGCGGCTCTTGAGCTTCTCGCGCAGGAACGGTTTGAACAGGGCGAAGACGATGTTGAAGATGTACGGCTGGTTCACGATGTGGATGTTCTTCACGCGCACCGGGATGCTCTCCTGCGGGATGGAAAAAAGGGTATTTTTGCGTTAGAAAATTTTGGTGTGTAGCGAAAGTGGTGAAGGAGTAGAGCGAAAGTGGAGCGAAGGTGGGGCGAAAGATGGTCGAATGAGTGGTAAAAGTAGGACAAAAGTTGAGCAAAAGTAGATCAAGAGGAGAGCAAAAGAAGATCAAAAGTGTAGCAAAAGTAGAACAAAAGTAGAGCAAAAGTAGATCAAGGGTAGAGCAAAAGAAGATCAAAAGTGTAGCAGAAGTAGAACAAAAGTAGAGAAAAAGTAGATCAAGAGTAAAGCAAAAAAAGAGCAAAAGTGTAGCAAAAGTGGAACAAAAGTAGAGCAAAAGTAGAGCAAAAGTAGATCAAAAGTAGATCAAGAGGAGAGCAAAAGAAGATCTAAAGTGTAGCAAAAGTGGAACAAAAGTAGAGAAAAAGTAGATCAAGAGTAAAGCAAAAGAATATAAAAAGTGTAGCAAAAGTGGAACAAAAGTAGAGAAAAAGTAGATCAAGAGTAAAGCAAAAGAATATAAAAAGTGTAGCAAAGTGGAACAAAAGTAGAGAAAAAGTAGATCAAGAGTAAAGCAAAAGAAGAGCAAAAGTGTAGCAAAAGTAGAACAAAAGTAGAGCAAAAGTAGAGCAAAAGTAGATCAAAAGTAGATCTAAAGTGTAGCAAAAGTAGAACAAAAGTAGAGCAATAGTAGATCAAAAGAGCAGATCAAAAGTAGAGCAAAAGAAGAGCACAGTATTAGTAGAAATAGAGAAAAACGATAAATGTTTTGCGTATAAAAAAAATTCCAAATGTATTGTATACAAATGGGAATTAACCAAGTAATTTGCGTGCAAATTACACGTTCTGTTTTGCAACTAAAGAATATACTTAATGATGTTTAGGAATTCCGCAGAGCACGTGAGATTTGAAAACATTGTTTGTAACGAGCGGTTGAAAAATTAGAAATCTCATTGTTTTCGCGACTGCGTCGGGTAATTTGGAAATATTCCCCCATTACAAAAGACTCTAATTGATTTACGAATACCTCTACCAGTAACTATTATATAATGGAATTAATGTCGATTTACCAGTTAACTGGCATCGCATGTACTCAATATTTAATTAAATTTAAATTAACCAGATACCGAACAACAACAATTTATAAATTAACTTGTTCGAGGACATTATTTCCACCGCATAAAATATCCAAATATCTACGACAAACGACGAAATTCGACAACGTCGCAAGCTTCCAACTTCCCCCCCCCCGCGACGTTGCCGCTTTTACTACAATTTCCCTATAACCCTCTTACCTGTAGCCAATCCACGATTCTTTTGGCGAAGGCCGGCGTGAATTTGGTGGTTTGAGACAGCGACAGACCGTCCATATCGAAAACCACCACCGCCCCGCACACTTGGGTCTCCGGCTCCAACATCGCCGCCTCCACGAACAGCACCGCCCCCTTGAACACTTCGTCCAAGCTCACTTTGTCCGTTTTCCATTTTTCTGCAAACGCCAAACGATTAAATGTGGCAATTTTGACAGTTGCGTCAACTGTCAACTGTCAACTGTCAACTGTCAACTGTCAACTATCAACTGTCGATTTGACGGTTGACATATTTTGTGTCAATATCGATTTAGTATTAATTACAAAATTGTTTTTTTTTTATTAATTCCCCGGACAATAAACATCGTGTCGTATTAACAAATTATCGCGTACGATTAGAATTTACATAATAAAACGTAATTTTACACGGTTTTTATTGCCGTTGTTTATTATTATTTTTTTCGTTCATTCATTAGCGCTAATAGCGTAATGACAATTTTAATTGCTTCATATTAATTACTAATCATTTTAACTTACTGCCCAATTCGATGACGAGGATCCTCCTGCCGAATTGGTCCCTGTTGGGCTGCACGGTGAGGATGTTCTGCTGGAAAATGTTCTTTTCCTTGCTGGGTAAAAGGCCATCGTACACGTCGGCGTGCTTCTTTTTGAAAGCGTAATATCTTTTAATCTAAAACCGATCGAATTATAAAAAAAAATATTACGATGTAATTAAATACACCATTACCAAATCGCAGGCGCTTTCCGGATAGAACTTACAAGGTCTAAGGAACCTGAGGAGCCAAATGTCATTGTCTAAAGGCACCTTCAAATCCTTTTCGCCTGCAAAAATCACGAATTATCACCACCTTTTGTATACCAATATAGAATCGTTGGAAGTACCTTTGAGCAAATCCCTTAAGGCAGTTATGCCCTCGCGAATGGTATCGGGGTTTTCCCGGAGCTCCTTTCTGGCTATCTCTTTGGCCTCGGGCTTCAGCTCCTCCAGCTCCAGCTGCAGCGTGAAATCGCCCAGCTTCACGGCCGGCAATCGGTCCATGTCGGACAGCAAAGTTGGCGCGACTGCGAAATCGGGTACTCCATGATTAGGGATAATAAAAGGGGTGACTAGATTTTGGTGTATTTTAGACGTTGATGTTCTAATTGATTTTTAATGATACTCAAGTCCAAGGCGATCGTGTCGCGATTGGAAAAAAATCGTTATTTATTTTCGGTAGTTATTAAAATTCGAGATTTGATCTTGCGAAACGCAACCTCGTCGTAACCGGTTGGTTATTGAATAAAAAAAAAAACCAATTTGTCTTTACTTGAACAGGTTTTGAGTGTTTGATTATCGCATTTTACTGGTATCGATGAGAATTTGGTAATTTTGAGGCACGTAGGTCGAGTAGACAGGATTTAATTTCGTATGGTTGGTCGAATAGACACATCCAAATTAAAGACAATGTGAAGTTAGCGCAAATGTCAATTTGACGTTTGTTGATAATGTGGCAGTTGTATAACAAAAATGGCTAATTTTATCTTATGAAAATGTAGTTTTCGCTTAATAAACGGAAAAATTTCGTTGTTGTTTTAGCAATATTATCAAATTTGAAGTATTTATTAACTATATAGAACAAATATTTGCGGAAACAATAAGTTAAATGAAAAATTGTTAGTAAACGTGGAAACCATTTCAAAAAGGAAGTCACTGATTACACAAAACACTTTGATAAATCGTTATCTAAAAAAAAACTTTCTGCATAACATTTTCCGAAAACGTTCTAATAACAGGAAAATTCCAACAATTAATCGTCACCATAATTACCATAATTACCCAAATATGGATGTAATTTATCAAAAAACTTCCAAATTAATAACTCAAAAAAATACTCACGAGGCATTGTAACAAATTAATTAACAAAAATTACACTTAAAAAATCACCCGTTAGTACCGCTACGTGTGCTAGTAGTACCCGCGATAAGTCAGTACCAAATTCACCTGCTAGTACGCTCGCTGGTGGTACCGGTGATACTGCGGTACTTTCTAAATTATCGGTTCAAATATACCTGTTTGGTCGGGTTCGTGTTTACAATTTCCTGAGTATCTCAGACAAATTAGCAGGATGCGGTGTTGCTGTTGAATTTGCTTTGGAATTTGCTGGTGAACTTTGGACCACCCTGTATATGTGAAGGTGTAATTATCGCGATTTTATATCGATAACAAATTTGCGAAAATTTATTGGTTTTTTTTTGCGGGTAAATTTAAGTAAATTAGTCGATTAATTGTTGTTTTCGAATTTTTGTAAATTGGTATTTTTATAGTTTCATTATTGCGCTATTCTACAGTAAATAGTTGTTTTATTTGTTATTGTTTTTGTCTAAAAATGTCTATTAATTGAAAGGTTTTTTTTAAATAATTTTCCAAAATTTTCTATAGCCAAATTGTTTGTTATAGAAATAAATAATTTCCTTATTATGGCTGCATACGTGATGTTTATAGAAGAAGATAGAAGGAAATCCTGCGGTTGAACAAACTTGAAAACAAAAATATTTTCACTTTAAAAAATATTAAATAACCCTAGAAAATTATTGTAAAATATTAATTCTGCATAAGTTCAATTGAATCTAATTAAATTTTTCCAAGAAAATGATTCACGCATTTCTCGAATTTACAGGAATCGATTTAACGTAGAATTTTTCATCTTTCCATAAACATAATATACAAAGTACATAAAAAAAATTCACAAGTTACTTAAAATTTTTCTGCCGTTCGATTTTCGTATTTAATAACATAATTATCGAGTTGAATATTCAATATTATTCGCGTGCAAAGTTCATTGCCGTAATTTTCAGTCAATAATTTATCTATATATATGATTAATAATTAATTGCTGTCGTTAGCTGGCAAAGGTGATACTTCAAAGTTTATTGCTGTATATAAAAGTTAAAGAGTTTTTGCCGGAAACATCTCAGTTTGCTGCGACTGTCAATGTCACAATTGTCATTAATGTCAATGACAAAGTTCTTCTCAAAAAAAAAACGAAACAACACCTACAATTATGCCGAATAAAACGTTTAATGTTAAATTATTGGTTTTAATAAAAAATGTTGGTTTTACGCAATCATTCGATATGCATAAATAATTCGTATATAATGAATTCGAACCAAGGATGTTCAAAAGTTACATTATTAAATTAATGTCGATATTATAACACGTTATTAATTACTTTATCTATAAAAAAATATATCTTTCGAATTAATTTGAGATATACGCGCAAACAAATCTAACCAATTTTGATTGATGATAAAATTAAACTACACTTTAAGTGCGATAAAATAGAAAACAATTTTTAAAATTGATTGACATAATAGTTATTTATCTCTAAAAATATATTCTCAAAACTTATAGAAAAAAAATCAAGTAGTCGACGAGATTATATTGACAAATGGAAAATTTTGACACGTGTCAAAACGCAATGACTTACGTGATTCGACAACTTTCACTTGCTCGATAACGAATTTACCGGTCGATTTGACTTTCGGTTCCTTCTTTTTGCCGAACATTTTTCCCGAAAAAAAATCTTACGCCTCGTTTTCGAAAATAAAAAATCGCGGCCGACTAGATTTTGCGGTCGTTTCGTCGAAAATAATCGACGACCAGGGCCCACTGGATAAGCGCTTTCTTGTCTATTGTATGCAAATAATTATTGGTTAATAACATTCTATCGGGATTAATTAACCGTGACACGTTCGAAAAATAGGGACGTTCTTCAATCGACGATCGGATTTCGAAAGTTTTCGGTTTATTTCAAAACGCAATTATCGAAAATTATCTGCATTATAAATTCCATTCTAATGGTTATTAAATTCATCATTTTGATACAACGCGGCAGTGGACGTGTTAAACGTTATACAAATCATCATACAGGGCGAATCAACTAATGTTGAAAAAAAAAGGAATATTTTCATATGTAAAGTTGGCACTTAAAAAAAAACTAAATAATTTTTAAATGGTTTTAACTTACTGTGAGGCGGTACTGGTGTGGTCATCACCTGGGCCATTGTTCTTTAGGTGTGTTCACTGGTCGGAACCAAGAAGAAACTGAATTGAAAAAAGCGCTGCATGATTAAAACAATCAAATAATTTATTCGGTGTGCATGTGGTGAAATCGTTTGCTCTGCGATAAGCGCGATTTTATCAAATTTCTATGCAAATCGACACAAAAACGAGATAAACAACAATCGCAGAGTGTTATTGTATAACTGCAACATGTCTGCGTATCATTGTGAATTGTTTATTGTTTAAAGTTTCATTTTTTATTGCGTTATAGTTTTAAATATTCCGCTTTATTAATTTCCGAACAAATTTTTGGGACAACCGGTATATGACGGACAAACTGTATATTCATTTCGTTCATAAATCACAAAAAATTAAGTTTGACATTTGACAGTTTGACAAAATTCGTAAGCAAACTCCTGCAAGTTAGGCAATTCACATTGCTATACTATAATAAAACTTAAATAAATCAATAAATTCGATATTAGAACAGCACGACTTATTATAATTAGAATTAGAATATGCTATAAGAAAGCCCTAAATAAGATTAGAAGCTAGAAACTTCATTTCCGGCTCGTTTTTTAGAAAAAAGTTGTGGCTAACATTCCGATACCGTGGATGGTTGTGATTACGATTAACTCACCGTGAAAATAACTTGATAATTACTTAACGAGTATATTCGAATCCCGACTGTATACGAACACGTAATGAGAGAATCTCCGCTTATAACACTCATTTATAACGAATAACTTCAAATGATTTTATCTTTTATTGCCTAATCAGTACATCACATATTATTGAAATATTGTCGATAAATTCCGATTTGATTGGCAAGAAACGCGCACAATTTACGCATTAAATATGATCGAAGAAAATAACTTTTCTAACACCCGGTGCATAAATTACCGCAGGTGCAAACAAGTGTAATTAAATGGCGATGAGAAAAAACAGTACCTTTTGAATCGATTTTATGGGCAATCACTTCGATCACTAAATGGGAAAATGTCCCCCGTTTTCTGTCTATATATAATCGCAATTGAACAGTACTTGAACGTTCGCCCGGAATATAAAATACTCGGAAGATGAATACGCATTATTAAAATCTTATTATGAAAAAATAAATTGCAATAATACGAATTATAATTGCCCGGTACGGAGTTTGAGTCCGATTCATTAGCGACGAATAAATAAATTTATCTCAAAGACGTAATTGCATCGCGTAAGTCAAGTCGCCTATGATCGATTGAATTTTTTTCTAATTTCGATAGATTAATTGATTCCCAATTATTTCCTATTCTCTAGCTATTTTTTCGCATCAACGAACCTATTTTTATACTGTTACTATCCATCAGTTCCAACAAAATGGCGTTCTGTCACTTTTGACAGATGCCCATCGAGAGAAGTTCGCGTTCTGTCACTTTTGACAGATGCCCATCGAGATAAACTCGCGTTCTGTCACTTTTGACAGATGCCCATCGAGAGAAGTTCGCGTTCTGTCAGTTTTGACAGATGCCCATCGAGATAAACTCGCGTTCTGTCACTTTTGACAGATGCCCATCGAGAGAAGTTCGCGTTCTGTCACTTTTGACAGATGCCCATCGAGATAAGTTCGCGTTCTGTCACTTTTGACAGATGCCCATCGAGAGAAGTTCGCGTTCTGTCACTTTTGACAGATGCCCATCGAGATAAGTTCGCGTTCTGTCACTTTTGACAGATGCCCATCGAGAGAAGTTAGCGTTCTGTCACTTTTGACAGTTGTCAAATGCACCAGCCGCCTAGATTCGCCGGCGTGGGAGATGGAAAACGGAACCCAGCTATGGTAGAGGTGCAAGCGAATATATGCACGCAGTACTAGGCGAATACCTGCTAGTACCGGTACGACCGGAGATCCTTCGTTTCGCGGAAAAAATTCCTTGCTTTGTTTTTGTGCGTTCGAATCGATCGCGTCGTCCTTGGAGGAATAAACGCCATTAAACGCGCGTTGCTGAATAGCCTGTTCGGTAAGTGGCCGTTTCTGGTAAACACGAAATAAATGTTGCAATTGACCTACATTTGTTGCGAAAAGCGCGGAGGAATATCTTAAAAACTATTATTGGTCGATTAGATTGATACGGAATTAACTGTATAACATCGTCGTAAAAGGCCTTATCGAAACGGGAGAATGTTACCGAGGGATTCCCTCGCGTTGTTTTTCTATTATTTCTTGCTCGAAATTTGCATATAAACAAATAAAAATATACGAGGGTGATTAAAAACTTTCACCGAAATTGTTATTATATTTAATTTGAATGGCATAATGGCGTAATTATGAGATCGTGTGCAACAAAAAAATTCGGATTTTTGCCACAATAATTTACAAACGATTGCAACATTTACATATGCTTATATCCCGTCGAATTATTAAATAATGCTTATGTAATTTTATTTGTTTTAAACGTTTTTACGATTCCGGATAAATTAGACTTCAATTATTTAAATAAAAAAAAAATGTATAACATTCTCGAATTTACATTTCATAATACAATCGAAAAGGCACGTTTAATACTCGAGCATAGATAATTATTATTGCAATATTGAGGTCGACAAATTAACCAATAACAAAAAAAGAAACAAACACAAAACGCTTTTGCAAGGTCTCGTAAATACACACACTTACCTATTAATTACCCGCTAATTACCTAAAATAATTAATAAATCGGTTAATAGAAGATTCGAATTGATAATTACAAATGAAATAATTGTCTCACTTAGCGTATTTTCCGCCAATTAAATCCACTTTTCTAGCATCGTATAAATCGCTCATTCTTCTTCTTTCTAATTTTTTTTTTGCCAGATGTCCTGCCAAACGAACGTCCTGCCAGACCTGGACCTGGAGGAGCCCCCGCAGGAGGTCCTGGACTGGGCCAGGGAGCACCTCGACGAAAACCCGGAGACCAGGGACCAAGTCCTGCAGGATTTCCGCGACTTGATTTACGGTATTCTCGCTACCTTTATTCCAGAGAACTCGATTTTTATTCCAGTAACTGTTCCAGAAAGAGGCGAGTGCGTTCCGCACCGAATGGACGATGCGTTCCTGCTGCGCTTCCTCAGGGCGAGATTTTTTGTTGTAGAGAGAGCTCACAGACTGGTAAATAACATCCCATTATCAAATCGAAATCATTCAATTACTTCATTACTTAGTTAGTGAATTACTACGAATTCAAAGAGAACAATCCGGAATTCTACACGGGCGTTAATTTGAAGAATTTACTGCGAATGGGCGACGACGCCATCATCACGGTACCGCCCTACAGGGAGCAAACCGGCAGGAGAATTTTATTATACAGAATCGGCAAGTAACAGTTACTTTTTATCGACGCCCATCTCTAACCCAACGCGAATTTCCCTGGCGATTAGAGATGGACGCGACCGACGAGTAACGGTTATCGTTTGCAGGGAATTGGGACCCGGAGAAGTTCGGTACGACGGAGCTGTTCCAGGCGACGATGATAGTACTGGAACTGGCCATACTGGAACAAAGGGCCCAAATTATGGGCGGCATTTGCATGTTCGATTTGGGCGGTTTGTCGTTGCAACAGGCGTGGTACATGACGCCCACGATCGCCCACAAAATCGTGCAAATCATGGTGGTGAGTACCAACTTTGTAGAAAAAAAATCACCAGTTTATTTGGCATCGAAATAGTGTTGTAAAGTTCGTTCTACTTTTACCCAGAAAACGAGAAAATAATCCGCGAACTGTGTACTTTAGAGATCAGGCGGTGTTGCCGCTTGAACGATTAAATAACAGATATCAAGGAAATTATATTACACTTTCTCTGCACTTCTATTGCAATAACTCGACGACTTGTGAACGATAAAATCATGTTCGAATTCGGTACTACATGCGAGTACTACACACCAGTTTCCTAATGACATAACCGAATTCTAAAAGTTCTGATCTTTACCAGACGCACGGGAAAGTACTATACCTAATCAATTCGTTACATAATAACACGATAATTCCAACGTCTGTATAGTAAATTACTATAATCGAGGAAAGAGTTTACTTTAATTGAATTAAAATGTATCGATAATTTTTTCTTTCAGACTTCTTTCCCGATGAAAATACACGCTTTGCACATCGTAAACCAATCGAGGATATTCGATATAGTTTACAACATTTTCAAACCCTTTTTGGACGAGAGAATGAAGGAGAGAATCTTCTTCCACGGGGAAGACAGGGACAGCCTGCACCGACACATCGACCCCAAACACCTACCCGAACGGTATGTACTATTATACAGGGCGTTTCGTCGAAAAATAAATCGAGACACCCTGTATGTGATTGATGAACAATTGTTTTAGTTATGGGGGAATCCATCCGGATTACAATTACAACGATTGGATAGTGAATTTCGAGAAGAACGAGAATATCGTGGAGGAATTGACATCGTTGGGTTACAGCGATTACAGAATCGAAAACGAAAACGAAGAGAATATCAAAAATGCCGAAAAATGAGCGCGAAAATCAAATTTTTTAGAGCTTCTACGCGTTGTTAATTAAACAATTAAATTTTTCTACGTTTATTTGCAGCTTTTTATTCCTCCCTTTCCTAAAATTTGCAACAAATACTTTTCCCTTAGCTAAAACGCATTGGTTACACCAACATCCAATAGATGGCGCTGATTGGAGTAAACGAAAATGGTGTTGCCTATACCTCTAAGATATAATTATATCGAAATTGGTCCTTCTAAGTTCTAAGTCAGGTCATCGAGTGGCTCAAGAAGAGCGGATGTCGAGCAGGTGTTGATTTTTCTTTGTTTGTAAATCGTCGGAGCGTCGGTTTATGCATTAAATCGGGTACTTGTATGCGCTAGAATATCGTCACTAAAATGCTCCGGAATTTAATCGTCGATTCCAATTCGTATTTGTCGTTTTGCAATAAGAAACCGGCGAAATGTTTACCTAACAATTTCTTTGTTTTACGCGTTTAAAGTACCAATAAAGTGCAATTTTTCCTCACGCATGACGACAAAAGCATGACATGCAGACGAAAAACATCAATTCCGAACAAACGAATAACAGCAACAACAACAACAACAATAAAAACAACATTAAACCAACCAATGAATCCGAACTCAACAACAAGGTAAGCTTCGACATCTAATTAATTAATTAAAATCGCCCAAATTGCATAAATCTTATCAATGCAGGAAACAAACGAGGTCTACGCACTGAAACGTCACTTTGACGTTCCTCCACTGCCGCCTAGGATCGTCGTTACTTTCAAACAAAACGGTAAGTTTCTAAAATTATCTACAATTCATTATAATTATAACCAGCTAGTACTGTAATTTAACTAATCAAAGCACGCCGTGTGAACGAACTAATCCATTGGTGTATTTTTCCCTAACTGCGTTGATAAATCGGCGACGCGGCAACAGCGCCGGTACGACCGGATACCGTGTATCTTCGCCATAGTAACTCTTACTTCTTCGTCTTGTCCGTCGAAATAATCGAGTTGGCGAACGCCAGGTGTCGAACGGAAACGGATTTCGTTGTGGTACTCGCGAGTACTCGTCGTTTTTCCACAATTTTAGCGAGTTTTCAATCGAGTGTCGAATCGTATAGAGGAGTATTACTCGTGAACGGGCCGAAGGAATGTCGTTGGTAGTACCATAAGCTGGATTACGAGGCCGGTAATGTAGATTTTCTGTTAATTTTATTTATAAAAGCGGGGTTTAAAGGGTGCAAAGTACTCGTGTAAAGGTGTCCTGTGAAAAGCGAAAGGATTAATAAAATGCGAAAGGCGGTAATAGGTCACGTTTAGAGATGGGAACGGGTACTGTTATTTATACGATTTAATCAATTCCATTGAGTACCGTTGCTATTATAAATCTCCAAGAAATTAATAATAATCGTTTCATTAAAGCGAAAATTATAGTTTGTCTATCGAAGTGCACCAGAAAACCACCGTTATTCCAGGTAAATTATGCTAATGGAATTCAAATAAACGCGCTCGTTTTTGTTTTTGTATTCTTTATTAGTTTCGTACAAGTTTAATAAACTTTGAATTATTCACCACACGCAATTATAGGTACTTACACTCGTATACAGGTACTCGCCGTATCACGGAACATAATAAACGAGTTGTTTCGTGGAAAATGAATTGTCAAACCTGTCAAATACACTTTCTTTTGACACATGTCAGAAAAAGCATTAATTTAGAACACGCTGCTGCAACAAATATAGTACCTGCTTGAATTATAAACCTATTATAAACAATTGCCATCGGAGTACCACCGATGGATGACCGAACAACTCTAATTAACAGGCCGATTGTCGATATAATTTTTCTCGCTTCTCGCACCGGTACCTCACCGCATTATACACGGGTACCACTTCCCGTGCTGCTGGCTCGTTTAAATTCATTTCCTCTCGAGATCCTATCGCAATGAGATCGAATCTAATGGAAATATGCGTACCTATAGCGTGTAGATTATGAATTCCCCACCTTCGGGATTTCACCAAACAATCGTACCGTAAAAGGAGCATTTCTTTTCAGTACTAATTAGTACGAACTCGCCTCGACCGCGATTCGGTACTTACCGACTCGAAATAACGCGCACATTCTCTATTATTATACATAGTATAAGGTACCTTAAAATCGTCATATAGTGCTATAGTGAAAGTACCTTTTCGGTACTACCTAATCTACAAATAGTCGCATGATTAATTCCTTAAATCGACATAGAGTACTCGAATAAATAAAGCTAGTGGGATAAATTGAATTAAGAATGTCTCCGTCCGATGGCGACAGGTCGTACCGTGAGACAAGTGAAGCACGGCGAGCGTTTGAGGAGATCGCAGACGTCGTTGAATCCCGTCTCGTCGCCCGAAGGCGGCGTTGCCGATGCCAAAAATTTCGGTCGGTACTACTTTCGTACGAGAAGCACCTATACCAGCACTTTCCTCTGTATTACACACGAAAACAACCCTTTACAGACCATCTATTCGCCTTATAGGCACCAGTAGTCGATAGTACTTCGGTACTACGGTAGTACTACGGTACTTTTCTGCGATTCTTTGAAATATGATGTAATATAGGTAAGAATTTTGTTGCAGCCGAGGTGGATGGGTACTCGCCTTACAAGCCGGTACCGCCTCCTAAGCCGCTCGTCCATCAGCAGGACGTCCAGCATCAGCGACGGCAGACGCATCAAGGCGGCGGGGCGGACGAGACGCCGCCTCCCTACAGGATGCCGCCCTATCCGCTCTACAACGAGCCCAACATTCCCGGGGCCGCCGCCATTTTGGATCCCCCGGTCGCCGCCTCCAGTCCGGTCAATGCGCACGGGTTGCATACGCACTCTAGCAAGTTTCCCGTAAGGATTTTTTTTTCTACTAATTTTTTTATGTTTATAAGGATTTTATGCATTTTATACACCTTGCTCCATTTATCCGATTGCAACATGGTCATTTCTATGAGTGGAACAAAGAAAGATTGTTAAAATGACAGCTGTCAGAGTGAAAAGTTGCAATGACACAAACGTCACTTTTTCCTGTTCCTTTGTAAGTGTCTAATGTAAGTTGTCTTTATCGCACCCATTGCCTATGTTGGGATCAAGAATGGAGCGACCTGTATACTTCTCTGGTGATATCGATGATGATAGAGAAGAGAAACCTCCATTGAAATCGCGGAGATGTTAATGGAGGAATAAGAAAGAAACCCACTTGATTTCGATTAAAATTCTACCTATATCAAGTACGTAGTATTTAAAAAAAAATTACCGTTAAAAATCGAGTTCGTTTGTTCGTTGGGAACGTTCTCATTGTTTTTCCCTGTACGCACGAAACAATGGTACAGATTTTTATTAAGTATAACGTAATTACTCATACGGTAAAGTGAAACTTTTATTGCGCTTTTTGCGCCATTTTACACTGTCTTATCGAGCGCATCATCTAGCAGCCTCGTTAGTTGAAATCTGTCAAATCTGTCAAACTTGCCGACTAATGTGTCAATCCTGTCAAATTCGTCGATCTGTCAAATGCGTCAAATATGTCAAACTTACCGACTAACGTGTCAATCCTGTCAAATTTGTCAAATCTGTCAAACGCCAAAAATCAAAAGTACCTACCTGATTTTCCTTCTTATTGCAGATAGAGCGAGAAGTGATTTTGTCCAGTACTGATAAAAACTCGAAAATTCCCATCCTGCACGAATACAAAAAGAGAAGCAAAGTCGCAGTAGCTCCTGACGTACCGCCCAAACAGGTCGCCGCCTGGACGCAAAACCACGTCCAAAACCACCAAATCCTGCCCGATCAGGTACCACCAACTAACAACAACACCTATCTGGTGCAATATCCAGACCGTCTTATATTTTCCAGACTCACTCCGGCCTGATCCAAACCATCCAGCAAACGACGGAACCGCCCAACGGCTCGCCGTACCGCCTCAACTACCACCACCCCGGCGTGCAGGAGTACTACAACGTCCAAGGCGGCGGCGCCGGGACGGGCGCCGTACCCCGCACGACGCCCTGCAAGCCCAACGAGGACGCCGCCCAACAGCCACCGGACCACTCCATCAAGGACCAGGTCCAGGCCAAGGACCAGAAATCGACCAAAGCCATGACCAAAACCTACAACGCCATCAAGGGCATGATATCGGACAGATTCAAGCAGTCCAAAGACGTCAACGAGGAGAAGTACAATCGACAGATGGCCCAAGCCAGGTCGCAGGAGATGCTCGATCAAATCCACCATCAGCCCATCGACCAACACGCCTACTATCAAAGGAAACAGCTACAGGACAATCATCAGCTTCGAGAAGCTACCGCCAGTTACGCCCAAATGCACCAAAGTATACCGGTAAGTGTCCAAAAGCTTCCTCACTCCAAGCCATCACCTTGTCCATACAAGCAGACTTCTCCGGAGAAACGAAGCGCCCAGCAGCTGGAGCGCGACAATCTGCGCCAGAGGAGCTTCGAGGCGCGACGGGCCGCCTCCCAGCCGCAGCTGAGCCCCGCCTACGAGGACCAGCCGCCCGCGGCTAACAGAAAACCGCAGCCGCAGATCCCGCCGCCGATCAGGCGCGGCTCCCACGGCAACATCGCGGACAGCGACGACGGCGGCTTCCTGCGCCGCAAGGACGATCCGGGCCGCCTCCAGGGCGCCCCCAGGAAGCGCCTCGAAGGCGAAATCGGCCGCATCGAAGGGGTCTACCAAGTAGCCCAGAAGCTCGACGACGACGCCGCCAAGAGGAGCAACGGCTCCGACTACGACAAGACCGCCGGCGAGTTGACCTCTAACATCGATTCCGGCAGGGGCAGCGCCGCCTACAGCAGCAACGGTCGCCGCCCCCAGCACCAGGACCAGTTCCAGCGGCAGGAGCGCGACCAAAACGACTCCGAATGGGTGGATATCGTCGAGAACGAGCTCAGGAACATACTGGAACCGAAGTTGCAGGAGTTGCACGTGCAGGAGAAGACCCGGTCGATCGTCAGCGAGAGCGCCTCGTCGATGACGCCGCCGCTGCCGCCTCTTTCGCCCGGCGACGGGCCGTCCTCCGACGAGGCTACGCCGAGGAATTCAGCCAGATACAAGCACAACAGGTTCGTAGTGAAGAATATGGTTTGTGTAGGAAAGGTTTCATAAGTGTTGGGAAGGATTGGGATAGGTTGGGGAATGTTGTGGAAGGATTGGGGAATGTTGGGAAGGATTGGGAATGGTTGGGGAATGTCGGGAAGGATTGAGAAAGGTCGGGGAATGTTGGGAAAGGTTGGGGAGGAATTGGGTAAGGTTGGGGAATGTTGGGAAGGGGTAGGAAGACATCTGGGGAAATTCTCGAGTGTTCCAATATTGCTTCATGCATGTTTCAGCTTGCCTTGCGGAAGTCGACCTGAGTACGAAAGTTACAAGATCAAAAACCACATAAGGAACACCATGGTGGATTCGAGATGGAACAATACACCGCAGAAGCATCGATCGCAGAAGAAAATCGACAACTCGGCCATACTCAGAGGAAAACAAAGTTAGTACCAAACTGTTCCTTCGATCTTCCATCAATTCCACACCTCTCCTTCCTCTTCTAACTCGCCGATAATTGCTCCAAAATCGTTTATTAACATTTCAGCATTCGGACTGGACATGGCCGATTTGACGTCCTGCACCACCACCCGTTCCATGGACCTCGAATCCATCCTGGACACCCGCAGCAGGCTCACCGACTCCGACGAGGACCTCAGCACCACCGACGCCCGCGCCATCCGCAAGCAGCTCGAAGGCCTCGAAACCATGTACTCGGAGGTCCTCAAACTGCTCGGCGTCAAGAAACACCCCATCAGGTAAGCGGCATCTTATCCAGATTACCATCACCAGGTCCCATAACACCTTCACTGACGTTCCTTCATGATATAACTCCACCAATTTTCGTTGCATCTTCAATATTCCTTCATGGTGAAACTCCACCAGGTCCCATTACGCCTTCCCCGACATTCCTTCATGATAAAACTCCACCAATTTTCGTTGCATCTTCAATATTCCTTCATGGTGACACTCCACCAGGTCTCATTACACCTTCCTCGACGTTCCTTCACGCTCAAACTCCCGTTGAAGCTGCACCAGGTCCCATTACACCTTCCCCGACATTCCTTCATGATAAAACTCCACCAATTTTCGTTGCATCTTCAATATTCCTTCATGGTGACACTCCACCAGGTCTCATTACACCTTCCTCGACGTTCCTTCACGCTCAAACTCCCATTGAAGCTGCACCAGGTCTCATTACACCTTCCCCGACATTCCTTCATGATAAAACTCCACCAGTTTTCGTTGAATCTTCAATATTCCTTCATGGTGACACTCCACCAGGTCCCATTACACCTTCCACGACGTTCCTTCATGATGAAACTCATATATTCCTTCATGGTGACACTCCACCAGGTCTCATTACACCTTCCCCGACATTCCTTCACGCCAAAATTCCACCAGTTTTCGTTGCATCTTCAATATTCCTTCATGGTGACACTCCACCAGATCTCATTACACCTTCCCCGACGTTCCTTCACGCTCAAACTCCCGTTGAAGCTGCACCAAGTCTCATTACACCTTCCCCGACATTCCTTCACGCTAAAACTCCACCAGTTTTCGTTGCATCTTCAATATTTCTTCATGGTGAAGCTCCACCAGATCTCAATACACCTTCCCCGACATTCCTTCATGCTAAAACTCCCGGTGAAGCTGCACCAGGTCCCATTACACCTTCCCCGACATTCCTTCATGATAAAACTCCTGGTGAAGCTGCACCAGGTCTCATTACACCTTCCCCGACGTTCCTTCACGCTCAAACTCCCGTTGAAGCTGCACCAGGTCTCATCGCATCTTCCCACCAGGTACCAGCCGAGCGACCCGCGCTTCACCAAGCAGCGTTGCCGCTACGGCAGCGCCTCCTCGCTGCCGTCGAGCTCGGTGAGCAGCAGGATGCGCGACAGGAAGCGCCCGGCGGAGCAGGAGCGCAGGAAGGTGCGCGACGTGCGGGGCGTGAACAGGCGCTTCCAGCGGCTGGAGTCGCACGTGGTGACGCTGGCGCGATCGGTGGCCCATCTGTCGTCGGAGATGCGCACGCAGCACCTGGTGGTGCAGGAGATGGAGAGCATCAGGGGCGAGATGGCGGCGTTGCGGGCGCAGACGAACATGCTGAACGTGAGGGCGCAGGCGCAGGCGCATCGGGGAGGGGGTGGAGGGGGATTCGGGGGAGGGGAGTTGCCGGTGTTGGCGAATCCGAGCAGGGTGAGGAAGTTGACCAAGTTTTTTGGGGATGAGCCGCCGTTGTTGAGGTTGTTTTTGAGGAAATTGGGGTATGAGGTTAGTGGTTTTTTTTTTTTGTTTTGTTGGTTGTTGGTTGGTAGTTTTGATTGGGTAAAAATTTGGTGTAGAATTGGTTTTCCCCTCGTATAAAGTAGTATATTTACGAGGGTGCGTCAAATAATTGAGTAAATACAATTTCTCATTAAAAATTCGCAATATTTTAACAGAAGCCTTATCGAATTAAAGTAGATTTACATAAAATCAATATAATTTGGAAATTTTGCCGCTAAATACTTCAAAAAATCGTTTATTTTAAACGAGTATAAGGTATTTAAATTTGTCGTAGAATTGGATTACCCCTCGTATACACTACATTTACGAGGGCGCGTCAAATAATTGCGTAAATACAATTTCTCATTAAAAATTCGCAATATTTTAACAAAAGCCTTAACGAATTAAAGTAGATTTACATAAAATCAATATAATTTGGAAATTTTGCCGCTAAATACTTCAAAAAAACGTTTATTTTAAACGAGTATAATAAAGTTTTTAATTTTTTCGTAGAATTGGATTACCCCTCGTATGCACTACATTTACGAGGGCGTGTCAAATAATTGCATAAATACAATTTCTCATTAAAAATTCGCAATTATTTAACAAAAGCCTTATCGAATTAAAGTAGATTTACATAAAATCAATATAATTTGGAAATTTCGCCGCTAAATACTCCAAAAAATCGTTTATTTCAAACGAGTATAATCTATTTAAACTTGTAGAATTGGATTACCCCTCGTATACACAACATCTACGAGGGCGCGTCGAATAATTCATTTTCTCGCGAAAAATCTCTTTTTTCTATAGCAGGAATAATATACATAAAAATCATCCTGGTTTTCTTTTGCAGAAATACGCGAACATATTCGAAAACGAGAAAATAGGAATGGTGGAGTTGCCTTATTTGAGCGAAGAGCGCCTCCTGAAGATGGGCCTGCCTTTGGGACCGAGACTCAGGATAATGCAGGAAGCTCAGATATCGGTTTGTAAGGACAATACGTTGTGTATAGTTTGATTAAAAAAAGCTATACTTTATTTAGAAAATGAAGCTTTCGACTGATATTTCGCGTAAAATCATTTTATTATAGAGATTCTCTATTTATTTTGATAAATAAACTATAAGGAGATTAATTTGTTTCTGATATACGAAAAAAAATGTGGGTTTTTTTTACTCGATAATGGCGGCTTTTTATTTTGTATTCGTTTATTTATAAATTCGTTTATTTTATATATTTAATGGTAAGAAATTTAGGATTTAGAGTAAAACGAGAAGAATGAAATCTCGTACTTCAATTAAGTACCTACTCGCTCATTTATTCCGTACTTGATTGATACATTATAAAAGTTCTACAATACCAAAGATATTTCAATTGTATATCAAACAACAATTCGAAATATATTTGTATCCCGTACTCTATACATTTATAATAATTTGTAATAATAATAATAAAATAAATTACAGTTGGTGCGTATTATTTTATTAAAAAAAATTCATACTCCGTTCGCCATCAGGCGAATTAAAAATTATATGAATTCAGGAAGGTCCTGCACGACGGCGAACGGAGTATAATCGAAACCGACCCGTAAGTGGAGAGTTTATTAACGTTTATTATTAAGGTAGCCATTATTTCTAAGACTAATTATTACATCTGTGGAGCTAAATTAAGGTCAATAATAGAATTCGGCGTCTAGTCTAGTATTCACTTGTGCCAATCGCGGTGAGTTAATAGACATGAACCTATTCGAATACATTTGTACATTTCCTTATTAATTATTTATTTAGTCTGTGACGGTCCGTGACGTTAAGATGTAGTCGCCAAAATCGACCAGGCTCAATACAAATACCCAGAAGGTGAGTTTTTTTTTCGTTTATTTCATCTATAATTTCAACAAAACATTAAATGTAAAGCGTAAAAAATTATTTAAATATAAAAAAAAAGTATTTGGCTTCGCCTGGATTTGAACCCGAGGCGCGAAGATTACACACCAACGCCTCTACCAACTGTGCTGTTGACAATGTCAATTTTAATAGCATATATTTAAATATAAAATATAATTAGGCAGTTTTCTTTTTAGAAAGTTGATAGTTGATAGATAAATGTTGAGTTTTATTCGTTATAACACATCATTAGGTACGCAAACATCGCCTTTATTTACAACGTACTTATCGCAAGTAATTTCAGTACGAAAAAAACTCATTCCTGAGCGAGCGTGACGTCACCGTTTCGGACCTTTCCGACTCTCTAATACAGCCAGGTCGATGACGCGTTACGAAAAAAAATATTGTGCATCGATAGAGCCAATTTAGCGTTACATAAGACTCGATCAAGGGCAACCTTGAACTTCGTTTAGTCGCGAATTAACCGCTAATTGCCGTTAATTAGCCCATCGGGAATCTATTTTCTACGGACCGACGGCCGTAGCGAGAGACATTTAGGAATTTGCAACAATGTCGGAGGTATAGAGGTCAACATTTTCTCTCGAAACGAATCCAGCTCGCGAAGTAACAAAACCGATCTGAACCCTCGATAAACGGGCCTATTATTTCGAATCGGCGGTGGCTAATCGACCGTCTAGCCGGACGCGAACGCGCCCAATTAAAGCATCACCTATGATCGGGCAAACGACCTGTTTTAAACTCGCTTTATTATCTCGATAAATAGTTTCTCTTTCGATACATTCGAGTCGTTTGAGAAAAATATGTGTAGTTAAATATAGACGGGATATTAGAAGGTCGCGAAGTGCAACAAACAATTTACCAGATAAAACGGTTTAAAAATATTACGAGTAAATAGGGACGATGTACATAAAATTTCTATTACGTGGAAAAAATTGGAACGAATTTCGATAAAAATAACTACCGTTTTTATCTAAAAGAACTTTGACATATGTCCGCAAATATCTCGAATTATTAAATTAACGAGTTCGAGTTCTTACGCGCCCGTACCGTAGGCGCACCAGGCACTTCCGATTTATATATAATATGTATATATAAAAAAAAAGAAACAGAAATTCTCCGATAAACGGCAATTAAATTTAATAAAGTGGTGTTACAATAAATACATGTCTCAAGTCCGTCTGGCGCTATACTTCTCCATTTTTGCCGTTCTAAAAATAACCAAACAGCTATTTGAAAACAACGACCCTATGTACTCATTTGTCGTGTGTTTATGACATTCCTGCCAGTTTATAAATAATATATCGCGTTAATCTAGGTTCTCGGAATAACATGTAAATACGTTTACACCATCGAGAGTACTCTTGTACTAAAACCCAAACGCCTACGCTTTGTGTTCCGTGCTGGATTTGATATAAAAGTAGGGAGAATATAGCGATAGATTTAACTATGAGCTGTATACCTGACGAGTTAAAGGCGTTTCAAATGATGGCGCTACTAATTAAAACATCTAATTAAAAAATTTTTGTTACATTATAACCAGGATCTCGGATTTATCTTTAAATGTATGCGCAATACTAGCGAAAATGGAACGATACACATTTTGCGAAATACAGATAAAAAATTCATCATCTTAAAACTCCGAATATACCCCAAATTCGTATAAATCCCATCTTCGTACAATAAAATCGATTGTCAATCGATTCGTCGGGCACAAACACACGCCGAAAAGAATCGATTAATCGGTCCGCTGGTGGTACTCAAAAAAAAGAGCTCCATCGATCATTCTGCGAGTGACTATGAGCGCGCGAGCACTCGCCAACGCCGGACGTTAAAATTAACGGCTGGTTAAATTTAAACGGAGGCGAGTTTATTCAGTGGTTGGCTGTGCATTCTGTGATGACCAGGGGTGGCCTGGATTTAGAAGCCCTTCGCCCAAGTACTTAAATTTTTCTCGTTTCGCGCGCGTTTTTCCCGGGCTTTTCCGGGCGAGTTTTCGTCGCTGCGCTATCGAGGTTTTAATAGAATGTGTGGTAAGCTTAACGCATTGTTTTATATCCCTGCTGATGGTCTTCTAAACCGCTCGAAACGTTGTCTATAAACTTCGAAAAAATCGATATAATTTAGTAGGTTTTTTGCGCGGTTTCGGGATTAGTGTTTAAGGAAAAACTTGAAGGAAAAATAATTGGGATGCGATTGAGCGTAAACACCAGGTTAAGGAACTCGAAACTTTGCGGTTATTCGGATCGTTTGCATGTAAATAAATCGATTAATCGATGCTTTTTCGAATCGAAATCGCAAAAATCCCAAATTCGACGCCCCGGGGTAAACAACAGATAAAATGTTTTCTATTGAAAGTCTACAACAAACAACTCGATTCGATTACATAAAATTGCATGTTCGAAATATACTAGTTATTGCAGATTTACTCTCTGTTTGCATTATAAACAAAACAGTCTATAATAGCCTTTTTCGAAATTCGAGGAATTTCGAGGAATTTCGAGGAATTTTCTCATCTTATCGTTCGTTGAAAGCAGTAGAAAAATTATTGTTGTCTACCCGGTGTATTTGTGCATTATACGAATGTTTATTAATTAAGTGTTTAAACATTATTTTTCTCCCGAACATCGCGAGGGCATTCTTCAAAAATATTTACTCCAAATTCCTTCGATTTTAAATAATCTTTCGGTGAGTAATTAGTAAATAATTCGTATGAAAATCGTCGAGAAATCGTTGAACTTTCCGGGTGTTATAAATTTTTTTCTTACTATTTCCCATGGTTTTTCCGAATTTAGCAGGAACTGTCGAGCGGTTGTGACACGACCCGGCCGATAATGAATATACACGATGTGCACTTTATCTTCACTTTGTTTTGTTATTATAAATAGTCACAATTTACAATATATCCACGTGAACAGGCCGATACGATGTGTAAATAACAAGGAGCTTAGAGGACAAAAAATAAAAAATCGGAGGAACTGATACCGAACTTGTTTTCCTCTAGGAAATCCGTTTTTTTTTTTTTCGATTATTTCGTTCGCTTTTAGAGTTTTTTAGCCTGTAGCCCTTAGTAGAATAATTGAAGTTCTAGATAGACGATTATCTTCAGAAAATATCCAATTACCAATCCAATAGAGTCAATTACACATCCAAAAGTCTCAAAAACAATCAATTATCTACCCAACAGAAGTCAATTTTCTTCACAAACCATCCAAACAAAATCAAATTATCAACCATCAAAAAAAATCGATTCCCCATCGATTAAACCGCGCCGATTTCTCTTTTCTGTTACAGATGGAATTCACATTTAGACTATTGCTCATCGCCTTTCTGATCGGAGCGCTCCATTGCCGACTGGCCCACATGCAAGCCAACAGACAACCGCAGGGCCCCATGAAGTACTGCGGCAGCCAAATCGGCCAAGCACTTTCGGTCGTCTGCAAGGGCAACTACAACACACTCAAACGGATCGACCGTACGTACCCGATTCCCCGCTATTTTACCGTCATTTTGAAAAAAAAATCGTCGAAATCGCGCCCGAATTAACCGAGTTATCGGGCAAAAACCAACAGCATGTTTTCCAAACAATCATCGCAAAGCTAATCACGTTTGTAATCTGACAGATGACAGATGACAGATGACAGATGACAGATGACAGATGACAGATGACAGATGACAGATGACAGATGACAGATGACAGATGACAGATGACAGATGACAGATGACAGATGACAGATGACAGATGACAGATGACAGATGACAGATGACAGATGACAGATGACAGATGACAGATGACAGATGACAGATGACAGATGACAGATGTGTACTGAGGCGATTTTTGTTGAATTTCAGGTTACTCTCGGCCGAATTGGGACACGATGTACGGGGACGCGCCGATGGCGGAGCCGGCCGCCCCGTCGGCGGAGGAGTTTCCGTACCGGAGCCGGGCGGAGGCGGCGTCGGTGATGGGGGGCAAGCGTCGGAAGAAGCGTTGGGGCGTCTACAACGAGTGCTGCGAGAAGTCGTGCACGCGAGAGGAGCTGTCGTCGTATTGCGCGCCGCCGTCGCGACGCCGCCGCCGATAGACACGTCGATGACAGTCGGCTGTCAGTTGTCGGTTGTCGACAGTCGGCTGTCAGTTGTCGGTTGTCGACTGTCAGTTGGCGGCTGTCGGTTGTCGACTGTCAGTTGTCGGCTGTCAGTTGTCGGCTGTCAGTTGTCGGCTGTCAGTTGTCGGCTGTCAGTTGTCGGCTGTCAGTTGTCGGCTGTCAGTTGTCGGCTGTCAGTTGTCGACTGTCGGTTGTCGGCCGTCAGTGGCGTCGATGGGAACCTTCGATTGTGATACTAATTTACACTTACAATTAGTATTAGGATGGGAAACTTTCGAAAAAAAAAACAAACAAAATGAAGTAAGCGAAAACGTGGGGGCGGCGTTGTTCTCGATGGAAATTTATATGTTTTTCTGTGAAAAACGTTTAGATAAAAATAAAATATTTCGGCCGTCCGTTCAGCTGTAAAAAGCAAAAACCAAAGGTAAATCGAGTATGTTCGGGTAAATCCGGCGGTGATGTCATTGATGAATTAAAGTAAGCAAACTTACTAGATTATGATGTACCTAAATCGAATGAAATGTCATTTGTTCAAAATAAAATGCGGGTTTTCCATGAAAATCGCGCAAACCGGAAAATTTCCAACATAAATCACTAAAATAAAAATTTTAATCGTTCGCAGACTGAATATTGAATGTTAAGTTAAATAGAAATTGTTCCAATTTGACCTTTCACTGCCGCTTGAACAATTCAGTGCTCTCGTTAATTAAGCAAATTTATTATGTAATTTGGAAATTTACACAGCAACGAAAACTACATTTTTTTTCTTTTATTAACATCTCTGTTAGTTTGATGAAAAAAGCAAACTGAATTGGAGAATTACCGATTTTTTACAAATGACAAATTGACACTGCTAGTTTTTTTTTGTGATATACAGTGCTGTAGCAAAGTCTAATACGAATTTAATTAAAGTAAATTTTTCATCGAATAATTGCATATACATAGAAACGCCATAACAACCTTAAATTTTCATAATAATTTCGAACAAACAATTATCCAATAACTCGGAATTATCGCTAAAAAAAAAACCAAAATTATTACCGCCCGGTCATTTCTCTATATCGTGTTCGTGTTTTTTGTACTTAGGAATAAATTATCCAAGGTTTAAATTTTTCGATAACCCCTTTTCGTATACTCACTGATCATTGTTTATTCGTTCTGTTGTTTTTCTAATAATCTAATTAGCGTCCAATTATATCCAGAAATTTGAGATAATATGTAATTATTTACATTTTTAGTGTATTTTTCGAACGTTGGACCGATCTTAGTGCGGGCGGTATACGAGAGGAATTTTCGGATAAAATTGTATGACATATAAAATGACAGCTGTTTGTCAGTTGTCAAATACGTTTGCGTACAAGATTGCTTGATTAAAAATTTACTTTCGTAAATGAAAGGTGGCTTTGTTACATCGCGATTTTTTTTCCAAGTAACGTAGATTAAACACTTTGTGATATTGTGTAGAAGATAAGTAGATTTTAGCTCGTAGGTGATGTATATATTACGTGGGGTTATTTTTTGTGATTTATTTATTATTTTTATGGGTTCTAGTCTGTTATATGATGCGGAAATGCGTTGTTTAACGCGGCGCGAATTGATTTTTATCCTTGGAAATTAAGTTCCTATTAGGCGAATTCGTAGATTATTGCAAATTTGTTAGTTTAAAGAAAATTTGCGTTGTGAAATCGTGAAATTTTTCGGACAAGTATCGTTCTAAATAGGTAGATAATTCACCCGTGAAATTATGAGAATCTCTTGCCTTTTCATCTTCCTTTTCCTTCTAAAGATTCCTTAAAATATATCTACAGGTTGCTCCATTTTTGATCCCAACATAGGTTATATAAGCAATGGGTGCGATAAAGACAACTTCCATTAGACACTTACAAAGGAAAAGGAAAGAGTGACATTTGTGTCATTGCAATTTTTCACTCTGACAGCTGTCATTTTAATAATTTCTCTTTGTTCCACTCATAGAAATGGCCATGTTGCAATCGGAAATGGAGCAAGGTGTATATAAATTCCGAAACTACTTATAGAAATTAGCTGATCTTCATTCCATTTTTTTTTCTATAGAAAACTCGATTGTTGAATATTCAAAATTTACATCATATATCTAAAATGAAATCGAAAAATATTATATACCCTCCCAGCGATGAAAAATAATCCCAATCTCTCCATTCCTGTAGTAAAAAGGCAGTACCTAATTATTGTAATTTTATTCTGTCGCTTAAATACCGTAGAAATAGATGAATTGTTTCGTTGTATAAATAGCAATTTAATTGATTAATTTAATGATTAATTACGTAATTTCCTCCTATACTACTTTTAACGCCCTCTAATATTTAAGATTTAAAACTGCCTTTGTTCTATGTGGACTAACAGCAAACAAAAACAGTTGCGTTGTCGATGAATAAAACGACTATTTGTTAATTATTATAAACTTTATTTACAAGAGACGTCTTTTTAAAATAAAATGTTTATCGAGAAAATTCGAGTCGTTCATTTTCCTCAAACCATTGACGTAGTTATCTTGCTGTAAACACGCGTTGTTCGAGGCCATTTTGGCCTTCTTTAAATAACCTTTTTTTAATCAATTATATTTTTTTAAATTGAATAAAACGACCTGGTGTTGTTTAAAATATTCACTCGTTCATTGGCTTTTTTTTAATCTGTGTTATTATTTTTCGGTAATAATTAGGACGGTGAATAAACTTATTAACAATTATCTGGTTAATACCATTTGCAGTTAACTAAAAAAAGTTTATAAAAAAACATGTAATTTCAAATTGTTGTTAATTTTTGTGTTCTGTGTGATTTGTGTTGCCTATACACACTCTGTCAATGATTGATGTTCCGTGAATTGTATTCGTTCTATGGAAGGTCAAGCGATTTTTTGCATTATATTTTGCACATTTTCACACAGTTATTTACGTTATCCTAGAGATGGGACTTGGCGAAAATAACGTAACCGTTCCGCGAATTTTCCCATTCGATATCCACCTTCAGAAACGCATCTACACCACTGCATTTAAACGAATCGATAACGGCGAGTATAAAACTCTATAAATCGCCAATCGAAGCCAATTCGATAACACGCGATGGCCCCGAAAGTGGAGAAATTGTGCGGCAACTTCAAATTGGGCGAAGCCCCATTTTGGGACGAAGACGCCCAAGCGCTCTATTTCGTCGACATCAACGGGTACACCATCAACAAGTACGATCCGAGTACCAAAAGAACCACCAGCGCTTACGTTGGTAAGTACTGTACTATACTGGATGTCCCAATGAATAGTAGCCCGTTTATAAAAAACCTTTTGTTACAGTGAGAGAGTCATTTTGTGGGTGGGCTACTTTTCATTGGGACACTCTGTATTTCGAAAACAATGACCATACGAAAAGTTATATAATATTTAGCGCTTATCTGAGAAATTAACGGTAAACAAACCTCGCAAAATCGACCATTAAGATAACGCTTTCGTAAATACCAGCTGCCTTGATTCGATCAAAACATTTTTTCTTATTTATTCGAATCTAATACGAAAAATGTAACGATTTTAGGACGGAACGTGTCGATAATCATCCCTGTGAAAGGTAAAACGGACCAATTTCTGGTCAGCTTGGAACGCCAATTGGTCCTGGTGACTTGGGACGGGCTAAGTGAAAGGCCTTCCAAGATGGAGAAGCTGCTGGAAATCGAGCCTGACAAACCGAAAAATGTCTTCAACGACGGTAAATGCGACCCATCAGGAAGGCTCTGGATAGGTAAATGTCACTATCCCACCTCTAATACCCGTTAAAATGTATTCTCTACGGTAGTAGATATATTAGAGGTGGGCGTTGATAAAAATAACGTCACCGTTACACGAATTTTTAGGAACGATGGGGGGACCGCCGGTGGTCATAGCGGACATAGAACACGAAAAAGGCACTTTATACAGCCTGGAACGCGGACGCGCGAAGATGGTACCGCACGTACCGCGCATAGGAATCGCCAACGGCCTGGCCTTCGACTCTGCGGCTAAACGGTTCTACTACATCGATTCCAGGAGCGGTACCGTCGACGCCTACGACTTCGACCTGCAGGAAGGGCGGATTTGTAAGCGAATAGTACCCTTAGTGCTAATTTTTACTTATTTTTTAATGGATTTAGCCAATGGTAGAGCCGTGTTTACGGCGAGCAAACACGGCCTGCACGGGATGGTGTTCGATGGCATGACAATTGACAGGGATGGTAACCTGTACGTGGCTGTATGGGGCTCCAGGGTGATCAAAATCGATCCGAGAACACCCGAAACTCTGCTCGGTACCATCGAAATGCCCGCGAAAATTGTAAGCCCGAGTATACACTACCTAATGCGGTTGACTAGACACGTCCGAATTTGTATATAACGAATGAATTTCCAGATTTCGTCGGTGTGTTTCGGCGGGCCGAACATGGACGAATTGTTCGTGACCAGCGGTCAAGTGGGGATCGTTCCGGGACCGGCAGATGGCGCCACTTTCAAAGTGACCGGCCTCAGCGCCAAAGGTTATCCAGAAGTTAAAATCGCTTTGTGAACCCATAATAAAGTGATCTGATTAATTTGCATGCGTTTCCGTTCGATCAATCAATCGGCCATATTTGAATAAAACTGTCATATTTGAATAAAACGGCCAACTAGACGGCGTCGATGGTTAATTCATCGGCGTTATATTTGAAAGTGAGATTTTATTTTTATTGATGGTGGTGAATAAATCGAACCACCCGGTATATACGAGGTCTAGCTACCACACCACGCACGAAACGAGTTTTGCTATAATAGAAAAAAAGGGTAGCATCATATACAAACTCACGTCTACTGGAAGCGGTTCTCGAAGTACCTGAAGATGTTTTACTATTCGAGGTACTACGTAAAAAAATGTAGAGGGTATTTTAAATGGAAAATATTGCGCTGTTAAATCACACGGAACAAGGCACGTCAAACACAAATTGACAGTTACAAAACGTCAAAATTCCGAGTCTGGAATCTCGGATTACACAAAAGTTTCCTGACCTGTTATATACGACCGGATATCAAAATCAAACGTCACACAAACGTCAAATACAACAAGTTCTGTCACATTTATAAAACGAAACGTCAAATTTATTTAAAATTTTCTTTTGGTTTGTGAATTTGATGAATTTTGGAACCATTTTTCTACCTGATACCGCGCCCACTAAAATCCTCGTTAAAAAAACAGTCTAGGCACGGTATTCTTTTACCTTTTTCTCCGGAGCAATTTGAATCTAGTTATCATCTGCGAAGCTCAGTGGCGTACCTACCCTTTACCTCTAATCGCATCGAAATAATTACCAATAAACCTGTAAAAAACACCCTTTAAAAAAATCTCCAAATACCTCCCGCTTATGCGCGTAATTAAATCGATTAATAATTAGTTTTATAGTAATTAAGGAAATATCAAACGAATATTCCGATAGGTCTACCACTGTTTTCGATACAATTAATTTTTTATTTAAACCTTCAATCACCGAGCAGGTATTAACCGGTCCAAATAGTACCAAAAAATTTACTCCGGCCTTCTACTTGGCTTGTATTGCGTTCAATAAACATCATCTCGTATCAGGTTTATTAAAGGGGCGCTAAAAAGCGCCTGAATCCGCCCCTGCGGCGCCTCATTATAAAATCCAACAGAAGTGCCCAAAAGTTAAACACACGTAAAGAATTCGGTCATTCAAACGTCGAACATCCAGCGAAGTCGAGCCTCACCTGTACAGTTTACCAGCACAATTATATCATCCTTCGGCCCCTCGGGGGACAGTAAGTCGATCATTTTCGAATATAATTTAATAATAAACTAATTACAGTAGATCCTAATCGACAGATTTGTTAAATTTGTACTTCCCCCGCCATTCTTTCGGCATGGGGCAGGTTCCGGGGCAGGGCAGCTGGCCTGGTACTTCGCAGATGCAGTACCGTTCGCAGTCCCTGCCGAAATTGGCCGGGTTGTCTTTCTTCTCTTTCGCCACCGCTTCGGCGTCCAATAATTCCCTTAAAAACACCACGATTTATCTCTTTTCGAGCTGCTACGATAATCCCTCGAACTCACCTCGTCTTGCCTATAACTTCGATCAGGTGCTCGTAGATTTCGTCTTTGGATCGATCGAAGGTGTCTATCAGCATTTGCTCGCCGGTATCTGCGAAAATTATTGTGTAATTAAAGCGATTAAAGTGCCCGGGCGAGTTACCGTAGAAGCATCGAACGAACGGTGTGGGGGTCATGTTCCTCAACGTAGCAATTTGCACTTCGGGATTTTTGTATTGGATCTGCGGGAGATGCCAGAAAACGAAGTTCCTGCGGTAGGATGATCGTTAGTTGAATCATAACAGCGAGTTTAAAGACTTACTTTGTGCCTGCGTGAGTTTCCCCGTGTGTGTTGTAATTAACGGTCAGGATTTTTATTTTATCTTTCAAAACTAACCTGCCGGATTCCAGGTATTTGATGGTTCTCCTGATAGGAGCGCGGCCTATCATAAAAGGCATGTTGTTTGTTGTTTTCTTGTAACGATTAAATAATGAACTTAACCTAATTAAGTGGGGTTATGGTTGTTTGACGTTTTTGACGTTTTGTTTCGGTCTTTGGTCTTTTATGGTGGAAGTCAAACAGCTACTGGTTGTGTTGGAAAATTCGAATTTGGATTGGTGGATAATTACAAATAAATATTATATTTGTAATTATTTTTTCGCTTATGATAGTATTTGTGATTTAAAATTGCTTATTATTGAAATATTTAAGGTGGCGGTGGAATTTGAAATACAACTATTATAAATGTCATAGAAATGTCATTTTCGTTTTTTATCATTTATGGAGGGTATCTTCGATTTGAAAGTTTTTAAAGCGTCTCGTAATGTACACATTATTATGAAATGCACAATTAGAAAAAAATCCACGTAAATGAAATTCGAAACATCAGCACATCTACCATCTATACACACAGTAAGTGTATTACTCTTTCTTTTTCCTTTACAAGCGCCTAATGTAAGTCGTCTCTGTCGCACCCGTAGCTTATATTACAAACCAAAATGCGCCAACCTGTACAATTTAATTAAGTTAACTCAGTAATTTTACAAGATTTACTAAATTCAGCAATTTTCAATTTCCCGTTAAACACGTATCGTTTCGCACGTTCACCTACCTACAAAATAAAAATAATCGTAGAACAAATATGAGAAACCTCCATCAAAGTAGCACGAAAATTCCATTTTGACACCTGACATGTGCTGTATTTAAACATTTCTTTTGCAGGTCACCCGGTCACCCAGCCGCCTACGATATGTACATAACGACCCTCGCCCTCATCGCAGTCGCCCTGTACCTCTTCTACAGGTACCTGACGCGCCGCCATAACTACTGGAAAACCAGGGGCGTCCCCTACGAGGAGCCCTACTCCCTAGCCGGCAACTTCTGGGAGGTCTTCTCCGGCAAAACGCAAATTGGCAAACACCTGGGCAAGCTCTACAGCAGATACAACACGCCTTACTTCGGTATATACATACTAGGTAAGTTGTTGTTCACATGTAGCAGGTACTAGATTTTGGTCTTTTACGTTTTCTGTTTCCAGGCAAACCTTACTTGGTGATAAGAAGCCCGGAGATTGTAAAAAACATGGCGATAAAAGACTTTCGAAACTTCGATGATAGAACATTCGCCTGCGACAAGAACGCCGACGAACTAGCAGCTAATAGTTTGTTCATCATGCGCAATCCGGACTGGAAGTACATCAGGAACAAACTGACGCCGATGTTCACATCGGGCAAGCTGCGATCGATGATCGACATCGTCAAAACCAGCGCCAAATCGATGGAAACCCACCTATCGGCCCGCGATTCCGCCATCTTGGACATCAAAGAGGTCTCCTCCAAGTACATGACGGACGTGGTGGCCTCGTGCTTCTTCGGCTACGAGGCCAACGCCTTCGGCGACGACGATTCCGAGTTCTTCAACTTCACCAAGACGATGTTCGCCTCGAAATGGTCCTTCCTCAGCTTGTTTTCGTACTTCTTCGCGCCCGCTTTGGTCTCCATGCTGAAGCTGCCCTTCATGGAGTACGGCGTGCTGAAGGGCATCTTCCTCGACACGCTCGCCTATCGGCAGCGCAACGGCTGCAGGCGCAACGATTTCGTCGATTTGCTGCTGCAGCTGCGCGACAACGTCAACAAAGAAAGGAAAGACATCGATTTCGGTGCGATTAGAGAGGTTAAATCGAGTCTAAAAGGATTCTAAAATGTTGTGTTTGGTTGTAGGCGTGGATAGAATGGTGGCGCAATCGATGACCTTCTTCGTGGCTGGTTTCGAGACCACCAGCAACGCTTTGGCGTTCGCTTTGTACGAGCTCTGCTTGAGGACCGATTGCCAGGAGAAACTGCGCGAGGAAATCCGGCGGTGCATCAAGAACGACGAGGACATCACCTTCGATAAGGTCCAGAAAATGACCTATCTGGACATGGTTCTATCCGGTAATTTAACAACACCATAACCGATTCCTGCATACAGTTTTGTAACCGTTCCAGAGACTCTTAGAAGGTACCCGTTCGGTCCGTTTTTGAACAGAATGTGCAAAGAGGACTACGTGATAGAACAGACTGGTTTACTGGTGGAAAAAGGCACGCCTGTGTTGATACCTTTGGATGGTTTGCATTACGATCCGGAGTACTTTCCGAATCCGGAACGGTTCGATCCGGACCGGTTCGTGGACGATAACAAGCACCACTACGCGCAGGCCTGCGTCTACATGCCCTTCGGATTGGGCCCCAGGAATTGCATCGGTACGTTTTTATACAGGGCGGTTTCTGCTCCTCTATACAGGGCGGTTTCTGGTCCTTTATACAGGGTGGTTTCTGGTCCTTTATACAGGGCGGTTTCTGGTCCTTTATACAGGGCGGTTTCTGGTCCTTTATACAGGGCGGTTTCTGTTCCTCTATACAGGGTGGTTTCTGGTCCTTTATACAGGGCGGTTTCTGTTCCTTTATACAGGGCGGTTTCTGGTCCTTTATACAGGGCGGTTTCTGGTCCTTTATACAGGGCGGTTTCTGGTCCTTTATACAGGGCGGTTTGTATAGTATTGTGGGGGATTGTTGCAGGTGATAGGTTCGGATTGATCTGCGCCAAAATGGGGCTGGTGTACGCGTTGCGGCGCTTCCGGTTCGAGAGGAGCGTCGAGACGCCGACGCCGCTGGTGCTGAATCCCCGGACGCCGTTTATGATGCCGTTGGACGGGTTGAAGATGAGGGTGGAGAAGTTGTGAAGGATGAATGTTTAGTGGAAATAAACCGATCGGGGTGTGGCTGGTGACTCGAGCAGTAAAAGGCTTCGGGTTGTTTTTTTTTGAAAATGAGTTTTTTTTTATTAATCGACTGAAACAATTTGCACGCGTTGTTTATGTAAAAGAAAGGCACGTATTTTTCCTATCCGGTCATCGTAATTGAAATGATTTTTTTTTGAGAATATTATACAGTATGTTCGATTTCTTAAGCGATCTGTCATGTTTGCTCTTGCGAGGGGTTCGCTATGGGGCCCAATTCTTCGTCTTTTACGTCTTTCAATTCTTGCCTGTAATGAACCATTATTAATTAATCTATGAATAAAACTAAAATCGATATATAGGTTGCTCCATTTTTGATTCCAACATAGTTTCTATGTGGTGCGATAAAGACAACTACTATTAGACACTTATAAAGGAAAAGGAAAGAGTGACGTTTGTGTCATTGCAACTTTTCACTCTGTCAACTGTCATTTTAATAATCTTTCTTTGTTCCACTCATAGAAATGACCAATGTTGCAATCGGATAAATGGAGCAAGGTGTAAATCGTACCGTTTCCTGAATATGTATATCACGAACAACACCATCGAATTCACGACGAAAAGCACCACAAGCACCACCAGAGGCGCCACTATGTTGTCGCCTACTTTGGAATTCATTGTTTTTATTTTACTTTGGAAAATTTCGATCGCCGCCGTTCGATTGTCGTCCAAAGATCCAGTTTCTGGAACAGATACAAAAAAAAATGTATTAACAATTCTTCTTCTATTCCTAACTGAGGCCTCAACTGCTAAGGTTATTTAGTAGCAACGTTATAATTTGTTGTGTGTTCGCGACAATTGAATTGACTTTAATTCGGTTAAATACGCTCTATTAATTCGGGTTATCTCGAGGTCAAAATTTAATAACTAAAGGTAAACAAAATATAAAATCGAGTACCCTTTGGAAGAATAAAAAATGGACGCGCTCTACGCCACTGGTGCACGACGCATCCTTAATAATACACCACGTGTTTTCTACATAACCTCTTTAAACCATCACTCACGAAATCATCAAATCTAATCAATTATTATCGATTTCGAAACTACAACGTATTATATTTACATAAATAAAATCATTATACGCTCCAATTTGTCGAATAATCAATTAATAAAACTCACCACTTCCAGTTACACCATATGTAGATAAAAATAAACTGCTTTACAAACTTTCTATTTGAATTAAATTTTTTTTAGTAAACAGCAACACACGAAATAACAAACAAAACGGGAATTGTAAATGCGATATTATTGCGTTGAAAGGACGAGCATTTTCGCTTCGAAAACGAAGAGTGCCGTGCGCGTTTGCGTTTTGTTTTGATGTTTCGTTATCGTTCGGTTGGCAACGGTGCCGGACCGATTGCACTCGACAAATATAATTCATATAAAAACATCTTATTTGCCTGTTTAATCGGCGTAATATGCAAGATTACCGGCTATTGTTTGATTTAAATGATAAATTTAATGATCCACTATTTACGGAATTGTCGTGGAATAAGGGATTTTGTCGAGTGCAATTTACTCGCGCCTTTTCATGTATCTTATCGAAGCAGCGCCGTCTGTGATTCGGTTGGGCTTTTAAAAGCTCTGCCAATTATTCCATAAAGGGGACATTACAAAGGAGCATAGGCGCGCTCGAAAATCTATAAAAAGGATTCATTTTTTTATTCAAACCAACGCTGGAATGACAGCAAAAGTGACAGTTAATTTTTTTTATTCAAACGAACACTCCAATATGACAGGTGATTTGTCTGCGTAAATGTCATTAATGTCAAAATAGAGAAAAAAAAAAGATGGCGGTTTTTAATAACTTACTTGTACATGTCAAAGTGTCCGCTGAAGCGTTCCAAAAGGCCCCCTGACAAACCACGCTCGTAATTCTAGCGCCTGTCTCGGGAAAGGCGTAGCCCAAGCAACAACTAAACACCAAAATTCGATTGGTCCTGTCAAAAAAAAAAACTGGCATAAACTGGCGAAAATTCGTAAGTATTTTAATGGATCACCTGTGCACTAAGTAGGCGTCGTTGGGCACTTCGAATTCAGGGCAACCTACGATTTTAAAATGGGCCAGAAATCCCCGTCTCGGGTTGATTCTTTGCCCGGATCTGAGCGCGATTTCGACCTCAGGACCGCCGGAAAGGACCTCAGAAGGCGGATGGTCCTGCTCACACGTCGAAAATATCACCTGACCTGTATCCCTTATCTCCAACACGTCATCGCATCCTGAATTTTCCACTACTCAAACACACTCAATTACAATCTAATCAGGCTCTATTCCTTCGACATCCTTACCGATCAAAGCCACGTCTAATAACGTGATCCTGATCCTTTGGTTCGCCCGGCCGATAATCCTCCATTTGCACTCCAATTCGCCCGAATAGAACCTCGGATAGCCCGGATTTCGGATGTATCCTTCGGCGAGTCCTGCGGACGCCAAATCCTCCGCCAGGATCACGTCGTTGCAATATTTATGGATCCGATCGTCTGGAATACAAATATACTTATCGAACGATCCTCGTAAACCGGTATGTATAGGTCGAAAAATTATCGATCGGTCCTCGTATAAACCGTTCCCGGACGGTGTACGAGGGTGGTTGGAAATGAAACGCGGAACGGAATTCCGTGAAATGTTCGAAATCTGGGGAATATCGATGTGGGCACACACACACGACCTACCCTTAGATTATTTTCTGTGTGGATACAAAAGGAGGGTGTTAGAAAAGGTGCGATTGTATTTTGTTAATCTTTTTTTTTTTGGGTAATTTCGGGGTGGCGGTTTTTGCGTGTAAGTGGATGATTGATGAGTTTTTTTTTCTATTTGGAATTTGGAATTGTCGCCCTTTTTATGATAATAGGTATTTATATAGGGGCGGTGCGATAAGTTCGCGGCGTTGCCGCTCTTTTGTCGAGTGAATAATTAAAAAAATAATTAAAATCGGGCGGAAATGGCAGTTTATATGTCTTCTTTAAGGCCTGATTGGTAATTTCCTGGATTTTTCACACTTACTAATCGACCATTTCATTAAAGCGTCGAATAATTCGAAATAAATAAGCACCAAATTTAGACATCGCGTTCTCTAAATTTATCGAGCTCCCCTCGTACAGAACAATTATACGAGGGCGAATGAAAGAGTTCAAATAACTCACCTGTAATACAAGCGTATTGAACGGTGATGTTTCCGGCGCCGAAGAATTCCGATCCGGGGCATTCTTCAGACAAAATGAAACTGCAATGATTCAATCCGGAACATCTGGAAATATAATTTTGTATATATACACATCCAACCCCTTTTTATTCAAAACTGCATCCCCCATAATGCATTCAAATTAGCGTATAGGTAAAACGTGTTTTACTCCTGCAATTAAATTATCTACCCTTTAAATCACCCTTTAAATAACCTACAAATAACAACAACCCCGTCATTAAATGCATCTAGATGGTAAAAAATTGGCCTTTTACTAGTAGCACGTTCGGCGATATTCGCGAATTATGACGTTATAGAATTCGCAGGAAATATTCAATCGGGGGTCACTTTTAAATTACATGCGAAACTATTAGGGGTTGGGGTGGATTCGCACGGAGGGTGGGATTTTCGAACGCGTGTCGCCTTTTTGTTATTCAGATCAAAACGTTGCGGAAATCGCAGTCGATTGAAATGTTATTAAAACTATAACATAGATATAAAGCTCGTTCGAGTTTATACAGCGATGACGTCACGATGTAAATAATTTATTTAGCGTATATAGTTTGTTCAACGATTTACGCTCGTGACGTGTGTAATCTATTTTCGTGCTAACTAATTTCGAAATGAGGCAATAAAATTGATAGAGGGGCTTCTTAGATATGTATTTTTAGTAAATTAGAGAGATAACTCGGAGAGAAAAAAAAAAAAGAGAATTACATGAAACACATGGCCTCGAAGGCACTCTAGATTATTGCGCAAAACGCATTAAGTATGTTATTTTTAATAGAACAAACTTACATTTTACGAATTCACAAAAACCAATAAATTTTGCGTCTGATTGAAAGTCACGCATGGTGACTGTATAACCCAATTGACCATATGTTGGGGTAGGATAGCCAGAACAAGGGTGAATAAACACACAAAGTTAACTAGATTTCTAAGGGTAGATAAAATATAACGTCATATATGCTACAACGTCACAAAAATTGACAATTGACAGTTGGGGATTCTTACCTTCTGTTGAGAGCGTCCCGGGGATGTACCGGTGGAAAAGGCGGTACGATCGCGTCGCCTCGTGCTGTGGAAGAATTCGCGAAATCGAAGTCGGCTTGGAAAATCCGATTATTCGCGTCGGGATCGAAGTCGACTTTCAAAATGGCGATGACGGCCGTCAAATGTCGGCAGGTCAACGACAATTTGCAGGCGTGGCAACCGCGCGTTTCAACTATTTCTGAAATGCAATTCGAAGTGTCGAGAGTGGAGTTTTAAATCAAATTCGAGCGGTTAATAAATCCCTCCGGTTTCAAAACAGTCGGGTAAATCGACCGTTTTTAAAATCGTGCGATAGGTCTAAAAATATATAGTATATTACCTTCGTAGGAGCTGACGAATTCCGGGGAATAACACAAAATTAACAGCCATAATGTAACCAACATGTCCTTTTCGATGATTCGATTTGCTCGACATAATCCCGGCGAATTCCTCGCGAAATCATTCGATTTTTTCGGAACGTCCAAAACGCGCGTAAATCTCGCGCGTTTGCTTACATTTTTCTCCGAACCAACGAAAACACCTGAAATATATACATTTCTACACGTATAAATTATTCTATTTCGAACAAATTCACGATAATTCAATCGCAATTAACAAAGTAACGGTTATTTTGTAACGCACGTTACCGCATCTCTATTCCTTAGATGCCATTCCCACCTTTATACTATTTGTCGAATAATTTGACAGTTCAAATGACAGTTTTAAGTTTAATTTGTAAGTTATAAATTTTGTATGTTTAATAATTCTTTTTGGATTTTATGATGTAATTAGATAATTGGTGTGAGTATTTTTTATGCATATAGTAATAAAATAAGTAAATGCAACATTTATATTACACCTATAACTGAAATTTTATACAATCCATAGCCAACTCTAATTTTCGCAAGTATATTTAAAAATTCGACGGAATTTGGTTATGTCAACTCAACCTATCACACGTAAATATATCTATAAAAACTTCAATTTCTACATGAAACTGAAACATTTACCAATTGAAAACCGACAAATAACCATTCCGCTTACCTTCGATTCGGCAATAATTTCGAAATTCGAAAAAAAGAATCCCTCACGCGATCCGCACTCGCCACCACAGCACACCGAAATGCCACACGAAACACAAAAGATCCGCGAAGACCCGGAATGAAAATCGAAAAGCGCTCTGCGCTCTCGAATCGCAGCGGGAAATTCCCCCCATCTACAGACCTTCTTCGACAAAACGCATCTATTTAGGGAAATCACGCGAGGAGGCGGCAACGCCGCATCCCACCCCCTACTCGATACTACGCAATAATCCACCCCAAGTCGAGGGTGATATCGGGAATGTTTATAGGCGATTTTCCTCTTCCCCACTGCCCTATTGTGCTACATACGTAAATCGCGAATCGAATTTTCTTTATACCGGGGCCTTTTGTCATACGAGGGGCGTACGAAATGTAAAGGTCTTATAGGTAAATCGATATATTTTGCTATAGGTTCAGGTTGTTTAATTATTTCAGTGTTTAATTGGTATCGTTGCGTTAAGTGTGCTAGTATCCTCCGGTATGCTGATTTGGAATTGCAACAGCACCACCAGGTAGGTTACCATTGTGGCTATTAACTGGAAAAAAAAACAAGAATTGATTATATTTATAACGGATTAGGTTACGCTATTTAGTTCGTAACGTATAAGTTACCGAAATTCTATCTATACACCGGATTATGACCGCTAAAATCCGGAAAAATGATACTTAATATGAACCTACCGATTTGAATAAGTTCCTGTTCACATCGAAGAATCCGCCCAAACTCATATCGGTCGGGTTCATTTCCGTCGCCCTCAAAAACATGTTGATCTACAACAAAAAAATCGCAACAATTCTCTCAAATTTCCAACTAATTTACCTCCTGCTGCGCGTCGTCGTTCATCCAATTCAACTCGACCAGCAGCAGCTTCTTCTGGAATTGCACTTTCACCTGCAACACCGCAAAAACAATTTACAACTCGCACCGCCAGCTGCGATGTATTATACGTACGCAATTCGAAGCGTAATGGGCCTCGTCGCAGATCAACAGCAGCAAAATGCCCGAGAAGAAGGCCGTGATGGCCAATCCGATGTCCTTCGTACCGAAGCCCTCTTGTATCTGCGACATCAGCCCGTAGATGGTCAACGTGATGACCAGGAACAGGTACAGGCACAGGAAGGTCATGGTGAAGCTGAACGCGTTGCCCGTATCTCTGATTATCCTGCTGAGCAGCATCCACAACGATCGGTACTCGGCCACCTTCTGGGCCGGTCCTACGTGTTTGAGTACTCCTTGGAAATCCTCGGCTACTGTTAGAGCTATGTTGCCGATCAGATCGCACAGCATGTACCAAATGCCTCCCACCAGGTAGATGATCACGTTGATGTAGCAATAAGGCAGTACCTGCCATTAAAACCATTCGAATAATACACCAAAAAAAAAACGGTAAATAAAGAAGCTTACGTGTTGGAACTTGAAGCGAACCATCGTAGTGTGCGTTATAATCATCATAGCACAAGCTAGTACCGGTAGTACGAAGGTCACCACCAAGGGCTTGTTGCCTAGGAAGTGTATGAATTTCTTTCTGGTGATTTTATGGTAGATTTTTTCGAACGCCATGAAATTCGTGAGGACCTGTAACGCATTAAGCTTATTGAGGATACCCAGATGGTAAGTTTAGAGTACCCTAGCTAGTTTCTTGGCCTCCACACACGCTATGGGGTTTATAACGATGGGTAATAAATACACAGAGAAGAGGTAATCGATGACGGCTTCCTCGAATCTCCCTTCGGAGGATCTCACCATGTCCAGCTTGTCCCATTGTATGTAACCAATGTAGCCCATCATGAAGAGGAAGATGGCTCCTGAGTAGAGCATCCATTGGAGCGTCACCTGTACCGATAACAAATCAATTTCGTCAATAAAAATGTTGGTACTTATAGTATAGCGAGAGTTTGTTACCTGGAAAAATAAATCGACGTGGGCTATGGGCGATATGCCGATGATCTTCATGAACATCAACAGGGGTCTCATGCTGTCGAAGACCACGCTGTTGGAGCTGGATCTGGCTTTGTTCTGGAACATCTGGAAGGTGGGATCCCCCGGGCCGGGGGGCGCGAACGGTACCACTTTTGTAACGCCATTGTTGTTGTTGTTGTTGTAGATCGTTTCTGCTGTTTCGAGGTAAACGCTTCGTTTTCTCTCCTGAGTTTGATCGTCTATGGTGTTTATGTTTTGCCCGAACATGGTGTATGAATTGTATTATTTCGAGTAGTTTGAAATAGCAAGTTTTACTGGTGTATTGGTGGAGTTTTCCAGCACCGTTCGCGAGAGGAAAACCGAGGAAAATGGCACTTTTTAGTAGGTAATAGGTGGAGGAAAATTGTTATTTGTGGCGACCTCTCGACGCGTTGGAGGTCGAATGAATATTTCAGGAATTTTTTCGAGAAATAAACGGGTCAAGTTTTCTAGGTAATTAATGTCGCCGTGTACACATACATGAATTAAATACACGTGATTAATGGACGCGTAAATTGGGGCGTATAAATTCGTTATGTTTTGTACAATCGATAAGATTTTTTACTCGAAATTTAATGTAATTACCCGATGTTACGCTTATGTTTAATTTCGCCAGCGTAAAACTGGTTGCCTATATGCAGGAACTTCACAATGCACGAACGAAATGACGTTGTTGACAGTTGACGTGGCGCTGTCGTCGATAGGTTAAAATATTTATCGAAAACGTCAAGTCAAATTCGTCAAATCCTCGCTGGTGTTTGTGATGTAGTGAATTAATTATCGTTATTGTAAAATAAATAATAATAAAAGCAAAAAAGGAATTGTACGTTCGAGTGTCGCCGTATAATATAATGTTAGAACACGAATTCGTCGAAGTCAATCACATCAACACTTTCCTGTCGTTTTTGTGGAACGTAAGTAAATAATAATTGAATAATTGATCTTACAAAATTAATTCAGTTCAAGGTATTTCGGGTATACGTACTAAAACCGGTCGAATCGCTTCGTAATATCCTAAAGTCTTGGTAAAATTCGCGTATCGTGTTATTGAAAATATCAAACAAACATTGCACAGATTACAAGGTGTTGTTGTGGAAGAAGAAAAAATATTTATTGTAGCTTAAAAGATGACAATTATTAGGCTATCAAGCAGTAAACGATGAAACAATTAAAAATCCCCCGGATTGTGCGATAATTCCCCTATATGTTTGTTCCAGATCGAATGGAGAGATCCCTGGCTCATAGCCCTCTTCACCTTCCACATTTCCATCTTCATGATGGCCTTGTTGACTAGGAATTACGGCAACTTTCAAGCTCTACTCTTTTTCTGTTTACGTAAGTCTTTGTTATTTATACGATGCTATTTAAATACAATACTACTCGGTAACTAATTCTTGCAGTGCTGCTGGTGTACTTCTCCGAAAGCATCAACAAACTGGCCTCGGCTAATTGGCAAATCTTCTCCAGGCAACAGTACTTCGACAGCAACGGCCTCTTCATATCCGTCGTATTCTCCATGCCCATTCTCATCAATTGCATTTTGATGGTGGTAAGTTTGAGTAAGATAAGTGCAAATTTGTACGCTAAAAAAAAGACGGCTTACGAGGGTAGAGTGAAAAGTTATCGACCTGAATCGTTTAGAACCGTCTAGAACGCTCACAGAATCGTTTAGTACTGTCTAGAACCGTTTAGAACGCACTGGAAGAATTTAGAACTGTCTAAGAACCATTCAGAACGCTCCAGAACCATTTATGAACGTTCCAGAATCATTAAGTACTGTCTAGAACCGTTTAGAACGCACTGGAAGAATTTAGAACTGTCTAAGAACCATTCAGAACGCTCCAGAACCATTTATGAACGTTCCAGAATCATTAAGTACTGTCTAGAACCGTTTAGAACGCACTAGAAGAATTTATAACTGTCTAAGAACCATTTATGAACGTTCCAGAATCATTTAGAACTGTCTAGAACAATCTAGAACACCCCAGAATAATTTAAACTGTCTCACTCTAACTCACTGTTATTTTAATAATTATAATTTTTGTTCGACTCGTAGAATTTATCGTGAGATTTTGTACGAAAGCAAAAGTAGGTAGAATTTTCGAAACACAATGGGGAATATAAAATTATTAATAATTTATGCGCGTGCATACTAATCTCTGTAAATTACGGTGATTTCGTTTCCATCATTTTAATTGAACCTTAATTACGTTTTATTCCATAAAATACGAAATCTGATGTCATTAAATTTCGTGACATAACTGTTTGATCCTCTAAGATTCAGTTTATATAATTTGGATGTGGAAGTGAAAGTAATCGATTAAATATAAAAAAACCAACAGGAAACTTGTCTATTTTTATCGCGAAATTGTTGTGTATTAATTTTTTACATAATAACTTTTAATTAGCAATAGTTACTGAATAAATTTAAGCGCTAGATTATTCGAAATATTGCTAGTAGTTTACCGAATGCTTGAATTTCGAATCGAACGAAAAACACACATAAATCGTGAAGGTATTTGAACTATTTTAGAAGATAAGGCATGTTGTTTTCTACGTGAATTTGATGAATTTCTCGTGTAATTTACAAAATTTACAGGGCAGTTGGTTGTACCAGTCTACTCAGTTAATGGCGAATTTGAAAATCGCCCAATTGAAGGAGCAGAAGCGAAAGGAACAGGAGATCCTTATTCGACAGAAATCCAAGGACGAATGAGGGTGGAATTAAATTTACGGAGGTTTAATTAAGGGTTTAATTTACCTTATCTATCGTACGACTAATTTTATAGTTACCAATTTGCGCTGCATTTTACAGTGTTTTAACGTGCACTAATTAAGTTTCTTTAATGCGAATTCACACTTTCAAAATTACATTTTTTTCCTTATAATTTTGTACATAATATTTAAGTTCCTCAACTGTGAAATTCTCTAATTCACCATAAAATATAAGTGTAGATTAATTCTTTTATATTCAAGTTACTTATAGTATGTATAATGGTCATCTATCGCTCACCTCGAATTCTCGCTCCTTTTCTATCACACCCATTCACTCGTAGAGATAGTAAAGGAGCGAGAGTTCCGAGTGAGACTATCATACTTGCTTTTAAGCGTTCTTTGTAGTATACAGGGTGGTCAATTCGTTGAATGCTAACGTTTGGTGTTTATGGACGTGGTTTTTTCATTTAATATTACCTATACTTGCATCGTTTTAAATAATTTTATCTATAAATATTCAGTTAAATTGCTAGTCATTTTATGTAATGGACAAACGGCCATATGAACGTTGATTAAGTAAAGTTATTCTAATAAGTAGAAACAGTGAAGACTGAATGTGATTGGAGTTTTAGAATTGTACGAGAATTGTTGATAATAAAGAGCTTTGTAATTTTAAGGTCGTTTTTATTTGGTTAAAATACAATATAAAATTTGATGGGATTATTTGATAAATGGTCTTATGGTGAACATTTAGAAAACTGTAATTAGAAGAGCGATGCTCATAGATGGCGCTGATTTGACATTTGTATTGTAGAAATCTATAATTTGAATTGCCAGTTTTCGATGGATATTCCTAGAGGAACACATCAATTTATACCAAAATGTACTGTATATTGTGTTGCATAAATAGATTATTCAATTTGATAAATTTCCTGTAAGAGTGGCCTTTTACCTGAGCAGTAAAAAGTTCCAATCAACCGACTGTTTTGAAAATTTTGACGTATGACAGTGACAGTTGTTTCTCGAATTCCTCGTTTCTGGCGAATTATTCACCGAAAATATCGCATTTACGTTCGATTTTAACTGAATATAATCGAAAATGAGCGGCGATGGCAATCAAAACGAGCATTTCGACACATTATTTCTATCAATCGCCCAGCATCATCCACAGGGACCCACGCAAGTAAGAATTTCCTCGATCACAACATAACCTCAAATGCCGAGTTTATTAAATTTTCGCAGCTTCTAGACACTTTCGTCAACTTCCTCAGCAGAAAAACGGACTTCTTCACGGGCGGCAAAGAAGGAGAATGGGAAAAGGTACGAAATTTCGAATATCCACCTCGTAAATCTCTCGTTAAAATATATTTACTCATTGCAGCTAGTGTTGAACACATTCAAGAAATACGAGAAGTCCAGCAGGGAGCAGCACGCGGCCGAATTGAAGGAGAAACTCGAACAAGAAGCGCGCCGGAAGGCGAAAAAAGAGGCCGAACGGGCCCGAATAACCGAACTAACGGACGAGCAAGCGGAGAAACTCCAAGCCGAGCTCGACGCCAAGAAGGCCCCTTCGAGCGCCCCCGACGCCCCTTCGAGCACCTCCGGCGCCCCTTCGACTTCCACCGCTAAGATCGAAGAGGACGAGGACGAGTCCGAGAAGGGTAAATTGTTACCCAACAAAGGCAACGGGTGCGATTTGGACAAGTACAGTTGGACTCAAACCCTTAGTGATATAGAGGTAATTGTTTTTTTTTATTTAATTCTTTAATAATTCTACACAAATTTACGAAACACAATCACCGCGCTGTTGCGAACAAAGCGCGGAAATTATTTTTTATTTACCTTACAACATAAATAATTCTAAAAACTTAATTATATCACAGTAACATTATTACCTACATGAATTTTAAGTTTATGCGCAATTAGTGTGTTTTTATGTCGATTTCGAAGATACAAGTTTGGTCTTAAGACCCTTCTTAAATTAATCTAATACGATAATTAAGGAATAATTTAAATAAAATTGTCTAGTATCGAGAAATACTAATGAAATCGCTAGTTAGATTTATCCCTCATAATCTACACAGAAAGGCCATCAAATAAGTTAGCTAAATCTTCATATTGTGAGCTTCTTTACATCCAAAAGATACATCTCATTGTAGAAGAATCCTGCTCATAGTAAGAGGATAAATGTACATATAAGTCGCTTTCCTGATGAGTTAAAGACCATCAAATCATTGTAGAAGAATCTTCCTAGTATAAGGATGAATCTATGTATCGGTTGCTTTCCTAAGAAGTTAAAGGCCATCAAATAAGTTAGCTAAATCTTCATATTGTAAGCTCCTTTACATCCAAAAGATACATCTCATTGTAGAAGAATCCTGCTCATAGTAAGAGGATAAATGTACATATAAGTCGCTTTCCTGAGGAGTTAAAGACCATCAAATCATTGTAGAAGAATCTTCCTAGTATAAGTCGCTTTCCTGAGGAGTTAAAGGCCATCAAATAAGTTAGCTAAATCTCCATATTGTAAGCTCCTTTACATCCAAAAGATACATCTCATTGTAGAAGAATCCTGTTCCTAGTAAGAGGATAAATGTACATATAAGTCACTTTCCTGATGAGTTAAAGACCATCAAATCATTGTAGAAGAATCTTCCTAGTATAAGTCGCTTTCCTGAGGAGTTAAAGGCCATCAAATAAGTTAGCTAAATCTCCATATTGTAAGCTCCTTTACATCCAAAAGATACATCTCATTGTAGAAGAATTTTACTCCTAGTAGGAGGATAAATGTACATATAAGTCGCTTTCCTGAGGAGTTAAAGACCATGATGTTAGTTCTCCATATTTATATCCTAGTAAAAGGATAAATCTAACGGGATTTCATGTGATTCCCCTCTTCCATAGTTTACTCCGATTTGGACAATGGAAACGTTTCCAAATCAAAACCTTTGACTCTTGGCTCTCACTAAAACGATAAAAGGAAATGAATGCGAGGTCATTTTACAATCATCGCTTGTTAACTTACTTTCCAAAAGTATTATGGCCGCCATAATTCCTATGGTGAACACAGCAGACATGGTCAATACCAGTATGGTGAGCTGGTGTTTCCTGCAGAAGCTCCTCTTCGGGGATTTTTGCCTGGTGTTCACGTTCACCACGGTGAAATGCGTACTGCTGGCTATCGATACGCTATCCGGATCGGCGAATTTTTTATCCGCGACGTTGCCGGACGGCTGGTTTTCCAGGAAATACCGGATGTTTTGGTCTCTGATCGATGCCGGGGCCGATTGTATGGCGTTCCTGGATTCCTGCTCCTGTTGCAGGTGGTGGATTTGGGCCAGATTGGCTGCTGTCAGGAGCAGCGAACCGGATCTTACGCTCTGGAAATGATTCTCTCGTTATTTTTGTATTAATTAAAAGTAATTTGGAATTATTAGATAAACGTGGTGATCGTGATTTCGTTATAACTCGCGGTATATTTGCATTGCGAATGGGCTATTAGGTGAAATATTTATTATTATTGGTAATATAAATAATGGATGTACCTATACGCGATGAATTTATGTATATACAGTGTGTCCCAAATACGTAGATTACTTTTACTTCTTATATTTCACCTGCTTGTTCATATACTTATGCGGGACATGTTGTAGTGCATTACGCCTGTTTCTATTCAAGTTCAAGTTGAAGGTTTCGTTTTAATTAAAATCTTATACGAATCAAGGTGAAATCGCTTTTAAAAAACTACATTTATTAGTTATTAGAATCTATAGAATCGAACAAAACACGCACGTGTGTATCATATGGATGTAATATATCGAATATCGTGCAACCCGCGCGCTTTATAATATCTATTTAATCAATTTCCTTATTAATGAGAGAATGATTATTGATATAAATTGAATTTCCACCGACTCACCTGGGTGCTGTTATTGCTCGAAGCTGATCCTTGGCTGCTGTTCGAGCTGCGAGCTAGTGTGGGTCTTGGTATGTGCCAACTCTTTTCGAGATCTGCTGGGATCTGGAATTGTTTCATCAATCATTAAATCAGTTAAACTATTATTATTATTATTATAAATAACGTACAGATTCATGCAAATTTGTATGCAATTGGTGCAACAAAGACAACTTCTTTTAGTCGCCACATGAAGGAATAAGTAAGGTTGATATTATGGAATTGCAACTTCTCACTCTAACCACTGCTATTTTAATAATCTTTCTAATTAGATCGTTACCTTGGACATTCGGATTCCGATAATTTTACTCATCGATTTTTATCGCATAAAAAAAACTCATCGATAATCAAAATTGTAGGTACATTTTTTTCTTCTTCAAATTTATTAATTAATATTATGTAACAGAATTATTTTGTTCGTACAAATTAATTGGAACACCTGTTGGAGCACCGATAACGATCTGCAATCGATTATTTATCGATCATGTTACCCGCGAGACTGGAAAAAAATCGCCTAGACTTTCAAAAAAAAGTTTAGTGAACTCCTTCGCCTAAATATATCGCCTCCTAAATGCATCATATTAGTCGAACCCACATAATATGTGCAATAAAAATTCCTATCTATTGACTGTTCATAAGTATCTACACGGATCCGGTAAGATAATTAAAGAATAGAACGCCCATTAACGCGCGATAGCTAAAAAAATCGTCACCTTGGATCGATTTTTTAGGCGCTTAAAATATCGATATATTTTTCTAGACTCCTACAGTAGATAAAAATTACTCTGATTAACCCTTACGAAACGGATTTCGCATTAAATGCGCTATTGATTATAATAATTTCGGAATTGCATTCGCATATCGGAACGCATGTAATGCTTTTTATTTGGAATTTCACTTCCTTGCGTAACCGCTTATACATGGTGTATAACCCATTGCACGCGTTAGGAGATTAAAAAAATATATATATTAAAGTTCCCGTTACAAGTAGGTATAATGCGATGATAATAAAACGTTTAATTTTAATGGTATATGTATGTAGATATAGCAGGTATAATAGTTTTATCTTGCTCGCCTCTAGTGTAAGAAAGTTAGTTAATTTTCAGCAGATATTTACGGTATACAGTGTGGCGCAAAAAGTTTTTACTTTAACAACTTGTAACTGAGAAGTGTGTATAGTCTTTGGGACGCCTTGTATAATATTTGGTTAATATCCCTCCCGTTTAGCCGGTGTATTAAAATCGTTGCAAAACAATAGTCCGATCGATTACGTTAGCTGCGTAACGATGAATTATACAACAATCGAAATGGATTCCATTCGATTTGGTCGTTAATTTTTATAAGGTAGACTGGGGCAAATGTAAAAATGGGGTAAATGTAATATTTTTACCTATTATGTTAATGTTTTTATTATTTTTATAGTTCTTTTGTGCGTTAGACAGGGTTTGTTTCTTATTTTTTCTTTATTATTTTGTAGCTCTGTTATTTTTTGAAATAAATAAATAAACAGCATATCAAATTTTAGAAGAACCAAATATGTATTTACAATTGCCCCATATGTTTTTCTATGTAATTTTATTGTCTCTTTAGAACGGTTTGTTTATGTGTCAACAATATAAAAAATATGTAAAATCGTTTTCTTCCTTTTTCAAAAAAAAACTTTTTAATACCTCGATTCGTTAGTTTAGGAAGTTGTGAATTTAATGTGGTATCAGCATATCTAATAAGAGAAAAAATAAAGCCACATTTTAGGATTTAATTTGAACTATTCAAATTTTACCACCGATTTGCCCCAGTCTACCTTATGCGATATTTCCACGTTATCGAAATTCCCCTTTAAAAAATTCTCTCTTCTTAAAGGGGTCTCAATTCGAGAAATTGCCGGATAGCCGAAGGCCGTTTTTGCGCGGCAAAAAGAATAAAATTTTCGCGCGAGGTCGCGTTTCGAAATTACAACGGATTTTTTTGTTGTTGTTTGTTCGTCTACGTTCCTTTAAACGGATCCCATACGTGACTCAAATCTCGTTGCACAAGCTCGAAAAATTGTCGTAATTACATTGTTTCGATTCTACATTACAGGGTGTTTTGTATAAGGGAACTATAGTTGCTCTCATGAGAAGTTAAAGACCATTAAAATCAATTTTAATAGTGAATTTATACGGTAAATTTATGATGTTGGTGAGGCAGAATAGCGACTACAAAGTCAAGGTGTGTCCCAGAATTATACCTGACTCATTTTAATCAGTTTTTTATTCAAATGGCTGTTTTAAGTGCAATGGTCTTTATTGTATGATATTTATTCGTCTCATATAAGCATTCTATTGTCTCTTACAAAGGCTCTAATTTTCATTATTTCTTACAAGTACCTAATTGTTTACTAAACGAATCAATTTATCGGCATTAAACACCTCTCTGTATCGAATTTGATTTATTATACGAATATAAATATCCCGCGGTTGTTGGAAATTGTTTGTGCGCGAAAATAAATCATTAGCGAATCGATTTGTAATGGTAAATTGCAACGATTCCGATCGCTTGTAAATTAAAACGAGCACGACTATCGCGAAAAAAAAAACCTAATGGTACTCCGATTACAAACAAAATTCCCGGGCGATTTTGGGAATTTTATCACAATTTAATCGGCGTAAACAGAAATTAAATTCTGCAATGTTTAACCTTAATTCTCGGCCTGGTGTTGCACAAAATCGCGTTTTTGTTTTCTATTTTTTTTTTTAATTATTATTAAGCGGTCTAGTAGTAACGAGTTGTGCAGTAAATTTAGTATGAATTAACATTAGATTAATTGTAGTTGAGTTATGGCGTTTGCCATAGTTCTTTTAACCGGCCTTGACATGTTTATTGTGTATTATTTTTCTACGATCGCTCGAACGTTCTAAAAATAGACGAATATTCGGTATAAATAGATCCGTATTTATTATAATTCGGTTTCGATCGATGCCGGGAAAAGGAATTTTTAATTAGACGAAACGAGGAAATCGCTTGGGGTTTTTTTTTTGACAGACAGTAATTGACTTGGATTTGTTGTTAATTCGCTATTCGTGAGCTGCAGTTACAATAAAGCGGTAAATGTTTGAGTTTTTTTTAATGCTAATTTTGTATTAAATGTTATATAGGTAAGTTTTCCGTTTTGTTTATTACGGTAAATTTGGAATAAGGTAGAGTGGGGCAAATCGGTGGTAAAATTTGAATAGTTCAAATTAAATCCTAAAATGTGACTTTATTTTTTGTCTTATTAGAAATGCTGATACCACATTAAATTTACAACTTCCTAAACTAAAGAATCGAGGTATTAAAAAGTTTTTTTTTTAAAGGAAGAAAACGATTTTACATATTTTTTAAAATGTTGACAATATGTTACATTTTCTCCATGGGTAAATTTAACAAACGGTTCTAAAGTGCAATACAATTATATAGAAAAACATATGGGGCAATTGTAAATACATATTTGGTTCCTCTAAAATTTGATATGCTGTTTATTTATTTATTTCAAAAAATAACAGAGCTACAAAATAATAAAGAAAAAATAAGAAACAAACCCTGTCTAATGCACAAAAGAACTATAAAAATAATAAAAAACATTAACATAATAGGTAATATTACATTTACCTACCCCATTTTTACATTTGCCCCAGTCTACCTTACCTTAGTAATAAAATTGGTGAAATTTTCTCGTGAAAATGTTCAGTTTTCAACCGTATATTTTATTAAATTTTGAACTTTTTTTACAACATAAGATTCAATATAAATTAGTTGTTAAAAATTAAAGAAAATTATTGTAAACTTCGACGAATCTTTCGCGCGTTTTTGCAAAGAAACACAAATTTAAAAATGTACAAAATTTGAAAAAAAAAAAAAATAATCTTAAAAGTAATTTCAATTCCGATCAGACGGGAAACCCATCAGTCAATTTTACAATACTCACGCTATCCGGGACGAACGATCGATTCTCCATTTTTCCCTCTATCGCCTAAGGGAACATGAAAACCGGATCCCGATGAATATACAAAATGTAAAAGAGAAAACAGAAAAAACTAATCCGTATCGATAAATTTTTCTTTTTTTCCCCCAATTTATCTTCCACCCCACTGCACACCACTCTCTTAACGCGCTCTCCTCTCTCCGGCGATCGCGCTCGAACTAAACTCCTCAATCCAACGGATAATCCGCAAGACTGAACACAAACCAGCATCCCGACCGCGTTTTGTTCTCCCAGCATATTCGACGCGCGACTCGAAAAAAATAAATATATATACAGGGTGTTGAAAATTTTATAAGCTTGACTCAGTAATAATTGAGTTTCTTAACTTAACTTTTGTGGAGCAGTTTATAATTTGGAAACGTTATTATTTTTATCAATATAGAGAATAGAGAATATACTTACAGGAGCAATTGGTGTTTTTTTGTGTATTTTAAAGTAGGTACAGACCGAGAGGTATAGTTGACAACGCGAAGGTTGAATTTTATATGCTTAATTGACTCAGTAATAATTGTTACAGGTATAAAATCACATGTTTTTTTGAGGTAATTATGAATGCAATAATCAGTATTTGTATTCGAATCGATCGTTCTATCCTCCATTTTCAATATTTTCACGATTCGGTTGGCGCATCTGTTGTATCTAGCTATTCTAATCGATCCGTAAGTCCCTCAAAAAAGTGTATCTACATTCTACAGTATATTTTGAGGATCAAAAAGGACTTTCTTCCACAAAGTATTCTCTCTTCTTTATCTTAATAAAAATAAAAACGTCTCCAAATTATAAACTGCTCCACAAAAGTTAAGGAAGTTCGAAAATTTTGTGATTATTTTAAAAGTTAATGACTTTTTAATCACCAAAATTTCAAATATGCGAAATTAAATGTTATCTCTCATAACTAGGTGAAATTTTTGTCCCTACCTCCACAATTCGTACTAAATTTAGCGATCAAAAAACCTGCAACTTTTAAATTAACCTCAATATTTGCCAACTTCCTTAACTTTTGCGGAGCAGTATATTTGAGTGTATATAGTTATGTATAGATAATTTTGGGCGAGACGTGGCAACGCGGCGGTTTTACCGATTATACAGGACGTGCATTTAATACCGCCTTGCTCCGGTTCTTAATACCGGATTATATCGGTATTTTATTTTTATAATTTTACTGTCGCCGGTTTGATAATACCGCGGAGGTATTTATAAATTATTTTGTCACCGATATAGTGGGATGCAGGATGCTATTTCGCGCCGATTGGTAAAAATTAATCAATCAATTAGCGATCGGTTAATTAGTTAGCGATTATTCGGTTTCAATTAGCGCTCGTTTAATTATATACAGGAAAAAATACCATCGATCGTCTCTCGTTAAATCATCGACGAATTGAGTTTCTATTAACTGAAATCATCGTTTAATTAGACCTTTTTTTTTTTTCGGTGAATCCGGGTTGCACAAAAAAAATACTCATTACAAAATAGCCATACAACAAAGATTGGGTTGTATTAATCCCGGCAAGGTTATTGGGTAATTTAAAGTAGTTTATTGTACGTTAAGTATTCGTATGGATTGATTAATCGCCGCATTAATTGCGATTTATTATTTTTTTTATATACCGATTTACTTTCTTATGCCGCGTTTATTGATTTCGAATTGGGTATAGTAATCGATGGGGTTTAAGTCTGGTCGTAGTGGTGGTTATTGCACTTATTTGCTTATCGTATTGCGTGTGTGGTATACAAAATAATATTATTGTTGTAATAATGAAACGATTTTAATATTTATTAAAACGCCAAAATGATTGATCATGGCGCATTAACCACCAGTCGCTGGTAAATATGTAATTAAGATAGAATTTATTAAAAAAAAATCCGTCTGGGCGATTCGGATATAATTTAAACAATTATTTTCGTAACGGTTCACCGAATTTGACGTAGAACCGTTTGCATTAGCACTTAATATATAACACAAAAAAATATATATTAATTACGTGTGTACATGCGTAAGTAATTGCGTAAGAAGAGCAGTTAGTCGTAAAAAAAATCCTTCTATTTTAAGAATTTTAATTAGCTATTATTACAAATTAATAAGAAGACCTTTAACTCCGTCAGCGTGCTACTACTGGTGCTGTTATTACACAAAACACCCTGTATATAGTTCGATAATCGCCCGTGTACCGTTTACTATTGATGTATCTGAGTATTCAAATTGCTAGTTTCGAATTATCGAACATAAAAAGAGCCTAATCAATATTCATCGATATTTACACTCGACAAATTCATCTGATATACGATGGGATTTTTTTAGCGCATTGAAATCGATTTCCTGGTAAGTTCGATGTAATTTTCATATAAATAACAGTTATTATACTTGTGTATGAGATCGCATTGCATGGGCGAATGTGGTTTGCCCTGCGATAAAGATAAACGAATAATATAAAATGTAAAATAGAAATTAATCGAAACCAATGTGATTGATAACTGACAATAGAACGCGTTCGCTAATTTGTAGCAGTTTGATTTATCTATTTCCTGTATATTTAAGTCGCTGTTTGTGTATCCTTCCTTTCGAATATTAAATGACAATTCTGAAGAGTTTTTGGGTATCTATTTTGCATGCGGAAAATTCGCTTGTTGGTGCTTTTTTTCACTTTTATAATAGAATTTTGTATAGAAAATGAAGTGCCCTATAGAGGGTGATTGATAAAATCCTCAATTTCCGAACGGTTTCAAATTCAATCAATCAATGTTGGTTAGAGGTATTTAAGAACGTTTATAAAAATTATCTCGTTCGATCTGGAGCCTAATAAATTCGTTTTGTATAGGAAGTGTTACGCTTTATCGCAATGAAAACAATACCGAATTCAGTGCTGGAAGGAATCGATACTTTCAAAAAAAAAACTATTGATTGGCACTAACGAATGCAAAAAAAAATTGTTCCACGTTCGTGACTTGTCTTGTATTGTATTGTTATCCGTTTCGTCTAAATGCAATTTTCCTATTAGAGATATTATTTAGCGTTGTCGAGTTGCGATAGAACGGTAAGGCATAAATCAACGTTACCGTTACGAATAGCTGAAATGCATATTTGTCGTTGGGTTATGAAATATTTGTCGTTTAAAAAAATTATAATGACCGAGAAATACGGATCCGCGGCCTCCGCGTTGGAAGGTTTCTTCTCCTTATTATTGCGAAACTATTTTCTAATATTGATTATCGATATTTTCTTGATATTTATGTAATTCTTGAAATTACTCCGGATCTGCTCTCCGGAAGAACTCCAATCGGGTGTTTACACTCGATTAGAAACGTCCGAATTAATTAGCCTATAACCAATTAGAATATAGATTGGTAAATTTCCCGCTAGAGCGAGGTCGACAAAAACTATTTTTAATTGAAAAAAAAAATATTGTATCTCTTAACTGACGTCACTGTTAAAGGAATGCTCTCATTGGTTGGTAGTGATAATAGAGCGATGGGATTGGTGAGAAAACTGGTGTAGGGTAAATTTTTTTTGTGGAAATTTAGTTAATCGATCGGGTTCCGGGCGAAATATTTCAATTATCGGCGAAACAGAAGGTGAGCGTGATCGTTAAAATGGTAACCGGGCGATTAAAATTTTCGATTTTTTTTTTCGATGCCTTCGAGGTAGAAAGTATGCGATTTTTTTGTGTGTATTCCAGTTCTGTTTAACGTTCGATTGAAAGGCGAAACGAATAAATCTAAGCATTATTTACAAGGGGATTGTAATTTTTTTCGGAAAATTGATTTAAATCCCCTTACTCAAAGGTTGAATTAATAGATAACCGGGCGATTTGTAATGAGCTTTTTCCTAGGAAACACGTCCCACGCTTTCTGTTTATTACCGACTGCAGATTGTTCGTTATCCGATCCTTGAATATCGGGGGTCAGAATATCCGATAATTATTGTTTATCGGAATCGATTTATTGATTTTATTCGCGGAGTTTGTGAATAGTTTTCTCGAAAAAATCGCTTCGATTTATTCCCATTCGAGCGATGACAGAGGTCGCTTTATTCGTGACTAATAAGAAAGGGGTTTTTTTTTATTATTATAACAAAAAATGTATAAAATATTAACCTTTAAAAATTTCACATAATTTACATTTAATCTCTTCGAGGTACAAATAGTTTTTTTCGCGGAATCCCTCGCAACAAAGTAATCGCTTTTCAATTAAAACTAATTAGTCGGTGTACAAGTTCCTTTCAACCCGGTTTTTTTTTTTTTTTCATGGCTCTTTCGACCGGAGAAAAATGCAAATTCACCCGTTTTTCGAAAGCAACTTTTGCCTTAACTTATCAAAGCGTATATCCTCCGCATCATACACGAAAATATTAAATTAATATCAAATATTAATTGACGTTTTAAAATTGTTAATCGATCGGAATGCCGGGAGCGCGATCGGGCGTGAAAAATACTTTTTTTTCGGAAGCCTGATTTATACAATCGAATCGTTAATTATATTTGTCTAATAAACGCGATAAATTATGAAATAATTTAATGCCACAGTCGAGAAACGCGCGCCTGAACTTGACCCCAATCGCTGTATTAACTCACGAATAAAAAAAAATACCTACTAGAAAATGCAATTAATAAATACCTAACTAATTTTTCCATCGAAAAAATCACCAATCAGCGAGTCTGTCAACTTCACTTGCAGCTTTATTATTGTTATAAATCATTAGCAACCCCTAATTAATTCGTTAATCGATCAAGGTTAGCTGCGATTTCGGGTAATAATTAATTAATTTAGATAGTTTAATTAAACGAAAAAAATAGTCGCCCGAGCTAGCCGGAACTCCAATCTAGTTATGATGCAAATCGCGTGGAAGTGACGTTATAAATAACGCGTTGCATGATACAAATATATCTATTTTTTTTTAATTAGTGTAAACAAGAACAATATTGAAAAAAATAAAGGTTTCTTTGACATTGACGTGCTAGATCGAATCTGACACGTGTGGAAAAAATGTAGTATATAGTATAGAAGAAAAACTCGTTGCAATGTTGTATAGTAATTAATTCGTAATGGTTTACTTCCTGTTATAATTAAATGGTAGTTAAATAATCCAGAATTTGGATGACTCTACTAGTCATTTAAAATGCCAAGCAGTTCACGAATATTATTTGTGTAATTATCAGCAATTAGATTTTAGTGTGTTTTAC